TTTACACTGTATATTTCAATTGCGGTCATAAACTTAAATGTCTAAGATGATATCTCTTGCAGTAAAAAAAAAATATTTGTACAATCTAATTAGATTTTTGTTAAAACATTTCTAATTTCTACTTGTGTGCAATATTCACTGGAAAATATATTTTATCCGTACCTTATCAATTTTCAAGAGTAAATTAATTAAAAAAAAGTGTAGGTTCTTTCTAGGACATAAGCTCTTGAAAACGTAGGACTCAGATTCATTTATCGAATACATTAGTTATAAACGATTTTTTTGGTCATATACCAAACGGTCCAGAACCTTAGGATTTTGTTTTAGACAATCAACTTATTTGCTCTTTACTATTTTCATAGTAAATTATTATAATGTTCAAGGTCACTGACCCTGGAAACCACATTTTATCACTGATGTACTTTAAAACCACTTCTGGGCCACGGAGTGAAGAAATCCTCCGCTAGGTGACAAAAAATTATCTTAAAAATGAAATAAATAAGAAATCCTCGGGGTACTGAGTTTTAAAATTCAAATCATTTTCCCCCATTTTTAGAGTGATTCAGAGAAACTTAGATTAAAAGCTTTATACGGTTTTTGTTATAAAATGAAGTAAGCATGACCCTTTGGACTCTAGTGGCTTTAAGTTTATTTAAATTTTAAGAAGAAGAAAATTTCGAATGAGAAAAATGAACCTACATGTACCTACTCGTATATTTCAATACCTTTTGAGAATTTAAATTCAATTTTGCTAAGGGTTATCGACAAAATACACATGTATTGAACGCCACAAAATATAAAGATTCCCCAACCCTACTCCTTCAACCATTTAAGAAAGGAAAGAAGCAGGTCAGATCATTCTGTAGGAATGATAAAACACGGTTTCCTCTTCCTATTTCTCCAGTGAAAGCTGACAAAGTATGAATTATCGATTAAAGTTTAAGTAAACAAAGTTTCTAAATGCTTGTCTGCTTCACCTTACAAATGCATGTTTATTTTGCTAGCGTTTTAAATCATTTCACGTCTTTGCCATTTATATTTGCGTTGTTACCGATGGGCGGATCCAGAAAAGCCTAAAAAAAGTCTCAAAAAGTGTGTTAAAGATGAACCCCAACTAATTATTTTTAAACACACACACACACACACAGAGAGAGAGAGAGAGAGAGAGAGAGAGAGAGAGAGAGAGAGAGAGTCAGATTTTATGGTTAATAAGAGCAATTGCTGAAGTGAATGCATTTACTTAAGTTTTAGTGCTGTCTATAAACTTCAATGGGGCTAAAAATAGTTTTAGGATCTCTAAGACACTAGGAGTTCATTTCAAAAAAATTCTTCTTTTTTCCCATTGCTTAAAAACAATTGAAGTACGTAATGTATGTAGAGACAGATCATATACTTTGAAGTGTATTCTTATTAAATATTATTTTAATTATTAGATATTTTGATATATTATTAGATATTATTATTCTTATTAGATCTACAAGAATCGAGAAATTGGTAAAACACCACTGGTGCTTGGATGTATATTGGGAATTTTAGTGATATTCAATACACTAAAGTGATTTATATTTGAAAAGCGAGTCTGTGAAAAAGTGATTCAGACCCTAAATCTTGTGATTATATTAGAAAGATGTTATTTTATGTTATTAGTACACGTGATATGTAAAAACTTGATATTCATATTCGAAAACTTGTTACATATGCAAAAACTTGTGGTTTATATTCGATAATCTTGCGATTTATATGCGACATCTTGTGATTAATGTTCGAAAAATTTGCAATTTTGATGTTGTTTTTTTTAATTTTGATGTTTTACTGACTATAGACGATAAAGGCCAGTTAACAACTAAATTGTATGACAAACGAAATGAGATGACTTTACCTTTTCCATCCATCTATGTAATAATATTTCACTATCACCTGCTTATGGTGTTTATATCTCCCAACTTATTCGCTACCCAAGAGCTTGCTCTGAGTACGATCAATTTTTAAAGCGAGACAAGATACTCACTGATAAGTTGATGTTTCAGGGATTTCAACGGCTTCGTTCAAAGTGAGCATTTTATGGTCGTTATAATGACCTTGTTAGCAAATATAACCTATAATTAGGTCATATTTTGACTTGTTTCATACCAACTGTTAGGCCTTTGTTTTTTGTACTGATTTGACTACGGATAGATCCGTCTACCTGATCAACACATAGGGCACACGGCGGTTGTGACCGATCAACAAGGGATGCTTACTCCTCCTAGGCACCTGATCCCACCTCTGGAATTTCCAGGGGTCCATGTTTTATGCCCTCTTCATGCATTTGTATTGTTTATGGATTTTTTGAGATCGATCACTGTTCATTATTTGTACATTTTACACTATTTATATCACAGGCATTAAATATTATTTTTTTTTCCACAAAAATTATAGACCTTACCTGATAAATAGAATTAGTTTTTTTAAGCATATGTTAGCAAAGATTACCAATATTCTTCATTTAATAATTTAGATTACTTTTTTTTACAGTCATCTGGGTTAAAGATAGACTGTCCGAAAAAAGAAAATCAAGTCAAGTTTGTCATCATCAAGATAAAAGTAGATTTGGGATTCATAACCTTCACTCCTGATATAATTTTTTTGTACTGAATTAAAATTTTGCGTGATATAAATTACAGAACCATTTTGCAAAAATTATTCATCGATCCAACAATGGAATCGACGGATACTTACACCTATTAGTCATGTCTCCATTGTAAAAACTCTCATTTCGCCAAAACAAACTCAGTTATTTATTCCTCTTCCTACACCAAGCTATGACAAAATTGCTTCCATGTGTAAAAACCTTCCTGAATTTATATAGAATTAAAGTATGATAAGGTTAAATGACGTACAGTTATTCAAGATCATTTATTTGGAAGATTAAAGATGGTAAATGAAATGTGAAGATAACGAACAGTTATCATACTCAAAAGTAAATTTAAACAAAACAAATTGTGAGCAGAGTTAAACACAGACGTCTGACAAGAGAGGTGGGATCAGGTGTCATGGAGGAGTATGCATCCCTTGTCGACCGGTCACAACCGCCGTGTGCTCCTTGTCATGGGGAGCGCAATGCCTATTTGTGCAACAGACATGAAGGTGAAAAATTGAATCTTAATTATAACAAAATGTTCTTTGTTATTTCATTTAAAATCAGTATACTTAATGTAAAATCTCCACAATTTGCAAAAATCTCGCTAAGATTGAAATTATTTGCCTATGAAATAGCATACACACAAAAGATTGCAAAAAGGATCATTTTCTCTTACTATAACACAATTTTTTTTCATTATGAGTGGGTCTTTGCTCCATATTTTTCAAAGTTTATCCTCAAAGTTTGCGAAAAAATATACATTTTTTGGTCAACAAAAACATTGAGCAAAGACCCACTATATCTTAAAAACACACTTTTATGACACAACATTCGCATCTTTTCGAGAAATACTTGAAGTCCATTTAGTCAAGGGTCATAGCATAAACATGATTTAAATGACACAAGTAATCAAGAGTTGTGTAGGGTAGTGGTTAGCGTGTTAGTCTCAGAGGAAATTGATACTCAGTATTTTTATTGCTTGGGGTTCGAACCCCACGAATACCACATTTTTTTTTTTTATAACAGAATAATTTTTGCAGAGAAAATTTTCCTCAGAAAGGTTTTGTTTTCAAGAATGAGAACTTTACTCTAAATAATAAATTCACAAATTGATTAGGATTTTTTTTTTATCTGAAGCTATAGTCATTCTGTGCGCCTTGTTCACTCATCTCCTTTATAAATACAACTGATATAATTTCTCCAGAAATTTCAAGTGAAATCTAGAGTTGTCTCCCAGTTGGAGTGATAGAGTAAGTATATAAAACGTTTTCTTTCAAGGCTTCGTCTGATCATCTGTACAGTGGCTACAACACGGTACCATAGGATCCTCAATGTAGGCTCTTTTCTTATAGAAAACCTACATAAAGTCTAAGGACTTTTGAAAGATTTATAGTTATATAACATGTGTTTGCTAGCTGTGACTTCATTTTATCTTATTGGAGGAAACTGAATTTACAAATATACAGAACCATTTCCAATAGAGTTGGATTCGATTTAAAAACTTTAAAAAAAATGAATTACCACTTACTAAATCACTTACTAAACATTGAAAGCCACAAAATATTGTATACTTAGCAATGCATCGTTTCATGTTGATTACAATTCTATCTGTCTATCCATCCATCCATCTCTCTCTCTCTATATATATCTATCAACTGGTTTTCTAAGCCATTTGAACATGAAATAAAACCCTGAGAGATGTAGATTTATTCACAACTGAAAGCTGGTTTAATTGAAATCAATGGATTTAGTGTAAAGTATGTTGGAGTTTATGCAAGACAATGAATATTATTGAAAATAGTTAAACAGTGTACATTTTTCAATATCATGACTTTAATTTTGATAATTAGCTTATGAAAATGGTTACTATTTTAGTGTGCAAGTGGGTGTAGAGAAGGGTGTGTGAGTGCCAAAAACAAAGTCGATTGTATTGTTGCTTAGAAATTTATAAATATATATTTCATGCATGTTTATTATTCACTTAATTTTCAGTCCACACCTATTAAAAACTATACACTGTTGATTAGCCGATGTGTTATATATTTTCTATGGGGAGAAAAGAGGGGAAGAGAACCAGTAAGTTTGTTCACTTACTAGAAAAACACCTCTAGAATGTATGCTCTCTCTCTCTCTCTCAAACTGGAGAATGGATCAAACCCCTCTACATTTGTATATATGCTTAAATGGTAGCGATTTCTATTGAAATATGAAAAAATGTGGAGACTAAACACAAAAGACCAAAAAAAATCAAACAGCAGAAAATTAAACGCTAAGCATTTGAAATGCTTGTTAGATGACAAAATTGGGCATTCCACCCACCATAAAGGAATAAAAGCCTGGTTTGAAGTGATTTAAATTTCTGGCCTAAACTCTTCTATGCAGATAACGCAACTACCTTGTTTAAACAGGTAACTGATAACACATAATGCATTCCATAGACCACAGTCATGGCTAAACAAGGATACGATTAATGTTATCGGAAATACTTTTATCACGTTTAAGAAATTCATTCTAAAAAAAACAAAGTTTAAAATTATGTGATGCCTTTATTTCTTCAACTTATTCCTACAACTGAGATTTTGTTGGATATTTAAGAACCAGTGAGTCAAGGAGAAAACAAAAGAATAAACAAAATGGCGGCCTTTATGAGGCTTGCCTTGGGTGTTCTCTTGTGTACTCAGGATATTTTGATGACAAACATCATGGAACTGAAAATATCAAACAACGCGAGGAAAGGAGACATTATTACAAAGTGTGGCTGTTCTAATCAGGAGTGCTTAATTAAACCATCCTCAAACTCAGACAACGGTTTCGAAATTTCAAATTCGGGAAATATTATTTTGAGCAAAGATGCCGAACTTTTGAGAGGATTAACATATCCGGTGTCAGTTCTCACGAAAAATAACTGTTACGACAATATGTTTGAGGAACAAAACTATGTTTTCCATATTGTTGATTCCACGTATTCAGCATCTAGTCATCTATTCCACAGCTCAATCATGCTTGGATTCCCAGCTTTTTTGGGAACTGTTTCAAGTTTTGATCTTTCCCAAAGCAGCAAAGATCAAATCCAGTCATTTCAATTGTCAGGACCACTGTCTGACCATTTCAAAATAGAAGTTAAGAGAAATGAAGTATATTTAGTCAAAGAACAAAGCTTTTTAATGGGAGAGAGTTCTAAAACATTCTTGTTTGTTTTAGAAGTTAAAGGCAAATACCACAGTCAATATAATAATATAGAAGTTTATATAGGTGATGATTTGGAGGGCTCAGAATACTTCCAGGTGATTCAGCTTCAACAAGAATCTCATTCTGTCGTCAAACGACAAAGCTCAACAGCTATACCAAAGAGTTTCTCAGTGTATGAAAACACTACAGGAACCTTGTTCAATGTCTTAGATAACCAACCCCCCAACAGTGGCTTGTCTTTTGAAATAACAGGAGCACTACCACAAAACATATTCCAGATTGATGCAGAGGGGAACGTTACATTGGGTGACGGGTTTTCTTTGGATTATGACAGGGGGCATCGATCTTTCAATATCAGCATTGAGGTCAAAGGAGTCCAGGGAGGTCAAGGTATAACAGTCCTCTAAAACTCAGTGAATTGATTTACAATTTGTTAAATTTTGCCAAAACAATTCAAAACTATGATAAAAAGATCCAGCATTTTGTAAAAAATAATAAATATAATACCATGCTCTGAAAATACTATGACAATTTGAAGATTATTCTTTTCAAAAGATTCGAAAATGAAACTAGGTTTTGAATTCTAGGTGTTTAAACACACTTGATAAGGTCTTGTTTGGTTCTCGTCCCTCTGTTCCCAGGAAGCCAGCATTATTGGCCTGTTTACGAACTTTTGAGAGGACAGCAATCTGTCAATACAACACAGTATCAACATTGTCAAACAAAATATCACAGTAATTCTGGAAGTGCAATGTTTGGAAATTAGATTTTCATTGATATCTAATTATATAAACTATGATTTTACATAAAATTGCACAGTCAAGATCTTATTTTATTTCCAATTCCAAATATTGCACATTTTATTGTGTAATATTTAGAAATAAGACCGTTACTGTGTAATTTTTCTCCAAAAATTTAATCAGACTTCAAGTCATAATTCAGCCCTGCAAATATATATGAATTAACAATTATCTTATTCTATGATATAACGTTTAAAATTCCTTGAATAGAAATAATGAGATCGAGAAGAAGCCGTAAAAAATTCTTCAAATATATGAGTATATTGCATTTATTTTGACACTTAAAGAACAGATGTATATTTTTAAATATCCACTTAACAATGAAAAACAAAACATCTTTGATGTCTAATTACTTGAGGGACAAGATTTTATCAAAGAATTTAAATGGCATGTCTCGTTGTACACAAATGTATGTGGCTTACTGGTTAGTCAGAGTAAGCGATACACTGGGAATATGGTGGTGTCTATGTTTTCTGTCTTTTTTTGCTATATTTTTGCAATGAATTTGGCATTTGTTGACTTTCTTAAAGATTACGAACTTTGCTTCAGAAACTGTTTTCAGAATTTATTTGTTCATTTGTCATCAATGAAATAGGCATATTCCCCGAAACCCATCAAGCTGTAAAGATAATCTTTACATAAAGCAATATTAGCTTTTTCAACACTCTTCAAATTAATAATGGTGCACACTGGGAAAAACCTTGCAATAATATAAATGTATTAGTGTGAGAAGACAAAACTGCCCAAATTTATGGCTTGAGATAAATATGTAAATATTATTAAAGTTTGAAATTTTGAAAACAAGAAGTAGAATTGAATACTGTATATGTGGAATTTTTAGTGAGACGCAAATCAATCAATTTTTCCTTTTAAAAAACCAAACCAAACACTGTATCTAATTTTAGTGAGAAGTAATTTTAGCAATTTTGTGATCTTTGTGATTGTAACAGTGACCTCAAATGGATGGTAATATGAATTGTTAACGATACTTTAATTTTAGATATCAAAACACCCTCGCTAAAAATGCCAAAATTGAATCCTCACTAAAACTTCTGCGTTTAAATATTATAACATCATACATCCATGCTTTTGTAATGAAAAAAAATCTTACATTTTTTGAAAAAAAAAGACCTACTTGTAGTAATATAAGAAGGTTTAAAAGCAAATTCTCTCTCTCTCTCTCTCTCTCTCTGAGACTCTTTTCCTATTTTATAGTCAGTAACTATTTGGTGAACCTTTTCTTGTTTTATAGTCAGTAACTATTTGGTGGACTTTTTCGTGTTTTATAGTCAGTAACTATTTGGTGAACCTTTTCTTGTTTTATAGTCAGTAACTATTTGGTGGACCTTTTCGTGTTTTATAACCAGTAACTATTTGGTGGACCTTTTCGTGTTTTATAGCCAGTAACTATTTGGTGAACTTTTCGTGTTTTATAGTCAGTAACTATTTGGTGAACTTTTCGTGTTTTATAGCCAGTAACTATTTGGTGAACTCTTCGTGTTTTATATTCAGTAACTATTTGGTGATCCCTTTCTTGTTTTATAGCAAGTAACTATTTGGTGAACTTTTCGTGTTTTACAGTCAGTAACTATTTGGTGAACCTTTTCTTGTTTTATAGTCAGTAACTATTTGGTGAACTTTTCGTGTTTTATAGTCAGTAACTATTTCGTGAACCTTTTCGTGTTTTATAGTCAGTAACTATTTGGTGAACTTTTCTTGTTTTATAGTCAGTAACTATTTCATGAACCTTTTCGTGTTTTATAGCCAGTAACTATTTGGTGAACTCTTCGTATTTTATAGTCAGAACTATTTGGTGAACTTTTTCTTGTTTTATAGCCAGTAACTATTTGGTGAACCTTTTCTTATTTCATAGTCAGTAACTATTGGTGAACCTTTTTTTGTTTTATAGTCAGTAACTATTTGGTGAACCTTTTCTTGTTTTATAGTCAGTAACTATTTGGTGAACTTTTCGTGCTTTATAGTCAGTAACTATTTGGTGAACTTTTCGTGTTTTATAGTCAGTAATTATTTGGTGAAGCTTTTCTTGTTTTATAGTCAGTAATTATTTGGTGAACCTGGTAGTCTTGGACAGCAATGACGAGAGCCCCACCTTTTTAAACCAGCCCCACCCCTTTCAGTCCACCGTCCGGAGTAACATGCCAACAGGGACCGTGGTCTACTCGTTGTCCGCCTCAGACCCAGACACGGGGAGCAACCTACGCTTCTACATCAACGGTATGAAAAAGATTATTGTAAAACTAATATTTTTAAAGTTATGATCTTGGTTTATGTAGATTTTTCAGGGAATAAGAATATTGTAATATAAAACTAGTTTTATAATCAGTTAGATATTAGGGATATGTAATAAATTTGTCACTGGTCTTTCTATTGTTTTCAAGACAATTATATTGTTCATATTTCAACTGTATATGCAAACAACTACAATATAATATAAAGTCGTGTTCATCAAATTGTTTGCATCTTTACAAATTCGAATGCATAGAGGATTGTTGAACATTATTAGATTGATATTATACTCTGATCGGGTGTGACTAAAATTCTTCATTGTTCGTTTACTCATGCGACACATTGCAGATATAAAACGTCGATAATCTAGCCGTTTTATTTCGGATATAAATATTCAATATGTAACATGGATAAAAATATAAAATTAATCAAAATTTTAAATGTGTTTAAACAAACACACAGAGTCTTTATAATTCCAAATGCAACTTTTAAAAGGAAAAATGATATAAAATTCCAAAGTCAAATCTAGTTCCGCAAAAGTACATGTATTTCAATTTTTTCAAGCAGGAAACACATCATTAAATTAACTCTAAATATTTGAAATTTTAACCGTATGGAAAAAGAGAAAATTATAGATTTTTTCCAATTAATTAATTTGCCTGAAAGGAAACCGTAAATTATTATTTTACTTGTAATAAATGTTACAAACTTAACAGTCTGCTTCAGGAAGAAATAAGAGGGTGTGCGTATTCCAAGATAGTTGCAGAGCTTTGCAAATATTGAAAATATTAAAGCAGACTCCCGCTTCTTTCTATTAGTACTTTATCTTAAAAGTAGCGTTAGGGAGAAAACGTTTTCATATGCATATACTTTTTTGTAATTTTTGTGAATTTTGCATTAACGATTTGTTTAAAATATCACAAGCATTTACGGTTCCATTGTAGAATAAAATAGAAATCAAATAATACTGTTTCAGTAAATACAGAAAAACACTCTTACAATGAGGTGATTTCATTGCCTGAAGTTTTAAAACGTATTACGAAATGATCACAACGAATTAAGTTTATAAATAATCACCCTAAGCACTTCGTTACAAGCGTGATTTACGGCAGTTTTATTTATTCGGTAATAAACATGAGTAATCAAACATAACAAAGCTCACCTAGACGAATGTTATCTAGAACACGAAGTAAGTCAAAGATTCACACCAAAATAATGCATCCCTAGATGCATACAAGTTGGTCAATTTAGGGCTTATAGCTATTTGGGAATGTACTTGCTCCAAATATTTTAACCTAACCACTTATTAAGTCATCCGGAAAATGTACGTAGATCCAGCATCCTAAGTGAATTTCGTAGATGTATCACCCGTGCAAGTTTGGTCCAAGTAGGGCTTATAGTTACAAAGAAATGGATGTGCTACAAAACCTTTAACCGAAAATGTAGGTTAGATCCAAGATTTCGAAGCACTTGTGGTAGTGTGCATACCTACTGAGTATATACATCATCCGTCTAAGCTTGTTCACCAGAGTCTTCTATTTGACTTGGGAAATGACTTGTTCAACAAACGTTATTCTGGTCATTCATCCCGAAAATGTCGGTCAGATCCAGCATCTAAAGCAAGTTTGCTAGGGTATATCCTTATAAATATGCTCATTTCATGCGAGCTTGGTAAAGGTAGAACCTATAGTTACTTAAGAATGGACTTGCTCCAAAAACTTTAACATGGTCATTCATCCAGAAAATGTAGGTCAGATCCAGTCCCTTGATGCATCATCCATGCAAGTTAGGTCACCACAGGGCTTATAGTTACTTGGGAATGGACTTACTCCAAAAACTATAAGGTCACTTATTTGGAAAATATAGGTCAGGTTTAGCATCCGAAGCATATCTGGTAGTGTACATCCCTAAATGCATCATCCATGCAAGTTTTGTCACCATAGAGATTGTAGTCATTTGAGAATGGACTTACTCCAAAAACTTTAACCTGGTCACTTATCCGGAAAATGTAGGTCAAGTCCAGCATCCGAATCAAGTCTGTTGTGTACATCCCTAGATACATCATCCATGCAAATTTGGTCCAGGTAGGATTTATACCAGTTCTTACTTGGGGATGGACTTCGTTGAGGGGAGCTAAAAATGCACGTTATTTAGTATTTCTTTCAACTCACACAGTTTGAGATGTATTAATTGTTTCTAATTGCTTTAGGTTCTGTTGGTTTTGCTGTTGATGAGAATACAGGAAATATTACCACAACAAGGCTCTTCAATGGCCCCAATGACACAAATGGTAACGATTACGTAATCAATGCCTATGTGTCAGACATTGCTGCCCCAATTCTGCAGACGACAGTTGCAATGGTAACGATCAGGCTTGGTCTGAGGGGACCTCAGTTTTTCTCCCAGTCATACACAGCAAACATTCGAGATGATAACGATATAAACCAAATGTAAGCATATTGTCCGTTAGAATGTATATTTAGGTAAAGCAACGCAATAACCTTTGGATCAATAAAATCAGACTTATAGCAGTAGAGGGTATGAAATCTAAAACGAAATTGAAAGAATTTGTACATATGTTTTTAAGCTTTCCAATTTTGGATCAAAATGGCGAACCTTCCTCAGTAAAGAGTCTGAACTTCCAAGCAGATCTGAATGGCAATACGACCTATTCGGTGTACAGCGGTGTAACGACCATCTCCGATAAATTTGCCATCTCAGCTGATGGACAGCTAAGAGTCCTGAAGAAGCTGCTTTTGGGTGCGGATGCACCAGTTTATACCCTCTTCATTCAGGCACAGGATTCCTTTTCTGGATTATCAACAAAAGTCAACGTAAATATACCCTTTGGTGTCAAAAAAGAAATTGTACTGTATACTTAGGATATAATTGTTGTCAAGCTGTTCGAGTATAAAGATCATTCATCATTTACAATTCAATCCTTGACACCCCCCCCCCCCTAAAAAAAAGAAAGAAAGATTTTCTACAGTATTTGATAGAGTAACTTTCTGATGTTCTAAATGTACAAACGTCCCTTGTTGAAGTACAGTGCCTTTTATTTCCCCTTTTCTAGCTGACAGTAAATTTGCTGAAGAACTATAAACCAATGCTGACATTGCCAGTGTACACTGCCACAGTTCCAGAAAATCTTAAAATCAACGATACCATTCTCACAGGTAACAGGCTACTTCAAGCTCCAAACAGTAAATTTTACACTTTTGCAGTTTAGCATGTTTATCAATGTTTTCATCCATGATTATCAGAGCATTACAACTTCCTATTTTCAGTGGAGACTATTGCTTCCGACAACATGCAACAATTTAACTATAGCGTGGACTCCCCTGTGTTTTGGGTACAAAACTTGAATGGCAAGGGCATCATCAGAGTGAATAGGTTTGTTCCCATAATTATTAAATTTAATTTGAGATCTTATTGAAATCACACTGCTTTTGTTACTCCAATCATGGTCATGACTATTGTTCTGTCACTTGAATATGGCTGTTCATTGTAGACATCTGGATTATGAGGCAGTGAGTGATGCTTTCTACCAGGATCACTCCTACACATTTCACGTGACTGTAGACGGGTACAACATGACGTCATTAGTTATTGTGTACCTTCAGAACGTAAATGATGAGGTGCCCGTTTTCACCAGCAGCACAGAGAGCACAATACAAGACACAATCGACTATGGACGTATTGTGATGAATGTCAAGGCCATCGACAAAGACGGAGATGGAGTTACCTACCGTTTTCTAGGTTACACGATAGAAGAATTTTTTAAAGCTTCTTTAATTTTCCATTTAAAATATTTTCATTAACTGATTGTCTTTGTATCCGCAGATCCCAGTACAATATTTGCTATTGACCGAAATTCCGGACAGATTACCATAACAAGACCCGGAAATCAAATTCCTGCTGACGTAGACTCTTATAAGTTAACTGTAATCGCGAAGGATGATGGTAGTTGTTGTAATGGCGGCACAAGCTCTATTCACTCGGAAACACAAGAAATCACCATTAACATTGTAGACAGTAAAAATTATAAGCCCCAATTTGCAGAATGTAGTTCATATTACAATGCCTCCATATTAGAGGAAGAACCGGTGGGAACGTATGTTTTAACGGTATGTACACGAGGATACTAGTACTTTGTTATAACACAGTCAATGGTGTATACAATTAATTATGTATTTCTATTAGGGATGGCAATCGATTACAGAATTGTTAATCGGTTAACCGCAAGATGTTCCGACCGCTTAACCGGTTAATCGTATCAAAATGCACGTTTTCTTGACAATTGTTTTTCAAGTAGCTCTGTCCATATACACAAATAGACCTAAATAATACGATAGAAGTTAAAACTCTCCATTAGTCTTGATTCTGGATCAGAAAATTTCCAGAGCAGATGTCACAGAAGTTCTTTCTGCATTTTCACTACGAAAATCAAAACTACATGTGAACTCTATAGTCCTTGATTTACAATGTTTGTTTAATGAATAAATTGGATTGAAAACTGAAATCGACAAACACACCAATTCACAGTGCTCAATTATTCATTATTATCATCACTAAAGAATTACGTGACAGTCAGTAACTACATGGTGTTTTCACAGTAATTAACACTACATAAACTGACCAATTACGCAACGATCTCAATCTGGAGATTCATAATTACATGCACGTCAAAATTAGATCCCTTTAATCCTAAATGATCATCCTTTGTGCAGAGATTTCTTTTTTAAAAATAATTTTTTTAAAAAATGTGTTCAATTTAACAAATATTTTATTTTTTCCGATTAACCGATTACAGATTTTCTAATCGATTGCCATCGTTCCGACCGAGTAATCGGTTAACCGGTTACAAATTGCCACCCCCCTAATTTCTATATATGAGGGTTCTTACTCAATAGGTATCTGCGACTGACATAAACAAAGGAGAAAACGGTGTTGTAGACTACACTATTCTTAGCTTTAGAGACGACTTAACTCAAGATTTTACCATTCAGACAGTCAACAAAACAGGTATTTAATATTACAGTTTTACGTAATTGTCCATACGTTTGATACTTAATTAAATTGAAATGATGTAGGTCAATGTAATTTTTGTTTTTGCTTTAGGGGTGATTCGAAGTAACGTAAAATTCGACCGCGAGACTCTAAATGACATTTTAAAGGTCACAGTCATTGCCACGGATCACGGACAACCTCCTCTCAGCAGCGAGTGTTCGTTTATAGTCAACGTTGTAGATATAAATGATAATTCTCCAGCGTTTTTGTCGGGAGAAAACGTAGATGGCTGCAATAGACGCGATGAAGGTGTTGTATCACGTGACTCCTCAAAAGGCAATGTAGCCCTGAATATAAGAGCGTTCGATGTGGACTCTGGAGATAATGCTCAGATAGATTACTCTATACTAGACAGTCCAGGAAACTACTTTGATATTACATCCAATACAGGGATGATCTTTGTAAACCAAAGTCTTTCTGATGCAGTGAGTCAATACAATACTTTCAATGAGCTTTTATTGTTTTTGGCAATTTGTAATCCAGAGGACAATTTCATATTGAAATGATTCTTTGATTTATATTTGGAAAAGAAATGAATCCAAAATTCTTTTATACTTACGATGTCTTCCTACTATTATTGATTTTATTTAGCCTGAAAGAGTTACATTACACGTGTTGGCATCAGATAAGGGTGATCCACCAAATAACTCAACAGCTTATGTAGATATAGTTATAAAGAACTCAACGGTGACAAAGCTATGGCCATCGGACAAAAACAATCCAAATTCATTTATCAATGACAACACTAGAACAGACGCTCTTATTACCACTGTGTCATTTGGGAACGTTCTAACAGGCGCAAAACTTATTGTGAAATGCCAGTCTTCCGATCAAGCCAACAAATTCAAAATAGAAATATCGGCCAATAACAGGGATATCATCCTGCATGCTGCAGGTGATTTTGATGACGAAAAGGATACCAAAGTAGCACAGATAAGAGTATATACGGTAAGACACTATCAAAAGGATGCCATAGCACAGATTAGTCTTCATGTAGATGAAAAGAAAAACAAAGTAGCACAAATAAGAGTAAATACGGTAAGACTTATTAAAAGGACACAATAGAGGCACAGACTAGAATCTACAAATTTGTTAAACTAATGAATAGGATATCAAAAGAATCACAGATTGAAACTAAGAAAGGGTAAGCTATATACTTGTATTTCAAGAGGGGTCAGGGTTTTTTTTTATTTAAATATTTTTTTAAGATTGAAATAGAGAAATACATGTAGTAAGATTTAAAATTTTAAACATGGATTTACACAATAATTTGGAGAAACTTTGGCTGTTTCAATCAGTGTCAGGGTGAGTTTTCTCGTCATCTATATGGAGTATTTCTTTTCGAAGGGAAGGAAAAAAAGTTTTTTTTAAGCCAATTTGTTATTTTCATGTGAAAATAATATTGTGTCATTTTCATTATAAAAATAACATCTGTGGAAGATATCACCTTAATGAATAATTACAGTATTTCACAGTGGCAAATGGAATTAAGGAATACTGTGGAATCACTAATTTTCGTGGGGTTTAATTTTCGTGGAATTCATGCCCTCCACGGACCAATAATTTTCCCTCAAATCAGGAAAATTAGACTCACGAAAATATGTAATTTTACAGTATTTACGGTAAGACTTGTGAAAGATTATACATATAGGGTGATACCAGTGAAAATTCTGCATTCCTTGTTTTATATACATGTTTTTTTGTTCTTGTCGCATATCAGGAGATACCTTATTTGCACATGCACTGCTTTTTATTATAGGGACAGGGAGATAGCCAGTATTATGAAGATTCTTACTTCTTATTTTCCATCAACGACACAAACAACAAAATACCACGATTTGTCAACAGAGAGAACCCGGAAATCGGCAAAATAGAGTTTTCTGTACAGGAAGAACAACCGATAGGAGAGGAGGTCGGCATCCTGCTAGCCCATGACGAGGATAGAACTCCGCCCTTCAATAAGGTTTCCAATACCATAAATTAAAAAAACGATAAATGATAACGACTCAGGTCTTTGTTCTATTGATTCAAACCAGTATTTTAGATATTAACGATTTTTTTCAGGTGACGTATAACACAAAATTTAACGACAGCAGTTTTAAGGTGGATGACGTCAATGGTGTAATAACTACCTTAATCAGATTTGACCGAGAAGACCTCACGTCATCAACTCCAGATTTACAGGTAGTGGCTGTGGACGGGTACCCTTCTTCCATACCTGGGCGAACTAGTCCTAACACAGGTGAGAAACGATTCTAATCCTATCGGGAAAAAATGCCGTGGTACTATTACATGCTACATGAACACTGTTCTGTGTAGAGTGTTATGTAACTTTTTTGTCGTTTTTCATTAGGAAAATTAAATAAAAATGAAATTCTAATATAAGGAATATATGACAGAATAGTCTATAACTTCTTGTATTTTCTAGAGTATGCATTTATAGTTTGTATGTTTTTTTTTTTCGTGTAAATTTCTGTAAAACTCAAAACTTAAATTCAGTAGATCATGATCTGCACCAAGAGATAATTTTCAAAATTGACAAAATTTTAGAAATCTTTTGTGGAAAAGACGGTTTTATGATGTAATATATAAGCAGCATATGTTAAATATTTAATATAGGTTAGTTAATGATATACATACCTTGTCACAGGGTCGGCAGTTGTACAGATTACTATAGAAGACATCAATGATAACCCGCCTTACTTTGCCAATGGTTCCTACTTCTTTACGGTTCCGGAGAACGCTCCGATATCACACTCCGTGGGAAGCATCAAGGCGCTGGATAAAGATGGTAAAAAAAAAAAAACAAATTGTAAAGATGTATATCGTACTGGTCATAATTCATAAATCAGGGAACATTTCTCCATAAAATCATTAAATTTAAAAATTTAAAATTTTTATTAAAAAAATGTACAGTTTTTATTTATTAAGAAGATACACACGCTTGCTTCATTTTACAGTTCCAAAGAGTGGTAAATATTATTTTAATTTTAGACACAATTGACGTCATTTAAGTTTTTAGAACGTTTTTGTCCTTGCAGACGAGAAAACATCGAGATATACAAAATATTCATTGGGAGACTCAAGGTTTTTCGGGGTGGACGAGAATACTGGCAAAATCTTTGTGGCGGGAATACTATTTGGACAAGCGAATAAGGTACCATAGTTACTGCCTTGTACACTACTGCAATTTAACTTAAAAAAAAACCAAATTTATAATACACCAAATGCTGTATAATTTGACTTACCGGTATTTTTACTTATTGACGCCTACTTGCATGCGTTTTGATTCTTTGCCCTCAACGTGAATGTAGTGACATTTTTCGGAATTTGCGAGCTAATCGAGAGCGCAAATATACAGTGATAATTACTGTGGAATCTTAAATGGTTCGAGGAGGACAATGTTCGTGGATTTCGGAGGCTACCATTATCTACGAATTCACAACTATATGTTCATTGAATCTTTCGTATAAACAAGTTATACTTATTTACAAGTAAAAATTTGATTGCCCACAAACATTAACCCCCACGAATGACAGAGCAAATAATTCTTCCCCCACTGCAGTATATAAACATGTGGCTATAGTCCGTGCGATGATGCTGTGAAAATTAAAAAAAAAAATGCCTTTCTCATTATATTTTCATGTACGATTTATTTCCTTAAAACCTGTTTGATAATTTTCAGAATATTTCTATGAGATTTACCGCAGATGACGGAAAATTTTCTGCGTCCGTCGATGTGTATATTGGCGTACTGAAAACTTACAACAGACGACCAGAATTCAATGGAAACTATAACATCAAAAGCATAGTGGCCAACAGAAGCTACAACGAGTCCTTGTTTCAAGTAATTATTTGGATTTTATATCCAGACAATAGATCCAGGCAAATTTTAAATACACAAACAATTTTCCTATCTAGAAAATCGGTGAACGTTTATTAAATACATCTCTCAAAATTATATAATGAAGAGGAGATGTAGAATTAAATGATTAACCTTTAATGATGATTTTTCTAAGGTTAAAGCTAATGACCCAGACTGTGGAAATCCCTGTAATCTGAGATATGAGATCATGGCCTCCGATCCCGTCATATTTCGAATTTTTACAATTGACCACATGACAGGAGAAGTGTCTCTTTTGGCGCCACTAGAGCCAAGACCATACGTTTTCAGTGTAAAAGTAACAGACAGTTCATCAAACAGGAGAAAGAAGCGATCTCTTGCTGCCAAAGATGCCTATACAACTGTTACCATCAACCCAGCAACGTAAAAATTTTATTTTATTTATCACTGCCTAGAACAATATATATACAAACTATGGGTTATTAAATTCTTTGGCTCATAAAATGTCACAGTTTATTTTCTTTAAATACAGTTGTAATGTACACCAAGAAGCAGATGAGGACGGTAGGTGCCAATGTATAGATTACTGTAAGAACAGCGCCCCCTGCTATAACGGGGGCACCTGTCAACTGAACTGTAGCTTGGGGTCGGAGCATGGATATTACTGCCAGTGTCCCCCGGGATTCACTAATTGGGACTGTAGTGGGGTGGTGACTGTGACCTCGGCCACTATAGTAGAAGATACGGATGACAACACTTGGCTGATTGTACTCTTAGTTTGTCTTGCTGTCCGTAAGTTTAATTTCGCCTTTTAGTGCTTTACTGCAGCATTTATTGCACAAGATAATTAATTTTTTGGAAGATGAGCAAGTTACTGTCCAAAACTGTAGAACTGCATATTTTTACATTTTAGTTTATGCATGTATTATATATTTAATATAAATCCTTATTTTCTGTGAATCAGAAACATTTAACACAATGTCTGATATTTTAGTGCTAGTTGTGATTATACTTGTGGTGGCGTTCTTGATCAAGAGGAGGAGGAATTTGGACAAAGATAAGAGTATGCTTGCATATGATAACGAGGATTTTGACATCAGAGAAGACGTGGTGGATTACGATGAGGATGGAGCGGGTTAGCGATAATTCATTTTAAAGTTTCCAATAGATTCTAAATACCTATTCGATTGATCAGTATCTGTTAATACTAAAGGTTCCTACACGTAGGTAAATACTCTAGTGCCAACAATCATTAATTCTAAAAGTAAAGATCGTGTACTCAATGTTACTATTGATAATATGGTGCTTCAAATGTACTTCATTGAGATTTTCAATAATATTTACATTTCTAATTTTCCCTGTAATAACTCTTTGAAAGTTAGGCGAGTTGATTTCTTGATAATAGCATCTGAATGTAAATTTCGCCAAGTGAAAGGTCAGGAACCTAATATGCATGTCAATCATTATCTCTTGCGGCTGTCTTTGTCTGACGTCATTGGGCGGGAACTATTGAAATTAACATGGGAGACCTCGTGTATTCTAAATTTATTAGACAGCATTTAAAAAAATTTTAATTATATTTACAATTTTATTTTATATATAGAATCACTGTCTAGTTTGTTGGGTATGCTAGAGACATCAACGACAGTTGGAAACGTGGGTTTCGCCCGTTATGCAAATTATCCCATGTTTCCAACTATCATTGACAGTGGTGTACCATATAGGCAAAAAGGCTGTAACTTGATGCCCTGGCATATCCAACAAACTAGACAGTGATTCCATAAGAATCCTACATTTCTGTACCCATGTGTATTTCAATACAGGTTTGGTTTCGATTGGTTTAAATCTACACAGCCTCAATACACACCTATACTTATCTGTATATATACGTGTCATTTAATGCACATAATATCATGCACATGCATATAATATCTATGCGCATTTTTCCCCATTACCCACTTGTTTTTCATTACACATCTGTCTTTTGATAAACACTTGTCTTTCGATGTCTTTTGATAAACACTTGTCTTTTGATAAACACCTTATTTTGATAAACACCTGTCCTGTATCTGTGTTCCAGGAGAAGATGACTATGCTGGCTACGATATTACCATGATCAGAAAAGCAGTAACAGTTAGAGACGAAAGTGTACCAAAATCAATGACAATGTCTGACAGACCTGTCACCTGTAAGTTTTCAAAAGTCAAAGACATAGCTTTTATCAGTGGAATTGTTTATCCATTATTATATATACTTATATACTGTTGTAGCAGCAGCACCCAGTAATGGCCACCTACGGGAATTCATTGGAGATCGATTGGAGGATGCTGAGGGTGACAGTGGTGCCCCACCCTATGATACGTTACACGAGTTTATGTATGAGGGGGAGGGAAGCCTGGCAGGGTCTCTCAGCTCAATCAACACATCCTCCAGCGGTGGGGACCAAGACTATGAATATCTACATGAATGGGGACCCAAGTTTGCCAAACTTGCTGATATGTACAACACATATGAAGACTCGGACTAAAGCTTATCAATGAAAACTATCTGCATTTATCTCATCATTCATCACTCATTTGATATCACTAATATACATGTACATTTTCCCATTTTATTTTTTACCTTTACCTAATCATTACAGTAGAAGAAACCATCACATTGATTTTGGGATAACACAGTGCTGAATTTTGTGCCATAATAAGACTTATTGTGTGTGACTTAGTTTCTGAATGACGATAATTATATATCTGTAAATAAGGTGCTGATGAAGATAATTTATAGATTTTTAAAAAAATAAATTTATTGATCTCGCAATGTAAGTTTCTTTGTCTCTGATGCAAGATGTTTTAGTATGTATTATTGTTATTCTTATGTACATATTATTAACCCTTGTCTCTATGGTGACTGAATAAATTTTAAATCATTGTTGAAGTTCTGAACTTATAGCAATCTCTATCAATCTATCTCTATCTGTATCAAACATTTACACAAATCTCTATTCATATCAAACATGTACACACATTCTTTTACAATTGTTTATTTTATAAGCTATAATTGTTTTGACAGTACTTCATTCAATGGGTTACAATAATCCACTGGTTTCAAAACAAAGTGAAAAATATCACAGATGTATACAAAATATCTGATGTCATGGGAACTTAACAGTATGTGTAAAACCAAAGAAGTGAATAAATATATACATTAAATAACACAGAATTTCATACTAACCTTCTCGCTGTACATACACAACTACAATTAAAGTGGAGATTATCATGTAAATACAAAATAATAAATTTTGACAAGTATTAATTATCGTAACTAAATAGTCATCACATACACTACACGATAGACAATGATATACACGCTGCCAATCCTACAGAAATTCATTCAGTGCTAACAGAGTACGTACTACAGAGAAAATGATGACTCCATTAAATAAACTGGAAAGTGTCTTGCTTAATGAGGTGTCAAAATCATTTTTTGTAATCATCCATATTCATGTACTTATTGAAACTTTTGTAATAATACAGAAATAACTATATGTATTATTTTGAGCATTTTAAATTAAATAAATGCATCACTTAATTAGGAGGACGCTGAGTTACATGACCCGCCATCATATGTTTGCATGATTTAGGAAGTAAATGTGCCATATTACACGTTTTTTTCAAGGATTTGCCTAAATTTATATACATATTTGGGACTATAATATATCACACATTTATTTCTGAATTTCAAGAGTATTTTTATCTTAATTAACCTAAAATTTCTGCTACATGTAACTTGGTAAATCCCAGAATTAAATTTTGTTCAATTTGTAAAATTATAAATAAGTTCATTCACATTCTATTTATAATTATTACATGTTCAATCCTACATATAAGTATATCTTAAATGCAACACTGACAGGATTCGATGTATCTAACCTATATTTTGGCATCAATATTTCCTTTCTGAAAGTAATTGAGTTAATTGGTGTGTTATTTTAATTTTAAAGAATTAAACATTATATCAAATACTGAACACTGGTGTTACATTGTGATACAACATGATTTGTAAAAAAAAAATCCCCTCCATTTAAAAAATTTGATACTTTTACAACCCAGCAAAGCTGTTCTTGTTTGAAGTATTTCACAACCATCAAAAAATAAAATTACAATGGCAGTTTATAAAAAAAAACTCAAAGTCATGATGTTGAGTAATATAACCAAAAAAAAAAAATTATAAATATGCTGAAGTCCTTTCACCTTTTAGCTTGTATAAATTATGTCAGTTAAACATTATGTGATTAACTGCAAAAAACCAAGAGACACCTGTAAACAAAGGGGTTGTCAGCAGATTTGGAAAATAATGATATCTCCATCAAAACTTTACCAAACAAATGGTATAGCATTGTAAATATGTTATGCCATCAAAATGCCCTCAGTTAACTTAAAGCTAAATTGTAGTAAAATCTGCTGCAGTTATATTTTGCCACAGTGGCAAACATCACAATGTACCCTACATCTGTATGCATATAATGTAAAGGTCCTGTAGACAATATTTTTTTCAAAAATCATATTTCAGGATGTGAATTGCCACAACTTTATACATTTATAAATACATCTCTTCATCCCATCACAAAAATTGAACTGTTTGATATTCACAGGTACATGGGATGTATAATCTAAACATGACTTAAATAACAACTTGGTGCCTAAATGGTCTTACAAAGTAACAAATATTTTCATGCAATAACACACATGTAGGAAATTAACAGTTTAAAATACCTTGCATGACTCAATCTTATAAACAAGAGATACAGATACATGCCTTATAAAGACCTTCACTTATCTCTCTCTTAATCTCTTTTCTATACTCTATACACATGTGAACATTTAAAATAATCTTACAAATGGTACACTAATATCAACATTTTGTTAGGTTTGTCAGTAGTAATGATGCATATGTGTGTGTATATGCCATGATGTAAATAATACAGTAAAATACCCTTATAGCGAACACCTTATAATGAATTTATAGCAAAGTGACTTTCCTTCTCCGTGGTTATATAAAATGTATCGTGAACTTAATAGATAAAACAAATTATGTTTTTAATGAAGCGAAATTGTCCATTCAATATTGGCACTTTGCTATAAGCATACTTTACTGTAATATATTCTGATCAAATACAAATATTTAAAAATTAAAATGCAAATAATAAATATGATAACAAAGAATTCCCAGCTTATTCTCAAAAACTAAATACAGCCATTTTGAAAGTTAGAAAATAAATATAATATTGCAATGTAAAGTGAACACATAATTCTGTATAATTTTACACAATTAATCTACGTATCGTACACATTTTAACCTTCCATACCTATCACCATGTCAACAGTACAAATTGCTCGAGGATTTCTCTGTTCGGGTGGTGTGAGGTGTTTGCTATGTATTAAACACAGGAAGGTTATACAAGTTATATCCACCAACTCCATTTATTGCTAGAATGATGTACACCACATGGTAAACTGGAAAGAATTATAGAGATGTCTAATCATAAATCTGTTACAGACTGCTGAGATGATTATTTGTATACAGAGCAGTTCAAATGTGATGTTCTCAATACTTAGTCATAATCGATGAAATACTATGTTTCTATGCAAAATCAATTATTATATACATTTATTGTTAATCCAACAAATTGAAGCCAGACACAAAAATACACTGAAGGCCCATGGGTCACAATGCTTACCTGAGTAACTATGGCCCATCCATACTTATCAGCAGATTTTCCTCAATATATTCCTATGTAAGATAATATATATCGTAGCCCCACCCTACCCCCAGGTGTCATAATTTGAACAAACTTGAATCTGAGGATGCTTCCATATATATGACTTATCATGGCTTTGCTGTTCTGAAGAAGACTTAAAAAGATTTTTCCTACATATTCTTATGTAAAACTTTTAAAGGGGCATTGTGGCCCCATACTACCCCTGGGGGTCATGATTTGAATAAATTAGATTCTACACTACCTGGATATACTTCAGTATAAATATCACTAATTATGGCTTTGTTTTTCTTAAAAGAATTTTAAAGATTTTCCCCATGTATTCCTATGAAAAACTTTGATCGCCCATAGTGGCCCCACCCTACCCTCTGGGGTCATGATTTGAACAAACTTGAATCTACACTACCTCAGGATGCTTCCATATAAATTAATGACTAATCATGACTTTGCTGTTCTTGAGAAGAAAAATTTTAAAGATTTTTCCTCTGTATGCCTAATGTGAAACTTTGTCACCCATAGTGGCCCAATTCTACCCCAAGGGGTCATGATTTGAACAAACCTGAATGTACACTACCCCAGAAAGCTTTTGCATAAGTTTCACCTTTTCTGGCCCAGTGGTTCTTGAGAAGAAGATTTTTCAATTACCCCATCCAATTTTTGCTATTTCCTAAATATTTACATATTCAAATGTTTTCTGTCATATGACACTATCGAAAGCAGGGCATATCTATATCCGTATAAAAACGGGTTCCTCACATCATAAATGTTTGATATAATTTCTCAGTGACGTCATAAAGGTTCGATGCACAATCAATAGATCAAACTCGTGCTGTTGAGTTTGAAAAATAAAACATTTCACGTGTTAAAGATTATAATCAGGCAAATATAAAATATGAAGTCACAAATGTAAATTTAAGTAATAAGGTATCATTTTAAAACATGTATCGGGATATAAATATGGATTGGTACGAGATTAAATTTACCATAAAGTCCTTCAGGCTTTATGGAATTTGGTCTTGTGACCAACCCATATTTATATGCCAATAGATGTTTAAAAATGACACCTTATTTCTTAATTATCTTCCCTTTGGAATAGGATTTGGAATAGAATCATTTAAAAAAAAAAAACCTGAATCACCTTTACCCAAGGATACTCTGTGCCAAGTTTGGTTGAAACTGGCCAAGTGGTTCTGGAGAAGAAGATGAAAATGTGAAAAAATTACAACAACAAAGCTGCTGCCGCTGCCTACAGACAATGGACAAATTTTGATCAGAAAAGCTCACTTGAGCCTTCAACTCAGGTGAGCTAGAAAGAATTAGTGTTTGCTTCCTTCAAATGTTCTGTTTACTAATTAACACATCATTATTTTACATGTACTAAAATCTGCTTTATTTAATTAAGCACATACTATATATGAATTGTAAAATGTAGTGACAATACTGAGAGGAAATGAATGAAAGGGAAATCTAACAATATCTGAAAAGGTTTGATGATCAGCTCATGAGTGAATAAAGAATCGTTTTAATTTGTTAATTATAACTCACCTCCTGGAATAAGACAAAGCACTCCTCCGATAAAGAACACTAGGCAGTGAAGACCTACGTACAATAATAATGTGGTTAATAGGAAACAAGTACAGAGTTCAGATTTATTTTTACTAAAGTTTTATTTTTACTGACAGAAAAAAAACCTCTAGTTAATGTAAAAATAATAATAGCTGTATATTGTAAGATGACATGTGAAAGAAAAAGGAAAACATAATTCAAAACATATCGTCTCAAGCCACGGTCCGGAGTCTGCATATTGCTCAATAGCTTGATCACAAAAAGTGTCGCAATCTTGAAAATTTACGCCTCTATGTTGTGACGTCATGTTCAGCCGATGACAATATTTGTTTCCATCGCAATTGAAATCAACAACTGATATCAAGAGTACACAAGGAATGTTTCGTATACTGCGATTGGGTATTGAAAGGCCGGGTCAAAGTTCATTATTCGACTATGCTTTACCTTATATGGTATTGGAATTAGCTATTCCAGCATAAATAAAAACAGACAATACGTTCTTTTCAAACTAATAATCTTTTGTACATTTACAAAGTTTAAAAAATACAATTTTAATTGCTTTCAAAAAAATGTGTTTGCTGCATTTTAAATTAGCAAATTCATAAAAATAACAGGTTTATGATTATCAAATCTTTGCTTTGTTTGGTCACAATCTGTGGAATGTTCTTTGGTATTCTTTTTTATTTTTGGTCACATTTTGTGGAACATTCTTTGGTATTTTTTTTTTTATTTTTTACATATTGATACAACGGTATAAAATGAAGATATCTCACCTCTGTCTGATGAAGCCACTATACCAACACCAACCAAAAACAGAGCTGAAAATAAGATACACAAAATTATTTGACTTCTCAATCCATTCTACCTAGTCAACCAATCTAGAAAAGACCTGAAAATAGGATGCACAAAATTATTAGAGAAGAGAGACAAAATGTTGGGCATTTTGGGAGCTAGCAATAACAGTGCTGAGCTGGTTAAGAAGATCTGAAAAGTTACAGTTTGGGATGTTGCATACTTTTCCAGATTCCATGGAATAAACAATGTACAATTGAATGACTGAACAATGAAATCATTTTATCAAGCCAAACTTACCTGCTCCCACAACAGTCAAAGACACCGCACCACACACTGTTTTATAGTTCTCTTTGATCTTGGGATGTCTCCACCATCTTAAAACAACAACAACAAAAAACCAACATTCCAGTTTTTCTCCTATTCAGTATTTATAAAAATAAATTGTAACATTTTAGTTTTTGAAGTTTCTTTTTTATATCCACAACCAAAACTGCTTGATTTACATCTCATACACCAAATGACTTTGGACTGGAAATTAATTACATGTAAATAGATTTAAAGTTTTTGTTTTTCGGTGCATCTATTAGTATTTTGTGGTGGCACATTTAACCCCATCTCATGCTGCAAACTGTTTGAATTTTGATAAAAACACAAGTTAAAAAAAGATCTTTAATTTGAGACATTGATAATTAGTTAAGCTTATAATTATAGACAGTAAAGTACATTTTGTATTGTGGTAATTAAATTGATCATTTTCTTCAAGTCGACCATTTTAACCTATATCATTGTGGTAATTAATTGATCATTTTCTTCAAGTAGACCATTTTAACCTTTATCATTTCCTCTTGTTTTTTTTTTAATTTTTTTTTTTTAATATGGCTACTGTTTAATGGGCCACAATGCTCACCTTAGTCACACTAAAACATCTGGTAATCTTTTAACCTCTATTGCTGACCTCCAAAAAAAAAAAAAAGAGGTACTGTGAGCAATGAGCACACAAAATGATACCTCCCCCCCCCCCCCAAAAAAATATGAGTATACTGGAAAAGACCATGTTTTACTATGGTAATCCCCAAATATATGTCCGATCAAAACGTGAAATAGGAGGTGTACAATGATACTATGTAATAAAGATTCTGTGAAAGTATATTTTATTCAGCCCCCTCCCCCCTTTTTTTTTTTTTTTTTTTTTTTTACACAACACTGAGGGTACCCATTTCTTATCCGAAAGGCCTCCTATACCACTGAATAAAATTAATGAGGACTTTCTCAGAATCTTTTTTTACATAGTGCCATTGCATGTACACCTCCTATTCTACGTTTTGATCGGACAGATATTTGGGGTTTTCCGTAGCCAAATCTGGATTCTTCCAATCTTTCTATGATACTAGGAGTACCCATCTCTTATCCGCAACTCCTTCTATACCACTGAATAAAATTTAAAGACACTCACAAAATCTTTATTACATAGTGGCTGTGGGAAACTTCAAATAAATGTTCAACTGAAATGTAAAATAAGAGATGCACAGTGGCAAATATGTACTTTGCCATTATACTCCTATGGGAGTGAGTGGTATCATTTTTTGAGCTCAGTGTTCACAGTATCTACTACTGCATTTGTCCCTCCGGCTCTGGAGAAGGCTGCTTTACATCACAGAAAATTTTAAAACTGTTCAGTTATCATTACCGAAAATTTTAAAACTGATCAGTTATCATTACCAAAAATTATTTTCTTTCATTCCTGAAGGATCATCCGATATCAGCATTGAAAATTCAAAATGAGACACCAGTTGAAGCAGAAGAAGTTTCCTACTGCATCCAGAAATACAGTAAAATTGTATCTGGAGCTGTGTCAGTCCCCAGCATTAAACATACTCTACAAGGACTACAAGTACTCTGCAATAATTGATATACAAATTTTTGTGTTGATGATTATAAGCATTTTATTCCAGTGTTACATTGACTTTAAATGTTTTATTTGAAATAGTGCTGATAATCAATTAAATTCTCAAAAATGATTCTGCTCAAAATCTTCTTTTACCTCCCCCAGGTGAGAAGGGGGCAATAGTATGACCTCGCTAACAAAAGATAAATCAATTTCAGTAACGTTATACATTATCTTAGAAATTAACTAAAAAATATATAATTTTTTGATGGTATTGTTGAAAAAAAATTTTCAGTAATGCAATAGACTGTTTCACAATAACTGCAGTAATGCTCTTTTGCAGGGCAAATTGATCTCGTTTGGTGAAACATTACGTAACAGCAATTATTAAATAAATATCATTAAATTATCTGCCATCAAAAACTTCACCAAACATTGTTAATTTCCCTGCAAAAGAACAGCACTGCAGTTATCATGAAAGGGCTAATATCAATTTTTCAGTAATGCAAAATTGCGCTGGAGTATAGGTATAATAACACAAAGAATGGCAGACAGATGGCACACTTGATCAGAAAAAGTTCTCCAGCTCTGTTCGATTGGTAAATAATGTACCAGTATATATAAAATGCCAGCAGACATGGTTTATGAAATTAAAATTTGAGAAACAAGGTGTTAATTTCTTTCAATACAGGATAATATGAAATTCTAATCTAACCAAGATATCACAATGTTGGTGTTAATTTTCTTCAAAGATCATAGAAATACTCTGATTCCCATAAGATCCTGAACATATGCAAAGAGGAACTATGAATATTTTCTCTTTACCATTGTATATGTAAATTTTGGGTGCAACTCTGCATTTGAACAAGTATATTAGTGGCATGCTACCAAACATCTGTTAATTCATGAAATCCGTGCATTAATTGTCTGACTACATGTATTACATTCTGTCAAAATTGAACATGTACTTATTTCTGTGGAATTCTTATTTTATTGCCTTAAAATGGTAATCCTTTCTGCTGTAATTTATGAATACTGCCAAAATTTCATTAATCTATAGAAATATATAGTAAAACACAGGGATGAACACTTTTCATTTGTTATAAATGTTATTCATTATATCTGATACCTTCATAATACATGTACATTTTAAAACTAAAGAAAATGAATTAAAATCACTTTGCTGTAAACTTAATTTCATAATAAATATGTATGCTGAAACCATATTTTACTGTGCTAATATAAATAGTATTTTTTTATTGTGCCAAACAATTCCTCTTTTAAATTTGGAAAACACTAAAAAATAAGAACACGTCCAATGATTAAGCTCAGTGGAAGCCTCTGTGATAGTTATACCGTGGTTCCTTGGCAGAATTGGAGGATACAACAGTCTCCCCTGACCAGCCACTGGGATCAGAGATAACAGGTGCCCCCACCAGTGGATGGCTGGAAATATAACCGTGTTAGTAAAAGTGAAAACGTCCTCCACCAAACATGCATAAATAAAAGCACAACTGATAAAATGTTTGCAAGAGAAAATGCATGGAACTCTTGTAAAAATTCAAACTAATACTAGCATTAAGGTTCATTATATTCCTCTTTCCAAATGTATATATCAAATTCTGCTTCAGCATTTATTATTTTCTGAAAGGAATCTGACATACATGTATATACATTATACAAAAAGCATACAATTTCAGCATATCATGCTGCACAAAATTTGACAGAAATGAACTTTCTAACTTGACAATTTTTTAAAAGAATAATAGTCATATATCTCAGTGAGAGTTATGTCTCTTATCAGAGGGTCAGTGAACCTTAAACATCATTCTAAACTACTAGTGTATATACTTGTAACTTAAGTTGCATCCACTGCTAATTGTTACAAGTTAATTTTCTGAATCAAATTGTTCATAACTATGTTTTCTGAAAGATATATTAGTAGATTTTTTTGTTAGCTCCATCTACCTGTTGCACCTGTGCATTTGTCTATAGTGTTAGATATCTTCCTATGTTTAATGGATATCAAAACAATTCTTTTAGGATATGATTATTTAAGGCATATTATGCAGATTTGCAATAAGTTTTTAGAAATTTAATTTCAACCCCAGAGATCCCCATGGGCACAAAATAAAATCATTTAATTCTTATACATGTATAATTCTATTGCTTCTCATTGCAAAGAGCAAGGTTCACTTTAGCCATACAATGGCCCTGTCCATATACAAATTAACTGACCAAGTCCAAAAGTTCTATTTCAAACATCAATATAAAGTAGACACTTAATTAATACTTTCATTTCCTATAAAAAGTTTCCTCTGAGAGTCAATGTATTAAAAGACAGGCTTTGTGAAATTGCAATGTTATTGAATTTTTAAGAAAACTGGTGTAATTTGAGCACCTTCAACAAAGAATACAAATATGAGACACCCCCATGATCCAAAAAATAAAACATGGGTTATAATCTTCTGAAACAATATTTTCGTAAAACAATTAAACATTTTAGATCAGAGTTTGGGGTCTATGCAAAATATTGAAAAAAGGCTTAAATTTTTGCCAATTTTTGAAGAAATTTTGATGATTTGAGGATAATGACGCAATTCATGACATCATAATGCATGAACTAGTGAGAAAATTATGTCATTTTTAATAGATATGCAGTCACCAAGGCTCCAAGCAAAATTTAATGTATTTTCAACTAAAACTGAGTGCTTTAAATTTTTCAGAAATGCACAGGATCATAAAAGGCCCTAAGTGAACCTTGTTCTTTCTACATTTTGTAGTTTCAGAATTTAACTACATGTTGTACACTTGTTTTCAAAGACATAATAGACATATAAAAGTAAAGGTAATCTCTATTTTCAAGGCAAGTGAACAGATAGTGGTTTTAAGAATATTCCATATTTTTCCTGACTTAATTCATAATTCATGTCCTCAGTGAAAAAACCCAGCATATCTTCTGTTTCAGTAGCTATAAGTAACCAGACTTGCATTATGAGGTATAATACCAACATTCATTAGGTAAATTCCTACCACAAGTATCATGATTTTTATGTGCCTTGTGAACTAGATGTATAATTTTCAAGATGTGGTTACTTATGAATTAAATTTACTTACTATCAAATCATGTTGAAGATTATAGAACAGCTCAATTCCCAAGCAAATATAAGTTCAAAATAGACCAAACTGGAACTTACATCACATACAATAATGTAAGTGAAATAAATTTCTGGTCAAGAGATGTTCAAGTCAATTCTTTTATTTGGATTTCCCTGAAAGTCATCGTGAGATAAACAATTAATATCAAACAGACAAGTTTTTATTCAAACTATACAGATTACTTACATTTTGTTGCTTGATTTCAAATTTATTTCCATAGAGTGATATTCAAAGAATGACATTTCAAGACTCAGAATTTCAGTGAAAAGAGTCCTCCATGCTTTAAATAGCTAATAAACTCTATAATGTCAATGTTAAGATGTTAATCCCTCCACAGCCAGTCTTTATACATCCACACTAACTACATGTACAATATGACATAAGTTCTCAGAGCCCTATATCTACTCCCAATAGACCATCACTACCTTCTTCATCCTCTGGCTTTGGAACCCACGCTCCATCATTATTGGGTGATAATAAAAACAAACTCTCATTACGTTCAATCAGTGCTTTGTATTACTTTCCTCGCCACAATAGCCTGAGGCTAGTTTACAGCGTATTATCCCTTTCAGAGTAATTTGTCTCCGTTAGTTTATGTCTGCTCTCTATCAGTGTGTGTTTTATGAACTCATTTCTGTATCCAATAATGCACATCCTATCTGTCTTTTTCAGGCAATAATGTACTTTGCATTATGTCAGATATAGGTAGCAGTAGCTAAATTTTATCTTAATGAGAATAATTAGGTTGTTTGAAAGTTTGATTAGAATGCATCCTTTAAATTACCGTATAAGCAGAAACATAACAAAATGGTAAACTCTTTGTCACATAAGTTAATAAATCTTTCTATCTTAATAATTTTAATTTGAACCATGCACCTGACATATGTGTGCTATATTTGTGATGGAAATATATAATTTCATGCATTTCCACCTGCAAAACTAAACCAGTACCTGGCAGTTACTTAGCTAAGCTATAAATAGTTTTTCTGCTTAGTAGTATACAAATGCAGCCTTCATTAAGTCCCATCACCCGCTTTTGGCTTTCTAGACTCCATTTACCAGAAGACATAGATGAAATCTAAATTTTGGCATTTTATCATTATGTTGTGACTTACCTTTGCTTTTGGCTGCTTCCCATCAGCTGTTGCTCACTGTAGCCCTGGCCATCATACTAAAAATGAGAAATTATATCACTGTAGTCATGGCCATCATACTAATTAAAACAACAATTATATCACTGTAGCCCTGACCATCATACTATAACAGACTTATACCACTATAGCCCTGGTCATCATACTATATAACAGAAATTATATCACTGTAGCCCTGACCATCATACTATATAACAGAAATTATATCACTGTAGCCCTGACCATCATACTATATAACAGAAATTATACCACTGTAGCCCTGACCATCATACTATATAACAGAAATTATATAATTGTTGTCCTGACCATCATACATGTACTATATAATAGAAATTATACCACTGTAGCCCTGACCATCATACTATATAACAGAAATTATATCACTATAGCCCTGGTCATCATACTATATAACAGAAATTATATCACTGTAGCCCTGACCATCATACTAAATAACAGAAATTATATCACTGTAGCCCTGACCATCATACTATATAACAGAAATTATACCACTGTAGCCCTGGTCATCATACTATATAACAGAAATTATACCACTGTAGCCCTGACCATCATACTATATAACAGAAATTATACCACTGTAGCCCTGACCATCATACTATATAACAGAAATTATATCACTGTAGCCCTGACCATCATACTATATAACAGAAATTATATCACTGTAGCCCTGACCATCATACTATATAACAGAAATTATACCACTGTAGCCCTGACCATCATACTATATAACAGAAATTATACCACTGTAGCCCTGACCATCATACTGAATAACAGAAATTATATCACTGTAGCCCTGACCATCATACTATATAACAGAAATTATACCACTGTAGCCCTGACCATCATAACAGAAATTATATCACTGTAGCCCTGACCATCATACTATATAACAGAAATTATATCACTGTAGCCCTGACCATCATACTATAACAGAAATTATATCACTGTACTCCTGGTCATCATACTATATAACAGAAATTATATCACTGTAGCCCTGACCATCACACGATATAACAGAAATTATACCACTGTAGCCCTGACCATCATACTATGTAACAGAAATTATATAATTGTTGTCCTGACCATCATACTATATAATAGAAATTATACCACTGTAGCCCTGACCATCATACTATATAAAAGAAATTATACCACTGTAGTCCTGACCATCATACTATAACAGAAATTATATCACTGTACTCCTGGTCATCATACTATATAAAAGAAATTATATCACTGTAGTTCTGACCATCATACTATACCACTGTAGCCCTGACCATCATACTATAACAGAAATTATATCACTGTAGTCCTGACCATCATACTATAACAAAAATTATACCACTGTAGCCCTGACCATCATACTTTATAACAGAAATTATACCACTGTAGCCCTGACCATCATACTATATAACAGAAATTATACCACTGTAGTCCTGACCATCATACTATAACAGAAATTATACCACTGTAGTTCTGACCATCATACTATAACAAAAATTATACCACTGTAGCCCTGACCATCATACTATATAATAGAAATTATACCACTGTAGCCCTGACCATCATACTATGCAACAGAAATTATACCACTGTAGCCCTGGCCATCATACTATATAACAGAAATTATACCACTGTAGCCCTGACCATCATACTATAACAGAAATTATACCACTTTAGCCCTGACCATCATACTATAAGAGAAATCATACTATATAACAGAAATTATACCACTGTAGCCCTGACCAAGACCCCAGCTAGCTGCAGAACTGTGGCTCTCATGTTGAGAAAATTCAGATAGATTAACCAGAGATCTGGCAAGACCCCAACTAGCTGCAGAACTGTAGCTCTCTGGTTGAAAAAAAAAATTGGACAGACAAACCCAGAGATCTAGCTCTATACTCTATATAACAGCTCTATATGGCCTTAGATTATCAATTTTAAAAAATCATATGCCAATTCTATGTTGGGGTCTTGCTAGGATAACGCTCCCAGGTTTTTGGTGAATTTCTTTTTTATACCATATCCACTATTATTTTATCTTCAGATCTGTTATAGATGATACATATGATATTTGAGCCCCCTATCCCCCCTCCCAAAAAATTTATCTGAGACTTCTCAGCATTTGCTCTCTGACCAATGTATACTTAAGCACAACCAGAACACCAATGTCAAATGCAAAATTTTAATACTGACAATCCAAAATAAACTTATTTATTGACTGTCTATTTTGCTAGTTATGTACATGCATGCGAGAAGAGCCTCATCTCTGGACAGAGATTGCTGTGGCTGAGGAGAATCACTCTTTATTGTTTTACTTTTAAATAATTTGTTTTGTATATATATGTATATGTTTTGTATATTTAAGAAATGAATTAAATTTTTGAAGATTCATGAGGACATGAACTACGACGCTTCACGACGGCATATTTCATGAAGCGCGTTAGCGCTTCATGACAAATCTGCCGGCGTGAAGCGTTGTAGTTCATGTACCTCATGAATTTTCAAAAATCTAAATTCATTTCTTATATTTACATTATTTTTCTGATGAGTCACCATAAATTACACTATTCATCTATCATTTTTTAAGCAAAACCGTTTGCACTATAGTTTTGATGTCGAGTGCGGTATTATGACGTAACAATGGAGATATTAATGCTCATCCATGCTAGTTCATGAGAAAATGAACAGTCTTCTAATTTGCAAAGAATCTAAAGGAAAAATATTTGGAAATGTAAATATATACAGTTGAACTTTGGTATCTTGAACACTGATATCTCGAATACCATGGGTATGTCGAAGTGATTTGGATCAAGGTCCCAAGCACTTAATCTTTATGTATTTTACCCTTGATATCTTGAATCTTCAGATTTCTCGAAGTTTTTTCTCAGTCCCATCGAGTTCAAGATAACAAGGTTTGACTGTATATATATTTAAGAAATGAATTTAATTTTTGAAGATTCATTAGGACATGAACTACGACGCTTCACGACGGCATATTTCATGAAGCGCGTTAGCGCTTCATGATAAATATGCCGGTGTGAAGCGTTGTAGTTCATGTACCTCATGAATCTTCAAAAATTAAATTTATTTCTTATATTTACATTATTTTTCTGATGAGTTACCACAAATCTGACCATTCAACTGTCATTTTTAAAGCAAAACAGTTTGCACTATAGTTTTGACGTCAAGTACGGTATTATGACGTAACAATGGAGATATTCATGCTTATCCATGGTAGTTCATGAGAAAATGCGATCAGTATCTTGAACACTGATACCTTGAATACCATGGATATGTCAAAGTCATTTTGAAGTCCCAACTACTTATTCCTTAAGTATTTTACCCTTGATATCTCAAATCCCCTGTAATCTCAAAGTATTTTCTCGGTCCCTTCGAGTTAGAGATAATGAGGTTTGACTGTATATAAATACAGTAAAACTTGGTTATAACGAAGTCACTGGGACCTGTGAAATTACTTCGCTATATCCGTAATTCGTTATATCCGTATAAGAAATTCATTAAATTCATATAGCTGGGGATCCAAGAAAAATTCGCTATATCAGTGAATTTGTTATATCCCTGTTCGTACTAAACAAGTTTTACTGTATATGAATATTTAAAAAATTCCAATGTTTAACTAAGGCTAACGGACCAGGCAAAATTAATTTGATGTTGGAGTGAGGTTGTTGAGACGTTGGACATCTAATATGATATTTTTTACAGACAGTTTTTATTCATCAGCATAGGAGAAAGAAACAATATCCAATCTGCATTCAAGGTGTTCCACGGTTATAGAAATATAATGATTGAGTTAAACCTGCAGTGCTAGTAAAGGAAATTAACATCAAACTTTTGTCATCTTCATCACAAACATGGAATCCAGCAAAAGATATATCATAATGCAATATAAAATGTACAATAGTACATTTATAAAACAGCATATACTTTAGTATCAGCTAATAAATTTAAATACACAGATCGAAATTTTCAAGACCAATCTAGCTTAATTTTTGCTTCTTGGAATATTTAGCTTTGTTATTTTAAGCTATGTAAATCAATGACCTATTATCCTTTTAGATATCTCAAGCCCCTCTAGGGCTTAAGTAAAGTTAATATTTCTAATACAAACACAGCATTTATAAGGTTTATTTACCTGGCACTCTGTCAAAGGTATTTCATCGGACGTTGAGCTTATTTTTTCCCGGATTTTAGGAGTTTTAATTGGCGTTTGTTTTGTTGAACCATAAACTCGAATCTTCTCGTCTTCATCTGATTCAAATGCATCCTCAATGTTAAAATTATCTTTATTCATCTTGACGTGCATTGATTATTGACATCTCCAACCATATTTGTCCCTTAAATCATTTAAAATAAATTATGTCCAGAAAGAATGGACAGACATATTTATAATATGTACAAAATAGATCATAAAAATAATTATACAAATAATTAGACACTTTAGAGTCATATTTGAAATCATCAGGATATATATTTAATTATGCGTAAAAAAATATATGATATAAGCGACAATTTAATAACTTGCCGGGTTCACTTCACCTCAACGAGAATGCCTAACTTTGTTGTGTACACTAACTTGTCAAAAGACAAAATTCCAGAGGATTTCCTTCAAAAGGCCTGTGCTTTTATTTCAAAAGAATTGGGAAAAGCAGAACATGTATGTTGCCATGTTGTCATTCTTCATTATATACGCTCGACCTGTGCTGTTTGCATATCATGCACACAGGTACTTGGGTCTTGGTTTATAAATATGTATGTACCTTATTGATATGTAAAAAAAAGTACTTTTTTTTACATATCAATAAGGTACATACATATTTATAAACCAAGACCCAAGTACCTGTGATCATATGAGGCACCGTTTTAATATTTTTAAGGTATTTTCTGATATCAAAAAATGATTTTTTGATATCAGAAATTCGAATTTTTATATATGTTACAAAATGAGGGTTACAAGTTTCGGTGTTTATGATGTAAAGAGAACTTACTGAATGCATATAGTGTTAATTACTCTATTCATTTCTACTGTCATTTCCTACGAATCTATTGTCATTACAACTCAAGGGGGCTTCAAGACTTATTTGGAATTCGGACATTTCAAACTTATCAGCATTGTAAATGCATGTATCAGTTTATGTATATTCATTTATTTCTCTGCATTTATCTATACAAAAATTTTATTTAAAAAAAACACAAGGCTTTAGGCTAGATAATCAACTATGAAGTGATAACACTAAGCACAGTAAACAGAACATACAATGTTGCAGCGGGATCGGTATTCAGGATGACACTAATACGAGTAAACTAACCATTGATACGGAATAAGGGAGCATTCATTAATGTAAGTTCTATTTATTTCACTCATATTTTCTGATATCAAAAAACCGATTTTTTGATATAAAAAATTCGAAAGCATTTTTTGATATCAGAAAATGATTTTTTGATATCAAGAATTCGATTTTCTGATATCAGAAAATCTACATTAATTTCTGATATCAAAAATTTGATTTCCTGATATCAGAAAATCATTTTTTGATATCAAAAAATCGAATTTTTGATATCAGAAAATCATTTTCTGATATCAAAAATTCAAATTCTTGATATCAAGAATTATTTTTTGATATCAAAAATTATTTTTTGATATCAAGAATTCGAATTATTGATATCAAGAATTCTTTTTTTGATATCAAAAAATACCTCAAAAATATAGAAATGGCGCCTCATAATATCATGCATACAGTTCGGCACAATCTCTTGATTTAGCTATATAGCTGGAATTAGCTATATAGCTCTATTAAGCTATTCAGAATAACTTGATTTAGCTATTGTACTACACTCTTTTCTTAAATGTGTTTTTTAGCATGTACAAAAACAGGCACTTGGGGGCTGGAACCCCCCCCTTTCCATTTTTTTTTAAAATCATGGGTCGACACACCTTTTTCCTATTTTTGTACTCTAATATGCACTACCTGATATCGATAATGTAACCCTTTTGTCTCAATAAGCTGTTTTTAAAAATATTGTTTACGGCTGATACATCAGTCGAAAACGATATGTATACATGAAACCTGTTTAATTGGACATGCACTGTGTCGGAATAGACAGGATTGATGTCAGATTGCACAGTGTAAAAACACATGGAAAATAGTAAAATGGGAACAAATTTTAACTTCAGAATTCACAGTGTGATGGATTGCACAGATGTCGGATTAGACAATTTTCACTGTATTTAAAAACATCTTATTGAGACAAAAGGGTTACATTATCAATGGTGATCAATACTCTCACTTGCACACGTGTGCATTGTATGCCTAGTTTTTCAGCATGTTCACCCTAGGGAGAACGTAGCCAGAGTTTGTCAAGACTTTCTCACAAACCTTCACATTTACCAAATCAACTGGCCTAAGTAAATTTTATCATTTTCTCTTTTCGAAAACTTGTGGGACTAACTGGACGGTATGGTTTGATGGCGTCAGAATGTCCCAGCTACTCTTGACCAACTAAGGGCTGCCTGTCAGAAGGGTTGAACAATATGCTTATGAGAAAGATAAATGCACAGATGAACTCCATGCAGGGGAGAATCAAGCTGTGACACATGTGCGAGGCAGATAATAACAATTTTTATTTTCACTTTGGGGGGGGGGTACCATCAGTCCATCATATGAATTTCAATAACTCATGAATTATCAGTCAAAGGGAAGAAGTTTTAAATATATTTTTCATTTTTCTGTTGATTTCTGTGGTGAAATCACAAGTTTTACCAAAATTATAGTTATCTCTCTTTGTTTTCCCAAAGAAGTAATGTTTTATGAAAATTCATATAAAATCTATATAGACAATATGAAAAAATCATTCAAATGTGTTAACTTTTGAAAATTGACTTGGGGGTAGGCAGGAGAACAAAAATACTATCGTTCGCAGTTCTTTGTCTTTTTATAGTATGTAACTGTGCGAGTAAATGCAGACCAGATGATGAGTGTTGGAATGTCTTCAGATCCATGTGCAAGTGTAGAGTTGAAAAACATTACAGATGGCGCCAAAAATAAAGAACATGCTGTAAACATTACCAACTTTGTGGAAAGTACACTAAACATCCCAAAGGACAGGTAAATGAAAGAGACAGATTTACAATGGTATATGCACTACTAGCTGCAGAACTGTAGCATTTTAGTCTTTGACCAAGACTAAAATATAAAACCATAATGCTACAGTTTTGCAGCAAATGCACTACCATAATTTAAGAGGATGGTACATATTAAATTAATTTGAAATTGTAGCAATACATATAAAGAATTTTCTTTAGTATGTAATTTAAAAGAACCAGCATTGGAATATTAAAAAGTTCTGCAATATAAAGGAGAGGGAATCCTCTTTTGAATCTGTTATACTGAATTTTATATATTTACTTGTATAACTACAGGTTTTTTATCACCTTTACAAATGAGAGGAGAGAGGATGTGGCATTTAATGGAAAAACCTTTGCATGAAGAGTAATTATGAAGAAAATGTTCTCACGTGACCGTCACGAACAATGAAGACAATATTATGAAAGAGGAAAATAATCCGCTCAGTGCAATATTTATATACCATTAATTCAATAAAAATTAACAGTTTCATTTTTTTATTCCTTGTATTTTTATGAAAATAAGTTTGACTTTATGTGTTTCTTTTAAAACCTTTACACATTTTTTTTGGGGGGGGGGGGGGGGGGGCACTGCAATAACCATGGCTATCACTGTGTCCATTTCTTCATAAACAACTTTTGTCCACAAATTATCTCTAAAACTACTTTTAGGTCACCTGAGTCACTCAGATAACCTCTTGCTATCTGTGTTTGTATGTTGTTATTCGTCATGCGTCGTTCATCATGCGCTATTGGTGGAACATTTTCAGCTTCTTCTCTGGAACCACTGAACCAAGTCCCACCAATTTTGACAGATAGCATCTATGGGTGAAAGAAAACAAAATGTAAACTTTATGGTCCCTGCCCCCTGGGGTCTGAGGAATGGGGCAAACCATTAAAATTAGTGCTAATATACCCTCATCACTTGCATATGGGGTTTATATCTCCCAGTTGATTCGATACACAAGAGCATGCTCCAAATATGGACAATTTCTAGAACTGTAGATATTGACAAGTTGATGAGACAAGGTTATAAACGGTCTTGTATAAAGTCATCATTTCATAAGTTCTATGGTCAATACAATGGCCTTGTCAGCAAATACAATCTATTATTAAGTCGAATGCTGACTGACGTTTTTCATATTAACTGTTAGACCATTATTTAAACACTGAATTTTCAAAGGATTTTTTTGTTTTCCCTATCATGAAGATGAGCACACGGCGGGTGTGACTGGTTGACAGGGGATGATTACTCCTCCATGGCACCTGATCCCAGCTCTGATGTTTTAGAGTCCGTGTCTGCTCTGCTCCTGATTTGTATTATTTCAATGGACTTTCGAGCTTGATTACTGTTTTATCTCAATATTTCATTATTCAATAAATTATATAATATATAATACTGTGAAATTGACAAATTGGGGCAAGCACAGGGATGTAAATAGATCTGCTTTATGATTTCTTGTTGAGTACTACACTTATTATTTTGTGGATCCCTCATCATCCTATTTCTCTTGCTTTTGGGCATTAAAGCTTCATCTATCACTTTATTTTGTTGTATTTTTTTCACTTTTATGGATCTTTTACCAAGTTTTTTTCATACTCAGGTGACCATTAAGACCCTTGGGCCTCCTGATAATTGAAGATGTATATCTGGTATTTTCAGTTTAATTTGTCAAAAGGGCTTTTTAGCTCACATGAGTCAAAGGCTCATCTGAGGTTTGTCATCCATCTGTCTGTCTGTCTTTTTATCACATTTTCAACCTCTTCTCCAACACCTTTTTTGAGACTTGTGTCATAATTTTCTGGAGCATTTCAACTAAATTCACATCAAAAATCATATATAAATTTGCTACATATGAGAATGAACTCAAACAATGAGACTTCGATCATAAGTTGTTATATTAGGTGTAGGATGAATAAAAACTAGTCTATATACTAGGCTACCAAAAAAATAACTGTACTAGGGGTATATTGATTGATTGATTGTATGTTGTTTTACGCCCCGTTTGAGAATTTTTCACTCATAAAAAGACGTCACCATATACCAGTGAAGGGCTTCAAATTTAGACCTTTACTCGGCACTTAGGGACATTGAGCAGTGAGGGTTCTTTATCGTGCCAACGCCTACCGTGGCACGGGGCCTGGGTTTTTAAGGTATCATCCGAAGGACCCGCAACTTTCACTTCAAACAGCAAAGCGCTTGGCGAAGGAACAGTTGCTACCTATTTTTTTTATCGATTTAGGTCAGTCGCAGCCGTGTTTAGTAGAGGTATAAGTTTTACATAAGAAAAAAAAAATGAAAATTATTCATTTATCATATTTTACTATTTGCTTAGTCCGAAGAAGCAAGGTACATTTATTTTCATTTTGCAAAACAAATGTAATTCTGGCAGGACAATCATGTCATACAATACAACATTTTATAGTTTATTAATATGGTGGACTCTGGGGTCAGGGTGGGGCTAAAATTGGGAATCAATTTTTATTTGTGGATATATACACACATATAGGGTTTTTTAAAGTATATTTTTTAAATTGTTTAATTTTTTTCTGGAGTATTTGGGCCACACAGTATGTCATATAAAATGAAAACATTCCTAAGTTATGGTGTAATATTAATAGTTTTATTTAATGTAATAAATTTTCATTGAGGTATCTTTCTTAATCAAAATTTTCTTGATATTTTATACTTCCTATTGATCCATCCAAGGACATTCAAGTCTTCCATTTTTTTAATGTCTACATGTATATGTATATACTGCCCCTACACTGTCATTAAAGTTTTTCTGTTTTATTTTTATTATGCGGATATTCATTATAAGTTTAACTGCTTTGTTTGATTATCTCTTTAAAAGTACTGAACACTGTTATTGTCACAATCATCTCTTGCCACGTTTTCTATGGAAACTCGTTTATGTCAAAATTATATTTTGGAATTAATAGAAATTCCTTTTTATTCATCTTTTGAATATTTTCGTTTACAACTTATTACGAAGTTTCTCCTTTGACTGTAGTTGTATATTGTAGAATTTTTATTTATGAGAATTTTTACTTTTATTTCTTATTTTAGTTCTTTGTCAGATTTACACAATAAATCAATGTACCGATATTTGTGCAAAGTTATGATATCTTCAAAGTACAGATAAAAAAGTAAAGAAAGTGCACTGCGATCTCCAAAATAGAAAACAAATATATGCAAGTTGCTGCTTTTTCTTTCCTTGGGCAATGCAATAGTCTGACCCCATGAAACTTCTGTCAGCCGTACCTTGAATGCAAGAAATTCAATTTGTCTGTATATATCGAAAACGATGCGTATATTACCGGTGCATCAAGTGGTATTACAAGATGTTTTAACAAACCTGCCATCATCAATATGCACAGGCCGGTTTTTGAATTTTTACCATTTTCCTTACATGACGTCATATATTTCACGGCTGAGTAATTCTGTACACCAATTAGAGTGCACAGTTACAGAGATATCTCTTTGATCAGATTTCATAATTTTGCTAAAAAATAAAAAAAAAATTCGCATATTATGTTAAGTGTACCCTGCGTTTCTTTTTCCATTCAGTATATATTCAAAAACTGTCATCCGTGTGGCACAGTGGTTAGAGCGCTTGCTCTAGAGTCTCGAAGTAAGGAGCTAATCCTTTCGTCATAGGTTCGAATCCCACTGCGGAACGTGGAGACCGGTCCTTCGGATGAGACCTATAAACCTAGGTCCCGTGTCGCAGTTGGTGCTGGCACGAAAAAGATCCCTCACTGCTCAATGGCCTTGAATACCGATAAATGGTGGCATCTCAATATGAGTGAAAAATTCTCGAAGGGACGTTAAACAAACAAACAAACATTTAAAAAAAACTGCTCGTTAATTCAATATAAATTATGACAGTGCATGTATCATTGTAATTCTCTTTATTTTTACCTGACCTTTAGGGTATTTAGTTTACGTTCCACAAAGCTGATTATGTTAACAGCATGTTTTTATTTGTTTTTTACCTCCACACTTGCACACAGAACAGAAGACAATCCAATGCAGATCATAGGGTCTGCATGGACTCGCACGATTACAGGCTTAAGATAGACAATTTAGAGAAAACTTGCTGCATGAAGAAACGAAAATAAATGAGCGGATATCTTGTCATCCATCAATTAAATGAGCTACAAGCAGTGGCGTATATTCCCTATAGGCAAAAAGGCTGAAGCCTACACACCATTTTCTCGGGATAAAAAAATTGGTTGAATAAAGGGGCGGGGAGTTGATAATAAATCGTTCTAATAATTTTATTTTACTGCAAATGCCAACAAAAGCATTCTTAGTAATCCGCACTTTTATACCTATTCGATTATGTTTACAATTTTGCATTATATCTAAGGACAAAACTATTCCCATAGCTGAAATTTTTAAGCCAAAGATCATGTTTTATTAATAATAAGTCTGTATCAGAAAATTTCATCAAAAGCAATAAGAGCAGGAAATAAAATTGATAACTTGAAATATATTTGGTTAGTAGGAAATTAAACGTTGTGTTCGAATTTTGATTATTCGGTAAGGAAGTTTCCATATTTTCTAAGCAGAGTAGAAGGATGAGTTAAGAGTTTTCAGTTTTGTTAAGTGGTCTTCATATCACGATATAAACTGAAAATATGTCTACAATATTATTTTTACTGGTCAAATTAAAATTGTAGATGTCTTGGTTTGCAAAAATGCTCCCTTTGAACCCCTCCCCCCAGTACCTATCGAGGGGGCTTGCCTACCCACACTTTGTACCTCAGGTTAAATCTGTGACTTCACACTAGCTTACACATTAGCAGAAAGGAATATACGCCACTGTGAAGTGATGAGATTGAGGAATTTTTCACTCAATATCTTCAGTCATAGTCGTAAACGTAAAATATTTACATTCAGTATAACTTTATGAAATCCATTTGAAATCTACTGACAACATTCAATACTATATAACATACGCAAAACTTTGTCACTGCACGATAGAATACACTGTAGGAACTTTATGCATTTCCAGTACTCTAGGAACCTAAAATGTAGATTGGTTGGCTCAATTTAATTAAAAACAATAACCCTATTAAATTATCGTAAAAAACATAACAATTGTACTTTTAAAATTTATTTGTCCTTTTTCCTCTCAATATTCATTTCCATTATGTTATTTAACATTGGTTCTGAAAGGAGCTAAAGATTAACGAAATTAATTAATAAGAGAGAAAATTACAAAATGTAAATATAAGCATTGAATCTTTTTTTCTTTTGGATGTCATCGGTTCTATAACAGCAACTATTCGTGCCGACAAATTTTCACACTACCACGTCATGACGAGTCTTAAACGTGACTCTTACTCTCTTTGCTTCATTAATTAGTTTTTATCTAAGCCAAGAACTTATAAAGGGTACTTAAATCTAAGACCATGATTAAGTAGAATACAAGTACATTTGGGATTGAAAACCGTAACTAGAAGTGGGCAAAGATTAAAAAAAAAAAACATTTAAGAAAAACTTAGCGCGCGGTCGGTTGAGGTTATTTAAGTATGTCTAAGATACCATTTTCACATATATTTTTTTTTAGTAATCAAAACTTAATCTTTCATCGATAAGTTATTAGCAATCACATGTAAATATATTGAAACACTTGAGCGATTCATAACAAATCTTTTGACGTAAGATTAACTGAGCCAAGTTTCTTGGCTAACTCCTTATGTGTTATGAATATTTTTCTTGTCTGGCACCTACCAGCTTCCGTAGTTTGCCTTTTTTTTTTTATCATTTTAAATAAAATATGTATAAAAGAGAAAGAATATACACATATAAAAAATATGTGTGAAAGATAAGTTCTAAGAGTAATCATTAAATAAATTCTATAGATTCATATTTGAAATCAAAATGATGAATTATCTTCGTAAAAAGCTACATGATATAAGCGACAATTAATTAATAAGGTAAGGAAGACTTCGATTGAGAATGCCAACATTTGCTGTATACACCAACTTGTCAAAAGACAAGATTCCGAAGGACTTTCTTCAACAAGCCTGTGCTTTTGTTGCAAAAGAATTAGACAAACCAGAACACGTATGTTGTCATGTTGTTATTCCTTATTTATACATTATTATATTTGTTATACGACCTGATGAGCAAAATTACAATAACTAAATTAAGTTTTAGAAGACATTTTGCATGCAAATGAACAAAACAGTTTAGAAAAGCTTATTTTAAGGATGTTGTAAGCGGTATCTATACGTCAACTGAAAAAAACAACAAAACATTTGAACTGCTTTAGCATTTACTTTCGATTTGAATAAACTTTAAAAATAGATGTAGTAATCATGGCTCGGCTGTTCTTTTATTGTGATCGAATTTGTATATATATTGCTGCTATATCTATATAACTGTAACGATGTTATGAAAAATGACGTGTTTCGTCTTGAAATGTTATTTTGTTTTGTCTTTTTTGTATTTAAGGAATGTTAGTGTAAACTTATTGTGTAAATCACACAGACTTGTCACGTTAGCATATTTCATGAAATGCGCTAGCACGCTTCAGGAAACAAGAGGCCAAAGGGCCTTAACGATCACCTGAGTATAGGGATGCATAGAGGTATAAAACAAAATAAACTTATGGATGAAGATATGTTGTTCAAAAAGCAAGAGAAATAGGATGAACAGGGATGAACAAAAATAGTTAGTCTTGAACTCTAACAAATAAAGTACATGCACTTGTCAGTGCTAGTACACTGTCCCTATATCACTATGCAGATAAAACATCACAGCAGTCCTCGAGCACAGATACATGTAGTAAACCCTACTACTCTCACATTGGCCCCTGTTGGACTGTAACACATATTCAATTAAAAAGATAACGTATTTTAAGTGGAGTGCAAATTTCCCTACAAGATCAATATAGCCTAGCTAGTCCAGCACTAGAATACTTAACCCAGAGTTCGAGAATTTCACAAATTAGTTCAGCGGTTCCAGAAAAGAAGCTGAAAATGTTTAATTGTTAACACACGACGGACGACGCGCAATAACGGACAAAGGTCACCTGAGTCACTCAGGTGACCTAAAAATAGGCTGCATGCAAGTCTGTGATTTACACATCAATAATATTCACAATCCTTATATTTATAGTCTGTTTTCATTATATCGTGGGTTATATATCGTATAGCATCTTCGCTAGCCAAGGGTTTCTGATACGCTACTCTCCTCATAAACCCTTGGCATACGGTGCTGACAAAAGACGGAATTGTTTTCGTCACGTGCTCACGATTCACTTAAAAAAATAATGTTTTTAAAGAATAATTTAGAAGAAGGTAATGAGTTATGTTAACTTGTTATTTAAACATGTTAAAATGCAAATCTACATCTTCAGTATAGATTCTTAATCACATATTTTGCACGTAGATTAAGATATTGGATGACACCATATAACTATATTCATAGAATGACATGTTATCTTACGGATCGTTGTTTACTTGCGTTTTTCATTCCCGATATTAAAGAGTCAAGATATATCCCGAACGCAAATATCGTCATTTACAAAAAACAATTGATGATTGGTCGAACGATGTCGATCAACTCCAATCACAACTTGAGAAAAAAATCCCAACTTTTTTTAACACCGTATACCAAGGGTTTATGAGGAGAGAAGCGTATCAGAAACCCTTGGCTAGCGAAGATGATTGTATAGCGGTATATTTATTTTGCGGAACTTTAATAATGATTTTGGATTTTATTAAGTTATCTATTATCAATATAATAGACAAATAATAACCTGAGAAAAGAAAAGACATTTGTAAGTTTATCATGTCAACTATTAGCTTCAAATGCCTTAAACGTTTGCCGTGAAGTAAGATTTCAAAACTGTTTCATAGTTGCTTTAGTTAAATATAAATATCTCTGTGCATGTACACTTCACTTTATGGTCTCGTCATGACTGAAGATATGGAATGAAGAGTTCCTCAATCTCGTCACTTACAGATCTGTTGCTCATTTAATTGTTGGATGACAAGACATCCGCTCATTTATTTTAGTTTCATCACACAGCAAGTTTTCTCTAAATTTGTCTTTTTATAGTATGTAATCGTGCGAGTCCATGCAGACCCAATGATGTGCATTGGAATGTCTTCTGATCCGTGTGCAAGTATTGAGGTGAAAAACATTACAGATGGGGCCAAAAATAAAGAACATGCTGTAAACATTACCAACTTTGTGGAAAGTACACTAAACATCCCAAAGGACAGGTAAAAATAGAGGGAATTACAATTATACGTGCACTGTAATATTTTCAGAGGATGGTACATACTGAATGAATGAGCAGTTTATGAATGTATATTGAATTTACTGTAGTGTGAACAGAACTGAACCAGCTTTTCAGTATGTTTTAACTTGCTTGAAAAAGTCTTCAATTATAAATGGGAGAGGGGGTCAATCTGTATATGAATTAGTTATACTGATTTTTAAAAAAAAAAATATTTACTCTCTATAACTGCAGGTTTTTTATTACATTTACAAACTTGAGAAAAGAAGAAGTGGCATTAAATGGAAAAACCTTTGCATGAGGAGTTATAGTGAAGATAACCCAAACAATGAGGATATTGACTTGAAGGAGGAATATAATCTGCCTAGTGCCATATTTATACCATTAAATCAATAAATAAAATCATTTTGTTCCTTATGTTTCTATATATATGCATGTTTTTATACCCCCACAAGGCCACAAACGAAGCTGGGAGGAGGAGGAGGAGAAAGGGGTATACTAGAATCACTATGTTCATCAGTCTCTAAGTCCTATGCAATTTTCTCTATATTTAAATTTTTTCCCAAACTTTGTAGAATTAATACGAAGCATTTCAATAAAATGTGTACTCAGTCTTTTTCAGGTTATTTTTTTGTGATGGCTTTTGAAAATTTTATGGTACATAATTTCTTTGACAAGGAATGAGAGCAAAATTTCTGCCTAGAAATGACTTTGAAATTATTGAGATTTTTATATTTGAAACAAAAGTATCTTGTGACGAAGGATGAATCTTAAACCTGTACTTAGGTAATTTTGAGAAGGATAAACTCATAGGGTACGGAATAGTTTACTTATTTCCAGCAATAATTTCTGAATGGAGAAATGCTAGACGCTTATTCTTGTGAAAAAGGTTGTTTGTGACCTTAAGGTTTATCCATGACCCATGACTTTACATGTAGGTCTCCAAGGAAACACCAAGGAGAAGTTCATCCCGTCCCTTTCTTCTCTATAATTTTTTTTTCTAGAGGTCTAACTCAAGGTCTTTTATTGCGGACAACATCCTCTTTGGACTTGTACAAGTCATAGTTGCTTATAAATTCTTGACCACTTCCAGTATGGGATCTTCTTCCAGCTGCCTCAATTATGCCTCCGATACTGTATCCATGGGACCAAACGGAATTTTATTTTAAATTGATTTTTTCTCCAATTGTATTTCAAACTAAATTTTCATAGTATTGATTTGTAGGTGTCTCTCCAAGATCCTGGTATTTAAATATCCAAAATAGCTGCCGTTGTCATGGAACTAAAAATGGGTCATTTATTTCTAAAAAATAGAAATTTTGCAAAACTTCAAGATAGTATTCGCTCTCTGCTTTCAAATCCAATATTACACCTCTGGGGTGGAGGGGACACATGCTAAACAGGGTTTCTTGTTTTGTTTCTGGTTTTGGCTTTTTAAAAAATTTTCCCATTGAAGAACTACTCGATTCAAATACTCACAAAATGGCATGTGGAATCTATCAGTAACTTAAATTTTATAATTTTCTCATACACATTCTTTGTAATATGATCGATCCATAAAACACTGGGCTTTAAGAGGATACAAATTATCAAATCACTAAATGTGGCCTGATATACATTTTAAATTCGTAAACAAACAGGTGAGAGAGTCACGATTTTTTGAGTGAATAATTTAAGAGTTTCCTATGAGATGAAAAGTTTGGGTTGAGACATGATAATCTGTACTGTATATTTTAAGATTTCATATTAAATTGGACAATTTTTGAGTCGAAAACACTCAAATTTCCATAAAAAAGCAGTTGACTTTCATGTAAACTTTTTGCCAAAATATTGACGATATGATTCACGCATTGAAAAAAGAGGGAAAATCCTACTCTGAGATAGAAATGAGGGGGGCATCAGAGTGAGGTTTCCCCTTGGGGGGAAATCCTACTTTAGAGAACATATTCGGGGGAGGGGGGGTAGTTATGGGGGAAATCCTACTCTACAACACTGGTAGCGATTAAGTACACTGGCAGGGAAATCCACACACAAACGCTTTTCCAAAAGGAACAAGCAGGGATCGGTGTCTGCATACTTCCTCTTTCGCAGTGACAAGCAGGGATGACCGCACACTTGCCACTTTCAAGTCGGTCCTACGCAGATACACTGACAGGGATGACCGCACATCAGTGCAATGCCACAAGAATCAAGCATGGATAACCACACACTAGTGCATGCCACAAGAATCAAGCATGGATAACCGCACACTAGTGCATGCCACAAGAATCAAGCAGGGATGACCGCATACTTTTCACTAAAGAGATCCCAAGTCCAGAGCAGGGATGACTAAACACTGTGCAGTAATAATTAGGAATGGGACGCCACACATAATTTCTTTGCGGTACACAATATAAGCAGGGTAGTTGGCACACTTGTACGTACCTTATTCGGGTTTTTTAATTTTGACCTCTAAAACCGATCACAACTGCTAATCAAGGAAAACCCTTAGGCTATATACGTGAGGTACTTTATTATTTATTTACAAAACCAAGAAACAAAGATAAAAAAAAAAAATCAATAATTTCCTGTTTAACATCATAGAATCAAGTCAAGGTCATTGGATGTGAAGTGTAAAATTTTTGTCCACAAAATTAAATTGTAATTGTACTTTTGAAGATGAATGACCTTGAATAAAGGTAATTTACTAAAAGTCAAGGTCACAGAGTTCTGAAAAATCAAATTTTGAGCATCTCAGAAATGTTTAATTTTAAATGATAAAGCCTAATTGGTACTGAAGAAACTATTACATTTACGAAATTTAGTGATTTTTAGTGAAATTTTTATTGGTTTTCATCTCAGCATCATGTCATAGCCATTACAGATACAGTGTATTTAAAATCACTATACAGTGTATATAAGAGAAAATGACTCATTTTTTCACAAAGGAAGTGCAGTTTAATTTTTTTTAAAACTTAATTTGTAGATGTTTTAGAAAGAAGGCAGTGCGGAACTCACTTGAATTATTTCTTTGCTATAGGAAACCACATAATTTAAAAGCAGAGTAGAAATTTTACAACCAAAGTTCTTATTAACACTCTGACATTTTGATGAAATGTTTGGAAGAAGGCGTTTGATTAAATTAGCATGGGAAAATGTTTTCCACCCACAAAAATTACTCAAGCAAAACATAAACACACACACACATCGAGAGAAAGAGTGAGAGTCAATACAAATATGCCCCCGTAGTCGAAGATTTAGCAGCATATAGTTTTTGCTCTGTCCGTGCGTCTGTTTGTTTGTTGGTCTGTCTGTTTGTCCCCAAAACCTTTACCCTTGCCCATAACTTTTAATTGATTGGAGCAATGGCTTTCATATTTCACATGTATATTCCTTGTGACAAGTCTTCTCTTTGGGTACCAAAATATTTGACCTTTTGACCTTGACGTTTCACACTTCTGCAAAATTTAACCAAATGTTAAAGTGACACCGTGACGCACAAACGGGAAAAATGACAAATATAGAATCTTTGCATGACTAAGTATTAGGTTTCAGCCGAAAATTACAGGTTGCGGAACCTAAAAGATCTTCTTTTATGGAGAAATTTTTTTTTTGTATGGTCCAAGACGAAAATATTGCTTTACTTCTTTCTCCTTATTGTCCGCGTGCGCAGAAAAGTTGAAGAAGTTACCATGGTCTCAAGTACCAAAAACTGTCCGTAGAACAAGAATTTTGATACAATCTTCAAAACATATATCTCACTGCTCCAGTTGAATGTTGTTTACAAGTTTACGCTAAAATAAAAGTGACGTGACCTTGACATGTAGGATAACAACGAAACGGTAGATACAACCTTTGTTTTTCCGGCACTTATATTGTGCAGTCTTTTCTTGCTTTACAGTACAGTTATAGTTGTCATATCTTCGCTATACTCATAATTTTCATAAATCTTTCGCCTTGTTATACAGATATCTTAAAAGAAACAAATGATTTTGACTCATCATGTAACTTTGATCCAGGCCATGACTTTTAAACGATTGATGCTAGGGTTTTCATACTTCAAATGTGTATTCAACGTGAAAAGACTTTCCCTTGAGTACCTTCGATTTTGACCCTTTGTCCTTGACCTTGGTGTTTGACCTACTTTTAAAAAAACTTTAACCTTGGCCTTACCTTTGGAATGGCTAGGACTAGGGCTTGAATATTTCACAAGTGTATTCCTTGTGACAAAACCTTTCTTTGGGTACCAACAGTTTTGGCCTCTTGTCCTTGACCTTGGAGTTTGACCTACTTTTGAAAAACTTTAACATTGGCCATTACTTTTAAATTTGAATGGTTGGTGCTAAGGGTTAATATTTCACATGTGTATTCCTTGTGACAAGACCTTCCCTTGGGCACCATTTATTTTGACCCTTTGACCTCGACCTTGGAGTTTGACCTACTTTTGAAAAACTTTAACCTTTGCCAAAACTTTTGAATGGTTGGTGCTAAGGCTTTCATATTTCACAGGTGTAAAATATGTCCAAAACAAACAAGATCTTTCTTTGGGTACCAACATTTTTCTCTCTTGACCTTAATCTTGGATTTTGACTTGCCTTTGAGAACTATATCCTTCGGTATGATTGAGTTGCCATACGGTGGCATCAGTGTTTCACAAACACATCTTGTTAAATCAGCAGTGATTGATAAATTAAAATTTGTGGAAGATTATGGATGTTTATTAGGATCCCTTTGTTAACAAATCTACAATATTTGCATTAAGTGTAATTTTTTTCTAAATTATTTATTGAATTTTATTGAAATCTACAGTATTCAATACTCTAAAAGCTTATCTTGTAAAAAGATAGGTGAGCTTGCGCTTTAGCCGTCATAAAACACAGAAGTAGGTATCTGAACCATTTGCTTTAATTTGCTGAATCGATTAATTATTAATAGGAAGGTACAGTGGAGCATTTGGAGTTATGTTGAGGAGTGTCTCAATTTAGAATGTTGAATCTAGAATGGGCTTCATATCAGCAATGATATAACTCATTAACTGTGTTTTTAAGTTATCTTACTTTCCACGTCACAACGGCTCTTACGTCTATTAAGCACACCAGTTCTAAAAGGCGCTAAATTCATAAAAAAAAGATTAACAAAATTAACAATTTAAGAGAGAAAATTAAGAGAATGTAAATACATGTATAAGCATTGAATTCTTATTTGTGGTTTTGGGTGTCGTTGGTCCTATAACAGCACCTGTCCGTGCCGACAAATCATACCGCGCTAACACGCGGTATTCAAAAACTAAGAATTCAATGCTTAATTTTAGCTCTACGGGTTGAATTCAGAAGAGCTTGGTAAGATGTCCGTCTTTCGTCCATCCATATAATTGGATTGTAAATACTATAAGTAATCTTTGAGAACGCTACCTTTCTTACAGTTTTGGTCCAAAACAAAAAAAATGGTTGAAAGAAAACTTCACCAAGATACATAATTTTTGGTTAACTGTGTTGCCATGGTTATTGATAATAGAAATTTCTGTGAAATGCGTTCAAAACACCGTCTTTCTTACGGTTTTTGTTCCGATTTTTATACCACTTGATATTTAAGTTGACTATAGCAAGATATATAACCCCTCTATCTGTCTTTGAATTCAATGAACCGATGCCTTGGCGTCTGAAAATAAATTAATTCAAAATGTTACCCCTCCTACAGTTTCAGTTTAATTATAAGAAATTTGGCATAATTTTCATTTAGTCCATCACCCTTCCCACAATTGCGCAAACGGAATTGTTGAAATGGTACCAGACTAAAATTTCATTCCGCTGAACGACCTTTTCACGGTCACCATAATAATTCTTTAAAAAGAATAATGAGTTGAATTCTTTCAAAAATACAACTGCTCTTGAGTTGTGGTTTAATTTTAATGAAACTTGGTACACAAACAGAGTACAAAAGGATTGATAATTCTAGTTATTGGTTTAAGCTTTTCTGTTGCTAAATTACATTCTTCATCACTTTAAATAAATAATCTTTCATAAAAAAGCTGCTCCACTCATATATTTGGTTTGATTCAGTAAAACTTGGTGTAAGTATAGAAAAAGTCAAAATATGCAATTCGATAATAGAAAAAGAGTTCCAGTGCAATATCATATCTACTTTCTCATCAGAAACTCGGATTCCTCATGTGCATGTTTGATAAATATGTGTCTAGCACTTCAACATGGACTTATAGTTACGCTTTGTCTATATATCTGTACGTCACAGTTTATAATGAATTATTTGTATCAAACAACTTCGTTCATTTAAAATAAGATAAGGAAAGCGTTTTATTAACTAGAAATTTTGCTTAAGCTCTTTGATCAACTATTTGACAAAAGCCTCGTAAGCTTATTTCAGGCATACAATTTAGTTAAAAGTGATTTTTTTGTAATTTGTTTTGGAGACCATGCTAAGAAAATGTTTTGTCAAACAGATTATTTTCAGCATTAAAACCTATCTGCTGCACTTTTCTTATACGCAGAGCCGAGGAAAAAAACTTACGATGGTGCTTTAGAGTTATCGAAAACTTTTGATATGCAAGCATTCTCTTTCTACATCTCGAAAAAAAAAACTTATCTGACTTAGCATGTTAAATGATTAATTTTTATCACTTTACAATCGAAATGCATTACTTCCGAAATTTTACGACATTTTAACAGCTGTTTAATATATTTTGTTCTTTAAAGGAAAGTAACGAGTGAGTGCATTTGTGATTCAAGTGATTGCGGTGGAGTAACGTGTTTTCCTGTTTATTGCGACAAAACTTCTTCCTGAACGCCTTGAGGAGAAGAAAGAAAGTCTGTTGTTTGGGACTTAAGGACCTACAGTGCCTAGACACAATATGCGGGTGATTACCAGAGTACTGCTGGGTATGTTTTTTCCCCCTAAGTTTTAGGGTTGAATTTCGTTTTATTTTATATTTCAAATCTCACTAATCATTACACAAACTTTGATTTAACACAGGCTTGATTTGATCATAGAAAATGTAGAATGCGGTGACAGAATAATCGTGTATATAACTGTGGCTTTATTGTTAAAGTCATTACTCATTAACTATTCTCTTTATATTGCTTTTACTATACTCATGTAAAGATAGAAAGAAAAGTCATATATGACCTTTTTTTCAATTTTAAGAGGTAATTTGCACGCTATTGTTTATACATTAGAACAAACATTATAGCAAGTGTGTAACCAAAGAAAGTTTTGAACGTTTTGAACTCTTACAAAAATCATGATTTCATATACGCGTTTTATTTATTGAAAACATTTTCCTAATTTCACATGAACATGCAATACAAACTTGAACCATTTTAAATTGTTTTGCATTGTGGACAAATATGCCACAATTTACATTATTTAAGTACATGTATAATCTAAATTGAGCTTAAATAAAAAAAATACTGGGGAGGGGTGGGAAGGGGTTCAGACAAACAAGAGTTTATTTTGTACAAAAACCTTGAGTCAGCCTCTCAATTTCCTTCTCAATTTGGCACTAGAATGTCAGATGTTATCGAACAGATTTATCGGAAAGATTAAGAATGTATATGAGAATTTTATAAGAGGGGCCATGCGAATCCACTCAAAGAACCGGTTGCCAAGTTCAGATAGTTTTGATTTGTTATGTATATGTATAAAGTACTTCAGAAACAGTTTTACCAAAACCGCCGATGCTTACGTTAACTTCAGATCTGCATTACATCCAAACTTAACGGAGAAAAATAACCATTTTTTAAGAGAACCACGTTTTCACGATTTATCAGGTTGAGTTTTAGAGTATTAATTAATAAGAACACATAGCTTTCAAAGAGAAGTTCATCAATTTTCTTTAAAGTCACAAGCAAGTCATTAAAATTATTTCAGGTGTCTTAATTTTTAGAGATGGAAGGGACATTTTAAATAAATAGAGATTTTTTTCCCATACTGACTAGTGTAACCGTGGAAAAGGCAGAGAAAAGATTACATATAACAATTCTTAATGGACACACACTTTAATATTTCATAAGAAAATGATCATGTTACCTTGTATACTGGTCGCCCATACTCTGACGTCAATGATAATCATACGTAACTTGTAGTATATGCATTACCTACCGTAAACCAACAGTGCTATTACAATGTGATGTCATTTATTCGTAAATTGTCTGTCTGAAATCCATTCGCAGCTTTTAATTTTGGCGAGTGGGAAAACATATACATAAATACAGAATGCGTAAAAGGTTCACGACGTTAGTTATTCGCGGGTATTAAAGGATCGGGAAACTATTTTCTCGCACGCGAATTTAAGTTGGTTTAGAAATGTATTATGGGAAAAAATATACACCACATAAATGTAGTTTGTCTACAAGTGTATACTTGTCCTTATTCCCGAGAACAACAGCTCAATTCTTTGTTTAGAATTATTTTGGAAAAAAATTCCAAGTGTTTTTGACTTTTTCAGCAAGTGCATTTTAAGTATCTATTGTTTTACACACGATTCCATTTATGTAGTAAATAGAATAGGGTTACAAAGTTTACTTTAAATTCGGATTAGGTATTCATGAACAAAGGGAAAACATGACTAAATACATGATCATAGATTAACATCCCATCCACAAAGATGTATGTATATTAAAATCGAATAAGTTCAATAAATAAAGTTTTATTTTGATGTTTTGTCACATTTTCAAAATTTGCAATTTTATCATCCCTGCATATATGTATGTAGACGAAGGGAAATGAAGCCGATCTTTATTGGCAGGTTTCACTGATAGAAACTACTGATAAGCAAATGTTGGATTATACGGTTTCCAGATTATAACACATTTCTGCGATTTCTTTTCAAGTGTTTTGGAATATTGGAATGGTATGGACAGCATGCAATGTCTCAAGAGCTGAAATGTGTGCAGCACAATTCCAAGAACGGTATGACTCAGAACTATTGGTGGAACTGACGTCATCCAATAAGAACGTGACCAAATCAAGAGAATTACTGTGCCTGTAAGTGTCCTTCAAGTGTTGCTACATGTGTGTTTTATGTATGCTAATTAGAGGGCACCTGTTCAACCGAGTGTCCTGTTTGATATTACATATTAAAGCTACAATCGTATTATAGAATTCCGATTCTTCAACAAACTTCTACTTTTCAAATATCCGTTGTTAGAGGTTTTATATCACAATATCCTCTTTTCTTTCAATTCTCTACTAGTATATCCATCCATCATGTGTATGAAATTTGAAAGATTGCCTGTTTAATTTAGATCGACAGTCAAAGATAACAATATCACCAAGTGTTATGCTGACAGTTCAAATGCATGTACGAATCAGGACCACTTGGCGATCCAATGGAACGAGACCATGAGTGACGTCATCACACTGTGCAATGAAAGTTAGTTTACATTGGAGAGAGAGAGAGAGAGCATAAATTAAGTTTTTACAGCTGATAAAGTCACCAAGTGCCAAGATAATATTCTCGATATAGATACACTGTAGGATAATCATCCATTTTTTGTAGCATGCACTAACTACCTGGAATTTCAGACATGCGAGAGTAAGATCCAATACACGGCCTATCGGGATTCTAAATTTGAACTCTTTTGCAAGTAAGTGCGCATGTCACAATTCAATGCAATTTATCGTTATTGAGGATAATTCAGCAACCTTTTTAAAAAGATTTATTACAAGATGTAAACCTTAAAGTGCATTATCAGCATTATCTCTATTTCTCTTTTTTTCTTATGGGCACTGTTGATTCCATACTAGGCATCCGGTAAATGTAACTATTTGCGTGCGACGGACTGCAGCACATGTATCTTTGCTTCCTATATATATGTTTAAGGATTTCTGTAATTTTTTAAATATTTTTCATTGGGTTTAAATCACTGAAGAATATTTTTTTCAAAACCTTTGTGATATGTTTGTTTCATGATTCCCTAAATATTAGGGATGTCAACGAGTTCCCGGTTAACCGGGTACTCGATCGAACGACCGAGTATCGAATACAAAAAATGCTACTCGGTTACTCGGATGTGTATTTTGTCTTATTTCGAAGTACATATTTTTATCAAAAACTTATCAAAAAAAAACAAACTTAACTATGCATACGGTAATTACCGTGTCGTCATCTTCACCTGTAAAACACCCGTTATCGCCTGCGGTATATACAGCAATTAGTGACCAATCACCTGGTATACAGCTGTTCTCACCTATTGTGGTCCTTGATTTTTGGATGGCTTCAATGATTGTTTTCAGTAAACTTCGTTTAAGTATGGTCTATTATCTTCAAAGCATTTTTAAGTTATTAAGTTAATATATGGCAGCGAAATCAAACATGCGTATAAATGTTGCTACCCACTTCCAAAGTTGGGAAATATTTAGAAATAATTAAAGTTTCAAAAATGTTGAAAGTCAGTTTGCGTAGTAAGTTAAGTGTATACGGGGGAAGCAAAAAGCATATGAAATAATATTAAACTAGCGATCCCAACAACGTCCGTTCCTTCTCTTTCGCTAGTCTAACCATCACAAACATGCGTAACAGATTTTCCTCCTTTTGCATTGATGAAACAGATCCTAAAGAAGAACTGTAAACATTCTTTTTAATTTTTGGTGTATTAATTGTGTCTTTTGTGTTTATTTGATAAAATTTAGTACCAAAAAAATCATTCCCGTTGGACTCGATGTTTATATACATTTATAAACGAGATAAAAACAGCTTTGGGGTTTAACAGAGCTTAACAGGGCCCAAGAAATTTAATACAGTTGTATTTATATTCTTACCGAGTACCCGGGTACTCGATCGGAAAAACGTCCGAGTAACCGATTATCAAATATTGACCGATTTGACATCCCTATGGACAAGATTTTTTTTTAAATTTATTTTTGGTTTGGTTCCATCAAACGGGTTAATGAACGCCCTGGAAAAAAACGCCTTCGATTGCTTAAAACTTTGATAGTGTGTCTTTCTTCTCCTTTTCTCTCACATCTTCAGTTATTTTTTCTTGTTTCCAATCTTTTTAAATGTCCGTCTTTTGACCGGCAGTATTACGCTATGGCCTTTTCCATCTGTCTGTCTGTCCGCTAGTATTTTCCTTGTCCAGTTCATATATTTCAGTGTGAGGTTTAAGGTCAGACGACATGTTCCTCAAAAATATATAAAATCTTCCAAGAATATGCCATTGAAATACTACTACTTAAACAGGTTTCCTCACAAAAACTTGGAGTGACTTACCAGTAATTCGTGCAAGATACCAGAGAATGGTGTTTCTTATATAATCCTATTAGGATGGTGTTTCTTATATCCTATTGGAAAACACTAGCATTGTCAACATCACAACTGTTCGTGTATTTTTTTTTAAAATACATTTTGAAAACAGTTAAGAAAATCGCAAGATTTTGATAATTCTGACTCAAATCGTGCCTGGATCATGCCTTGCTCAGTGTAAGACTTAGACATCAAATCTTGTCAGTCCATGTATATTGGGGGTTGGGGAGTGTGTCATGATCCATTTTATAGCTATACAAAGACAAATCGTGTGTTGATCATGAGACCTAGGACTTAAGAATGGTCAGTGAAAAAATTTGTTGTAATCCAGAGATACATGACCTAATTTTGGAATTTAATGGTTACAAAAGGTCAAACTGTGTCCGGATTATATCTTAAACACTGTGAAGCCACAGGACCATTAAACCTTAAACCTTGTCAATTGATGCATACTGGGGAGAGTCATGATTCAAAAGTAGGCCACTTTATTTCCTTTATTAACCTTATTTTGTAATTTTATAGCTGTACATAATCAAATAATGTTCCGATCACACAGATCGTGCCGAGTTTTAGAATTTTAATAATCATGATGCATACTGGAGGAAGTGTTTTGAAAAAGTAGGTCACTGTGACCTCATTTTGAAATTCTACAGCTACACCTGGTCAAATCGTGTTCGAATTACATCTTTCTCACTTAAGTCAATCTAACTTTGGAATTTTTTCTTCTCTTTGATGCTTTCTTTAGGTAGCAAACAGCGACAGCTATTTTGTGTTTTCTGTACATATCACAGAATTTCATATATGTTACAGCAACTTTATTCAATGGCAGTTCATTCAAAATGACAGGAATCAAGATAGATATTATTTAGTAGTCCCAGACGTCGTATCATGTACCCTAGCGGTGCACTTCATTAAATAGATTTAATGATGTTCAGCTACTCAAAGATATTGTTTGTTTCCAGGTCATATGAAGAGGGTATTTCGTGTGCCAGCGGAATTTTGAAGAATTGCAAATTCGACCTCTCATTTTACATAAATATCATTACAAAACCAATGCCTACATATTACAACCGAATTTGTCTTACAGGTAATTTTTGAAATATTAAATATGAGCTACCCGGGTATATTGACTAAAATTAAGAATTAATCTGTTCTGTTCTGCGAACGTAACCGTGATTTATTTTTCTTTAGGTTGTGTCAACCTTGATGAGACAATGAAAGTTATCAATAATTGCTACAACTTTATCGGTAATATTATGAATGAGGACTCTGTCTCCCAGTGCGCGTAAGTTTACTCTCTTCCTCTCTCCTAAGCGGTTTACCTAGAGTAATGAATCCAGGATTTTAAAAATTATTCGCATCTTATTCCAGTTCTCATAATAACTTCAAAAACTGCCTGTTTGCACCAGATAAGGTTTGCCGTGAGGTGACACAACTTTTGAAAGTTATATACAGTTATGACACTCTGGAGCTCATTTGTACAACAACAACATCTACATCAACCCAACCAACAACAACGACACGAGAAATTACCACCCTATCAACAACCAGACAAGAAATTGCCCCCCAATCAACATCAACGACAGAAGAAATAACCACCCAATCAACAAAAATGACGCAAGAAATTACCCCTCAACCAGTGATTACCAACAAAATGACAAAGAGGGGCCAAACAACAGAATTCGCAACCACTAAACAAGCAAGTATAACAACAAAAATAACAATTCCGCCTTTACAAGAAGAAGAGATTTCCACATCAACCACTTCAAGATCACCAACCACTGTAAAGAAGGAATTGAAAACACAGTCCGATGATTCAACTCAGGTGACTTCTACAAAGGCAGACAGAAATGCAGGTAAATGTCATTCCATGAAACAGCTAATATAGATTATTATTGTTCATGAGAGAAAAATGTTCATGGATTTCGTGGGTCCTTATCCACGACTTTACACCCCAACAAAGATAATATTGTCGGCTTAAATTGGCTCATTCAATCTTCAGGATGTACATATGTACTATAATTATACGAATTACCCATGAAATTACGTCCCCACAAACTTGAAAAATGTTTGCCCACGAAAATTGACCTACACGAATGAATTAAAATGATTCGGTATATAAGGTAAGTCTGATATTATTAAATAACCAAACATAAATACGTATAACTAAGTCTGATCCCTCAAAAAAATTCTACTTTTCTTAGTATTAAGATAAAGTTTATTTCGTGAAAGTGCAAGAATATGTGTCAATCAAACGCATCCCGAAATTCGAAGTTTTAATAATTTCCAGATAAAAGAAGTTTCTAAACACGCTTTAATTATATTTTGGCGTGAAATGCTCTAGGAACATATAAGTGATGATATAATACTGAAAATTTAAAAAAAAAATTGTAACTTAAAATCTGTGACTAAGTCTCTTTAAATATATATTACTAAGTTTAATTCAATTAAATAATCAAACATAAAATTAATATACACAACTAAGTCTGATTCCGAATAATAGTCAAACGTAAATATATTAATTAAGTCTGATCCCAAATAATAACCATTTATGAATATAAACAGGACAGTTTTATATAAGGAAAGACTGTTGGATATCTACCTTCAAGATTGTAATGCCTTTTTTGAAAATTCAACAAAGTGTTTCTTGTATAAGCACATCGTGTGTGACAATTTTTCCAAAATCCATGCATATTTGACAAAACCTATTCATTCGATGTTAAAGAAGTATATTACTAGAATAAGGCTTTCTTCCCATAGCTTAAGTATAGAAACAGGAAGATATCAGAAAATAGAAAGAAGTAATAGAATATGTCAATTTTGTAATGATCACCGTATGGAAGATGAATATCATTTTTTGCTTGAATGTCCTGTTTATGATTCTTTAAGAAGAAAATATATCAAACCATATTATTCCAGATCTCCAAATATGTACAAGCTTACTCAATTACTCAGCTCTCATGATGTTGGTGTTTTAGTTGGATTAGGAAAATTAATTTTTCATGCAATGATATTAAGAAATGATGAATAATTTAATTTATATGTATGTTTCATGTATTTTTCATGTATAATGGAGAGTTTATAATGCTTACTGTAATTGTTGGTGTTGAGGAGTCGGACAGATGGACACTAAGGGTTCCACCCCCCGTAGACTCTCGCCATGCGTGCATAATTATTTTAATTTTGTGTATACTGATGGACCGTATGGCTTAAAGTTGTTTAATAAAGAAAATTATACATTGATCCCTTAAAATAACCAAACATACAAATAAATAAATCTTATCCCATTAAATAACCAAACAATATATATAACGAAGTCTGATCTCATTTCACAACCGGTTTTAAATATAGACATGATACATGCAGTTTGATCCCTTAAAATAACTAAACACATGTATAACTAAGTCTGATCCCATTAAATAACCAATCATAAATATATATAACTAAGTCTAATCCTATCAAATAACCAAATAGAAATATAGAACTAAGTCTGATCCCATATAATAACCAATTATAAGTATTAACATGAATCATTGATGTTTTAACCAAACATATGAAATTATATATCAACTAAGTTTGATCAAATGAAATAGCTAAACATAAATTTATATAACTAAATCTGATCCCGTTAAATAACCAAACATAAAATACGTAACTAAGTCTGATCCCATTTAATAACTAATTATAAATATAAACATGACAGACTGATCCCTTAAAATAACCAAACGTGGACAACATTGATATTTACTGACAAACATTGATAAAACATATGAAACTATCATTTTCATTAAATTGATGTTTCAGTTTATTAATATGCAAGTTTTCATCACAAACAAAGCACAAATAGTTATATTTTATCAGATACAAAAAAGATACACACTCATACCCGGAGCAGTAAAACGAAAATCCTTGACGTTACTCGACGTCAAATGCTAAATACATTGAAGTTTTCTCAACGCAGTCACCATTTCACTCAACACATTTCTTATGTCGTTTCAACCAGTCATCAAAATTGTGCACAAACTGTTCTGGTTTCATTCATGAAATAATATTTAACAACTTCCTGTCTCAGATCCTGCAAATCATCAAACCTCTGTCCGCGTAAAACGACTGTATGTACGGAAATACGGCAAAGTCACGTTACGAACTTCATTTTTTACAGCACTACAATCTCGAAACGATGGTCTTCCTTCACGCATGTCATCCAGTAAACAGTCTCTTTCATCCGAAAATCTTCTGTGCCACTTAAACACTAAAAATAGATTACTTTACTATGATTTCCCGACTGTTTAAGGAATTTATGGGTCTCTGTTGGTGTTTTTCCGATGTCTACACACAATTTTATCACTACTCTCTGCTCAACCTTTTCCGAAAACGTCTCTTTTTCGAACAATGACGAAACTATCTTAATAAACTCTGACCTCGATTTCTCTGCCATTTCGAAACTTTGAACGTTCAAATTTTACAGGTTTGACGTTATAACTTTTGTCAACCTTATAATGTAAAAGCCATCCAAATTTCCGCGGAATTTTACAAAATACAAATGAAATTTATAAAGTGATTAATAACTTTTTGATTAAATCTTTGTTGTGCTCCGGGTCACCATCCCAAGTTTAATAATGAAGTCATAATTGTAATTATACACTTAAAAATTTCATTTTGTAATTCACATATAGTAAAGGATTATAAATATGCTAATAATAAATATATATGACGCAACTTTTATTTAAATTTTAGCTTGCCCACGAACTTTACGGACAACCCTCGTATATTATTATATATAACTAAGTCTAATCCCATATAAACAAGTATAGTAATCCCACTAAACAGCAAAATATACATACATGCAGGTAAATGTCATCTGATTAAATAGCCAAATATAAATATTACAGTAAGGTGTCATCCCAATATATATGTTAAATCATTATTAGGAATATGTTTAAATATGGTCATTTCTAATTTTTGTCCTTATTTGGTGAATTTTGTTTGGCATACCAATAAATGCTCATTTACAACAACTAAAAGGTTTATGTTATGTTTGGCAAAAAAAAAAAAAAAAAACAGCAGAGTAGACTCACGGATTGAGAGTATGGATTACATTCAGAAAAGTCAAGAACGATTGTGTTAATAGCCAAATATGAATATTACAGAAGGTGCCATCCCAATAAATAGCCAAACATTAATATATATAGGTAAGTATCATCCCACTAAACAGCTAAACATAAATATTTACATGTGATTTACGAGTAAGTTTTATTCCATACACAACCAAACTTGTAATATTAATCTCTCTCAGAGTTGAATTGGTTTGATAAAGTGTATAAATAAAATATGCTATAGAACTACTTGTATGAATCTTATTTAACATCCTTGGGGTGTAGATTAAAAGTCGGTCAAAGATGAGGAAATTTCTTTCTATCTCTCTGATGAATCTTCATTGATCAGAATTATTTGCTTAACCAATTTATTGTATTAAAACAATAGATCCTGGTTAATTACTAATTACATATGTAGTATAAAATGTCTTTGACACAGTTCAAGGTTTGTTGATTGTTAAATATACAACGGTTTTTCTAAACATCAAATTCAATTCTGAAAAAACTTTATAGATTTAAAAAAAAGAGAAGAAATAATTAATTTCCTTGTGTCTTCTATTTACAGGAACACAATCTTCCGCTCTCGAGTGCCTAGACACAAAAGTGTTATCGATATCAGCAAACAGTCAACCTTCTACAGAACAGTGCTTGTAAGTAAAGTCAAGTAGCAATAACTGAGGACATGAGAAACTTAGTTTGGTAAGGACATCGCACACCCAAAGAGGAAAAAAAATCAAGTCAGCAAGTCTCGTATATATATAACAAGAAAACTCGTAATGAAAAAGAATTTACACTGTTCATGGGAACCACTGTTTGGAGAATGTCTGTCCTGTCATTTTTTCCCTGAACAGCTTCACCATAACAAGTCCAGCAATCATCAGTTGTAAAGATTAAGAATATAAGGAAAGGCGATCTCTCACCTCGGCTGTTCTACACTGCGCAAAAAAGGCAGTGCCCCCTTCGATCTTCCTTTTTTTTTTTTTTCAAATTTCATTTTGTAAAGTTATAATTACTCATCGTCCTATGATAAATTATTGTAAATTACAAACATGAAACTTAACTAATATTATCAAAACCAATCTTTTAACTTGTTTGATTTTGCTTGCAGGAGGTTTCTTACAATGGCAGCCTGCTTATTTGAAAAGGAAACAACTAATTACAAAGAAATAAAAAGTGTGCTTTCCATTGTTGGAAATAAAATTAATGATATCTTAAGAAGTGGCGTTTTAAGGAACTGCACATTTAATGTTCAAAAAGAAATAGTCTTAATTCAAGAACTTCGTAATTCTACTTGCCAACAGCTCCAGTCTGAACAGGATGAGGAGCCACTTTGTACGGGGCACGGATATGGTCTCGTTAAATGTACCAAAGGTAGACCCTGTGTGTATAAGTGGCTTTTAATCTAAAGCTGAACACGACTCGTAAATCAGTTTATCACCCTTGTTACATATGAGGTTTTTGTCTCTCAGTTGATTCGATACGCAAGAACATGCTCTACGTATGAACAATTTCTAAAACGAAGCAAATCATTGACAAACAAGATATCAACAGTCTCGTTTGAAGTCATTTCGCAAGTTTTCCGGTCAATACAATGATCTTGTCAGCACATACAACCTATCAATAATTCAAATGCTGACTGATGTCATTCATACTAATTGTTAGGCCATTACTTAATACTTACACACTGAATTGTCTACGGATTTTTCCGTTTTTTCCCGATCATGACAAGGAGCACGCAGCGGGAGTGTCTGGTCGGCAGGGGATGCTCACTCCTCCATGGCACCTGATCCCACCTCTAAATTTTGAGGTCCGTGTTTACTCTGCTCCAAATTTGTATCGTTTCATTGGACTTTCCAGTAGATTACTGTTCGTTATCTTCATTTATTACACCTGTTTGCTTTTTGACCAGTGCTACCGAAATATTACAAGGGTGACGTAAGGGGCACGACAATAAATAAATATACATATAATAAAAAAAAAAATAATTTTACTCAGTTATGACCCCTCCCCTGTTAATTTTGTGCACATGTATAAATATCCCCATGCATATACAAACTCATACAGAGCTCTTGTAAAAGTATTTGAGAGGGGTTTTTTTTTCGGAACCAAGTTACACGTGCTCATATTTTCTACTCAGACTTACTCTGGAAGAAAGACTGCAGATTTTAGTTTTCATTAAATGCATCTTCACAAAAGTATCCCACAGCATGAAGTTTTCATCCAAGTAAACTGATATATTTACATACATAGCACGTTTTACCGACCTCCATTCCCTTATGATGGTTCTTATGTGAAATGCACATGTGTAACAGAAAAGAAAAGTAACTCTGATTTCATTATTGTGCTCGAATGGACAACGTGTAGTTGTGTTGGTTATCTTACATTGCCTTTGCGCATTTTTATTTATTTGTATCGGGCTGGCCTCCGAAATTGCTGTCATATATATTTTCTGGAAACCTTTTCTAATGGAATGGGAAACGCATACGATAGTAATTTTTCTCGCGACTCATTCCGCAATGGAAATGTAGGATATATCCACACTGGTGAATTCTAAAAAGCGGAATGCATTGAATCGTGTCCAAGAAAAAAAAAAGCTCGAGAGGGGCCGAGAAATAGAGAAGTGTAAAGTAATAAGACGGTATTATATATAGTTGTGTTCAGCTTTAAGGACATGTGAGTGAAAAAAAGTTAAAGAAATCTGTAAAACATGTGTTAATATTTTATTATAGTTAAACAAATTTTTTTCACAAAGTTTTCCTTTAATATATATATATATATATATATATATATATATATATATATATATATATATATATATATATATATATATATATATATATATATATTTGGGCAGAATGTAAGATTGCGTTTAAAGGAAAATCGTGAAAAATATTGTTTTTGCAAAATAAGAACGCCTTTTTAAAATTTCTTTAGAATATCTTTTGAGGACCTTTTGTCCGTAACAATTACTTGAATGGCAAAAAAATATGAGGCAGAAAATTAAATAATCACAAATATATTTCTTGTTGTAGGCGGTGCTTCATCAATGAGAGACAGAGCTTCAGAATTCTTGTCATTCCTTTTAGTTCTTGTGCTTTTAGTTTTTGAATTTTCATCAATTTGAGAAACCAAAAATTTGATAAGTTATTTAATTTAAACTTCCTGCCGAATATCCTTTATATTCTAGTAAAATGTTCATATAGGAAACAAATGTGTCAGACTCTTTGGTGTCTTTTTTATCGCCTGTACAGAAAAGCATTCCCATCTCACTCTTCGTGCTCGTTCGACATATTTGTTGCTTGTCTGTGAAGGCGATATATCTATGGGTCAACCTCTTGAAAGGATATATATATATATATATATATATATATATATATATATATATATATATATATATATATATATATATATATATATGATTGATTGATTGATAGATAGATCAATAAAAACAGTATGAAATAATGTTACTGTTCTAAATTTAAAAAGTGTATGTTACTTTTTAAAAATCTTGCACTTGAGACCTGGCGAGAGACCTACCTTAATGTCTAAGAATGGTGTCATTATAAAAACAAACTCATAAGATACAACTGATTGTTTAAAAAGAAAAGCAACCAATACAAAAAGCAATAAATACAAGAAATCATTAGCAAACAAATAATTTGCTAAAAAAAGACCATACCTCTTTTGTCACAAATTACTGGTCATTAAAATAAATCATCTAAATAAGTTGAATATTTTCAAAATCAATTTCGTTACAAAACAATTAAACACTGTAAGATGAACTCTCACACAATATCACAGAAAATAGTCTTTGGCTACAAGGCTTATGCACCTATGCAGTAATTCTAGAACCGATTAGTGTTGTTATTAATAAAACAATGTCTGCAACATCTTTCATGGAAGCACCTGTAAAATGATGTAAATTATGTTAATAAAGATAAGTTTAATAAATACATGTACATGGTTTAAAGAAGTTTTGACTGTGTACTTTTAACATACCATTATTTAGACCTTGGCTAAGCACCAATTTGTCTTTTCCAGAAGAGGTGGATATTCGCTGGGTTTTTATTTCTTAAACAGAAAAGATCAATAATTTTCTACATTATATTTTAGCCTAAGAGAACTCAAGGTACAGTGCTATATTACCAATACTAAAATTGGTTACATTCAATGAGGGTGTCATGCGCATACCTATTAAAGGAGTTGCAGACTTATATTTCAGAAACGAAATTGAAGATCTATCAAGATGCCGTAATGAGGTTACGTTAGGGATATGATTATTTGTATTTCTGTTAGTAATACGACCAGATGTAGAAGAATTGATCTCAGAGTCATATTGGAGTGTCGATGCATGTTGTTCATCGGATAGTTCAGGAAAAACCCTCTCAGTGCCCCTTAATCCAGATAAAAATGGACTGACAGTTAATGGGGGGCTTGACTTCAGTTTCGTGTCTATATCCGTAGTGTTTTCTATCATTTTATTGATCTTTTCTGAAATTTTAGTTGTTTTGGTCGTGGATATAGAATTTGATGACAAAATCATAGTTTTCGTGCTGCCATTGTCTTGCAAGGTCATGGGTGCCTTGCTATCGTTCATATATTTCGGTAAATCTGTTGATGACATAAGTTGTCTTCTGTTTTCTGCAGTAACAGACAATGGCGTATGTTTTGTAAATGCTTCAATTTCACTTTCATCTTCTATCTCTGAGACACAGAAAAAAAATTAGTTCGGTTAAATTTGAAGAAAAGCCCACTGAAACTGTTAAATTAACTTGTCAGTTGATTCTAAAATTGTAGAAAACAGAATAGATTTTGTTTATTTAAAAAATATTCTTATTATCATTAAAAATTAGTCAACCAAATAAGTGTTAACTTCAGTCAAACCAATCAAGAATCAAAAATTTCGTGCATATTTTGAAATGTTAAAATATTCTGCCTGATAGTTCTTTTAAACTCAGAGTAAAAGTTTTTTATACCACAGAAATCCCACTTTTCCATTAATTGCTGTTCCAAACTTTTCTGAACATTTAGTGACGACACATCCTTTTGGTCCAATCCTTTATTTCTTAGACAACGTACACTTTCACAGAAATTGCTGCAATTATAAGTACTGCTCATTATCATTAAGGTCAATTTCTTTACGTCGGTGTTAATACGGTACCTTTTGTTATGAAAAGTATTATTTCACATAAATTTCATAGAAAGAATATGCTTAAGCAGCTTGGTTATTTTTAGCTCACCTTTACCTAAATAACGTGAAAATTGGGTATTTTCAACAATCGGTTCTGTACGAACATAACTTAAATAGTTAGAATTGATATGCAGCATTATTTGACTTGAGTCTGTGTTAGCCAAAGGCTCAAGTGATTTTTCTCTGATCGAAGAGTGTCTGGCGTTCGTCTGTCGTTTGTCGTCTGTAAAATTTTCACATTTTCGACTTCTAAACAAAACACTGGGCCAATTTTAACCAAACTTATCACACAGCATTCTTTAGTGAAGGGATTTCAAATTTGTTTAAATGTAGGGCCACTCCCTATTTCAAGGAGAGATAATAAGAACTAGTGAAATTTTCATGACATCTTTTAACAATTTTCTTCTCAATAACCACCGGGCCATAGAAAAATGAAACTTATTTGAAAGCTTCATTTCATAGTGCATATAAGGGTTTATTCAAATCATGAGTGCCGGGGCTAAAAAAAAAGCAAAAAATTTTAAAATTTCTTCTCAAAAATAGCATGATTAGTCACATTGATATGGAATCATCCTTATGTACTGTAGATTCAGATTTGCTCAAATCATGACCCCCTTGGGTAGGGTGGGGCTACAATGGGCGATCAAAGTTTTTCCATAGGAAAACACAGGAAAAATCTTTAAAAATCTTCTCATAAACAGCAAAGCTTTGATTATTCATATTTATGTGGAAGAATCCTCAGGTAGTGTGCACTCAAGTTTGCTCAAATCATGACCCCCACGGGAAGGCTATCAAAGTTTTACATGAATATATAGGAAGGAAATTTATAAATCTTCTCAAGAAAAGCAAAGGTATGATTAGTCATATTTACATGTATATGCAAGCACCTTCAGGTAGTATACATTTAAATTTATTCAAATTATGATCCTCGGTGGTAGGGTGGGGCTACGATGGCCCATCAAAATTTAACATAGAAATGCATAGGTAAATTCTTTAAAACATTCTTCACAATGACAGCACACTATGACTTTTCATAATTAATTATATGGAAGCATCCATAGGAAATTTAGATTCAAGTTTGTTAAAAAAAAATAATGCTAGGGGGAGGGGCGTGGGAGCACAACTGACGATCGAAGATTAACAAAGGAATAAAGTGGGAAAATCTTCAAAAACTTTTCCTCAAGAACAGCAGAGCCATGATAAGTCAGAAGTACAGAAGCTTTGTTAAAGTCATGACCCCTGGGGTAGAGTGGGATCTCAATATGTTTACATTGGAACATAAAGGATTTTTTTCAAGAACAAGAAAGTCATGATTAATCTTATTTATATGGAAGCATTATCAGATGGTGTAGATTCAAATCTTTTCAATTCTTGACACGTAGGGGTAGGGTGGGGCCTAAATACGAGATCAAAGTTTTACAAAGAAATATGTAGTGGAAAAAATCTGGTGATGAAGAATAGCAAAGCCGTGACAACTCATGTGAGCGATGTGGCTTATGGGCATTTTGTTAATGAACGTTTCCTTTGCTTTCAACCAATTGAGACCACTTATTTGTCTAAAATGTTTTAATCATTTCTTACCCGTCTGTATTGTCCGATGGGGACTGTAAAGTTTCGAGACATTCGCTCACTCCAGATACTGTGCTGCTTTCTGAAACGAAGTTCTTTTTCAAATTACTTAAATTCAAAGAAAAGAAAACGTTAAAAATATCAAGTGTTAGAATAGTAGAAGACAGTTACGTTTGTCAAGGACTTTTGGTGAATCCAGTGTAAACTAACTATTAATTTTTTTTTAATTGACTTGACGTTAAATAATGAGCATGATAAAGTTATTTTCTAGATGTTCATTAAGTTTTACAGAAAGTGTGACTTCACTTGATGTAAAGTAAGGCGCAAGAGTTGATGGAAAAACTCACCTTTATGACTTTCGCTTCGCAAAGAAAAACCCGTTTGATTTTATTATTGTATATTTTAAATAGTTCGAAGGTTAGTAACTGATAGGAGAAAATAACTGATATATCACTGTGTTAGTAAAGAGTAATCAGAGAAATATGGATGGAATGCAGTGGTTATGGATATAACAGACGGAAACAGGAAAGAACAGCTAAATATCAGTATATATCGGTGTGAAATATTGTGACCCGACAGTTAATCTTGACATTTTGAAAGAAAACTTGGGTGAAAAGCAGTGATATATGATACAGTTTAAATATATTGTTGATATATACATAAATGAAAATAACAATGTAGTACATAGTTTATCACCATATCTTTAACTCTGGCCCCCTGTTTTACTTAAGTGAAAGATGATCATTTAACCATTTCGTTTCACTTATAACAAAGACATTTAATGAGTATTTAAAATCACCGACTAAAAAGAATGAAACAGAAAACGAATTTTGACGTGTTGACGCGGGAAATCTTCTGTCATTTACCTTAAGCTTGCAAACGAACAAGGACACATATATGCACGACCAGCATGGAAGAAAGTTTGACCTGCGGTAATAGTGTTACCCGCTGTCCTGTGTGCCTGGAAAATTTTACACGTCCGAAATACCTCCCTTGCTTACATACAGTTTGTGAACCATGCATAGACATTTATGTGAAGTCAATGCAAAAAGCTTTCCATCGCAGTTCTCAAAAATCCGAATCAGAGAAAGGGTTTAATTGTCCAGTTTGCAAAGCTTTTGTGTTGTGTTCCGAAGATGACCCGACATTATGGGCAAGGACTTTACCAGACAATACTATCATCAATACATTGGTTGAGAGAAATAAGCTCAAAAAGAAATCAGAGACTTGCGAGGGATGCAAATCTCGAGGTGATGTCATAAAAGCAGCTGCTTGGTGCAGTGAATGTCAAGAGGCGTTGTGTCACACGTGCTCAAAATACCATAAAACGAACAAAGCTCTAAAAAATCATTGCGTATTTAATGTTGACGATCTCAAAGAAGATCCGATACTAATATGTTTTACTGAGGATGAAATGTGCGTTCGACACAAAGATAAACGTGTAGAAATGTTCTGCGAACATCACGATGCTCTGTGCTGTATTTTATGCGTCACCTCTAGTCACAAAAACTGTGACCACGTTATTCCAATTGAGGATGTAGCCAAGGGAATCCGACAAAGTGGCGAGCTAGCATACACAAACAACCAGCTGAAACATATCAACTGCGAGATCCAAGAAATTATCCGAGATCGCAAGAAGAATATCAGTGATTTCACGCAACAGCATCATCGAATAGAGAATGACATAGCTAAATATAGACAAGAGATCAATCAACATCTGGATGAATTGGAGCAGAGGTGCAAGAAGAACATGAACGTTAAATATAATGAACATCTCGCAGATATGAACAAGCAAGTTGAACAGCTACAGAATCGTGAAAAAGCAATCACAAACTGCCAGAAAGTATTACAGACAAGTATAAAATACGGGACAGATTACAAATTATTTTCGGAAATGAACAAATTAAAACGCCAGATTCATGATCATGAGGAACATGTAAAGAAACAAAAAGCTTCCATGAAACGCATTGAATTTAGCTTCGTTCTGAGTTCTCCTGCCACTAATTTTAGGCATTATCTGAATACACTAGCTGACGTCAAGATTATAACATCCAACTATCCTAATATTGAAACACCGTATACAACGCACGTAACATCCACTCCGCGTGCGTCACGGCATTCCTCGCCTATGGCTTCATTCCAGTCTATTGACCTTGATCTGTCATCAAGTTTTAGAAGAATTGAATTCCTCGAATCTAGCAGACGAATTGAATCCAATGAATCTCCCATCAGCAGAAGTGTTGAATACGAATTTTCCAGGAGCAGAAGAGCTGAACATGAATCGTCAAACAGCAGAAGAACTGAACTAAATGAAAGTTTCTCAGAACGCAATGAATCAAGAAGATCAAGTACAGAATCCGAATATTTACAGCTAGCTCTATCGACAAGTGACCTAATCGGGATCAAAGAAGCAGACCTATCGAAAACCATATATGTAAACAAATTAAAAATCATTGATGCAGCATTCCTCCCAGACGGAAGAATTATGTTGGTTGCGAGTAACGGCGAAAATTGGCGCTTGTATGTGTATACCAATAACGGATCTTTACAGAAGGAGATACGATTAAGAAGCCATCCTGGTGGAGTAGCCGTGCTTTCAAAGCAAGAATCGGCAATTACTTTCCCTGACGAGCAAATTATTCAATTCATAGACAACAAAGACTTTTCCATGGCAAAAGATATGAAAATTCGAGGTCATTGTCGCCAGATTTCTAGTGTAAATAATAAGATGGTTATCGTTTGTGAGACGGAGGTGAAATTGTTCAATGGAACATCCGTTCGAACCATTCCAATTGCGGGTTCTGAGATTCTCTGTGTTTGCTTGTCTACCAAAGACCGAATCTACTTCACAATGCAGAGTGACAGTTCTCTCCATTGCATAGCCACAACAGGATGTGAACTTTTCAAATACTGTCATGGCGATCTGGTTTGTCCTTACGGTGTAGCACTTGGCCATGGAGATCGTTTTGTGTACGTAACTGGTTATAAATCTCAGAACATTCATCAAATAACCCCTGAAGGTCGTCTGCTTACCATAATAGTGACGCGTGGTGATGTCATGTCCGGGCCACAGCTGCTCACCATTAATCAGAATGGAGAAGAATTCTTACAAATTTGGGAGCAAATGTATGGGAACTTTATTTATGTGTATGATATGCCCAAAAATGAAATTACTTCAAATTAGATATTAGAAACGTTGTACGTAAAATATGTGTTAAAATATGGTTTGAAATGAATAAGTTATACTAGTATTTAAGGACATGATAACTGATCTGCATATTTCCAAAGAGGTGATTTTGAAAACCATAAACAAGACAATTGAATGAAACCTAATCATCCATACAACTACTAGTACTGCCATTATATCAATAAACAGCATATCCTCTTTTGTTTTCATGTTTGTTTACTATCAGCTATTTAAATCCAGTCTGATACTTTATATATCCGTGTTCTGTTCCATTTTAATTAAATGTACTTCAAATGAATATTTTAAGGATACCTGATCTTCACAAATCCTTACCAGTTGAGCTGGATGGCTGGACATTATCTTTTCGCAGTAAATCAGTCGTCTCCATTGGCAGGTATTGATTTGGGGTTAAGTTCTTCACGGTTTCTGAGTCCATTATCGTTTCTTTCTCTTGTTCTGTCGTTTTCTGCTCGATTGATACTGTTGGGGCCAACGTTACTGGTTTGACTGGCATGGGTAGAGGACATCTCATCATGTATTCTGTATAATTCCTGGCGAAATAAGGAGCCATCATGTGGATCTGAGGGCAGCTTTTACTGACCGATAAACACATTTCAAGGTCCTGGTATGTCCTTCACAAATGTCAAAAATAGACAACAATGTATATTGCCCGAAAATTGGGATATATGATAATCAAAATTCATAATTAAAGTGAAAAATATATATATAATTTCTATGAAAATACCTTTTTCTTGGTTATTAATTTAGTCTTATTTAAACAATAAAATCTTTTCATAGTTTATTAGTACGGGAATTAACGTTGCATTTGTTACAGAAAAAATACATAATTTATTTTTTTTCTGCAATAGCTGCAACCATTAATTCCAGTACTAGGAACCGAATATAGACATTTCATTTCTTTATATTTATAACTGCATAAATAATCATATAAAGTAGGTTTAAATACATTAAATATTATACTTCAGTGTTTGGTTCATCGATTGAAAAGCAAAAAGCACATTGCATAAGAATTCTACACAGGTGGCTTGAAAAACCAGTCCGGCGTTTACTGATTTATAAAAGAAGTGGTTTTCATAAGAAATAAAGTAAAAAAAAAAAAAAAATTCAGTTGATGTAGATATTACACATTACTTGCATCCAGAATCGGCATTATTCAGATTGTAAGTTAATGTGCATCGCTCCAACACAGCCCAGGTTCTGTCAATGTCTTCACATCCTATAAAATTTAGATTTACGTTGCTTTATGATTGAACAATTGTAATAAAGGTACGAAATACAATCAACATTACTAAAATTTAGTGACCAGTACGCAATTGAAATCGTGTCCTTTCTCTGAACAAAATCTACAATAATGTTGCAGCTTTTACTTGTATTTTTCAAGCCAATATTTCAGACAAAAGCGAATTTAAATTAAAGTTATGCGCGTATGCATTTACAGATTGTTTTCATTTAAGTATGGTGGGATTTACTTGCCAGAGTCACAAATGTACTTGAACACACGTAAAGTGTCTGCCTCAAAATCTTGCACATACAGTTTTTCGCCAAAAGTGCAATTGCTGTCTACCATCAAGGCATTGTCTTTACATCTGACACTTTCTTTGTAAGAACTTTGGATAAAACAGAAAACAAACATCAATACAATGTACTATAACTGAAAATGTGGGTGCGATAATTCATAAAATGAAGAGGGGTGAATTAAGAATGCTTTCTTAAAGATGAACATTCACCGACTTCTAAGAAATTTTAGCTAAAAACCAGGATTTTTTCCAGAAATGTGCTCTTGTAGTTCTGTTTAACGATCTTGAACTAACTTGCAGAAATCTTGAAATTTCTTCGTTATGTATAGGTTATACTTCACTAGACCTGAACACGCTTTAATTTCCTGCATCACTGGACAAACTGTAAGGAAAAAATGCGTAATTCAAATTCTAAAAATAAAAAAAAACCTTTTAGTTCCTCATATGATTAAAATTTCATAAGGATTTTCTTAAAAGTTTTTCTCAAACTTTTTCATTTCACCAATGGTTCAAGAAGATTAGTAATGTTTTGTGATCTACTCACGTTCAGAGCATTTTCGCTGGAAACTTTTTTGAATGTCTTGTAGTCTATAATATTCAGCTTCGTTCCCACCCCATTCACACTTAATGACGGCATCAATTAAACATACAGTTCGGAACTCTTTTGTTTTCTTCCTGATTGAATAAAGCAGCCATAAAAGTATACCATTCCAACATATGCCTTCATTGACATTCAATTCAATTTCGTGATAACTAATGTCTTATATGCTCATTATTCTTGACTTACAAACAAAAGTCGATGACATGGGAATCATTTTTGTTTGCGATAGCCTCGTTAAAATCTCGTTCCAACGACAACGCACACTGTTCAGCGGTGACACAGCTCCAGGACTGAGCATCCGTCCCTAGAACAAGGATACCTTCAAAGAACACGGCACAGAATAAACCTATCAAATGGGTGGTTTCTAATTTTATCTTCTCCAAAAATATGTATCAGTACAGGTTTATAGCATTTTCAATTAATCCGATGTAAGAAAAAACTTCCTTGCTGGAGACATCAAATTTATATAAAAAAAGGAAGAAATAAAACTCAAACCAAATATTTATCAATAGATATTTTTACAAAAATGCAAAGATTTATATAGAGAAATAAAGAGAAAATGCCTTACCAAATCCAACCATACGTAGTAAAGCCATAGTGTGGACCGTACTCCAACGGACTTGGAATAATTATAATGATGTTGGTGATTAATTTATTTCCGGGATGAGTGGTCGTCACATCAGACTGGAAGTGAGTACTTGGTGCATCTGTGTTATATCAAAAGCCAACTGTCAAGTATTTTACACTTGGTTTTACATTTATAAAGCTTCATAAAACACAACATGACTTCCCATCTTGTAAGGGGGGGGGGGTCTGCCGAAATAAACTGTACGTGAAATACTGATTTATAGATGACAACTATCAGTATTACTATCGTCAACACGATGATTAGAAAGACGGTTTGAAAGGCAACTGTAATAAAACGCTCCCCGGGGTAAAATTCCAATTTAATTTGTTAATTCCCTCCAAAAGTCCTTTGAAACGTTTATTGAATTGCTGCAGTGAAATCAGCTGTTAGCTGTTTAACAGATTTTTGTGTAGGATTATATAGAGAGTATCTTAATGTGTGACATGTGGAGTACTCATCTCTGCCTTGTACGGCCGACAGAGATGATACTTACATCAGACTCGGTTTCCTCTGAATCATCTGGACTAGGATTATTTTTTTTTTTAATTCTTCCTCGCTTACAGCTATATACATGTACTTGACTTTATTAAAAAGAATTAATTAGATCTGATCAAAAACCTTTTATGCGTTCTTCAGAATAAAAAAAAAATAAGTAACGATCTATTTAGTCTGAAAGAAAGTATTAATCATCATGAGTTAGTAAAATTGTTAATTTAAAAAAATATCATTTTCTGAACTTTGTTTAAGTTCAAAGACACTAATCATGAAATTTGTCTTTTTAAGTATTAATTCTTAAGGACTAAATCGATTAGTTTATCTGCAGCAGTCGCGCCATCCTTTATCTTGAATGGTCTGATCTTAGGATATCATGGAATAGGATTGACTCACTGAATTATTAATCAAGAAAAAACAGGTCCAAGGTTCCAAAACCCTTACCTGATAAATTGCAGAACTGGCAAAAATTAAAGTACGAACAGGTTCAATAATTGTCAATGTCTGGTGAATTTGTTTGATACGTATCATTCAATTCTATACTAGCATGACTAGTGGGCGTGATCATATGCAGGGATTACAAAATGAAAACAACAGCTCTATCTTTTCAGTTATAAGAAACATTTTCCTAAAAAAAAAAAGTAAGTAACTCTCTCTCTCTCTCTCTCTCTTTATATAAAATTTCTAAAACGAGTCAAGCTATTGACAAATAAGTTGATGAAACAAGAATATCAACAATCTCGTTTAAAGTCTTCATTTTGCAAGTTCTATGGCCGAAACAATGATCTTGTCGCCAAATACAATCTATCATTAAGTCAAATGCTGACCGACGTTGTTCATACTATTTGTTAGGCCATTATTTACACTGAATTGTCTATGGATTTTTCCGTTTTTTTCCAATTATGACAAGGAGCACACGGCGGGTGTGATCAGTCGGCAGGGAATGCTCACTCCTCCATGGCACCTGATCCCACCTTTGATGTTTAAGAGGTCCGTGTTTGCTTTGCTCCTGAATTGTATTGTTTGAATGGACTTTTGAGCTTAAATACTGTTCGTTATCTCCAAATTCATTACAAAGCAATAAAAATGAACTAGACACGAACAATTAAAAATTGTCAAATTTTTGGGACGCTCTGTCCTTTCCTCAGGCCGTAGAAAAGGTTCAAAAGTCATGAAAAAACAAAACAGATGAAAACAAAAACTTCAATCACTACAATTTGATATTGATTTAGAGATTTCGATGAAGAAAACTAATTACAATGTATTAATATTTAGAAATGAATCAGGACCACCGCGAGGCACGTCCGATCAGTCTGGTCTTCTGTGGATATATATATATATATATATATATATATATATATATATATATATATATATATATATATATATATATATATATATATATATATATATAGACAAAATTGCTTTTTTCGTTTGTTAATTGAACATTTGCTTAGCTAGTACTAGTATATCTAATATGCCATCTTTCCCAATACAGTGGAATTGACAAATGTCTTGGTGTCATGACCATTACCTTTAAATGACTTTCTTGTCCGAAAACCAATTTCTGAGTGTAAAAATTGCTTTTGGGGGAAAAATAGGATGTTGTAGGATTACCTTAGCTGAAAATGTAAGTGCTCCACCTTACAGTGAAATCATAACCATGGTCAATGCTATACCTCCTGTCTTTGAGAAGGTACCAGAATTTGGTATTGTAGAGTCATCTGATCGTTTTTTAGAATCTGATAGAGGTTTAGTGGCAAGAACTTTAATAGAAGGCAACAAAGTCGCACCTGTTAGACTGATGAACCTTTCAGCAGAGCCCCAAACTTTATATAAGGGAACATTTGTAGCTACTTTGTCTGCCATTGAGAACGTCTATGATAAGACAGGCTACTTACAGAATAATAAAAGAAAATTGCCAGACTATCTTAAGGATTTGTATGCAAGGTCAGTAGCAGGATTGACTGCGGACAATGCCAAGGCTGTTAAAACATGCTTTTGAAGTATTCACACCTGTTTGCTGCCTCATACGCTGATTTAGGCCAAACGAAAGTTACCGAGCATACCATTAACACTGGAATAACCACACCAATTAAACAGCCTCCAAGGCGCTTGTCCATTCATATACAGGAGGAGACTGACCGTCATATCGATGATATGCTAAAAAGGGAAATCATAGTGGAATTTACAAGTCCATGGTCATCCCCTGTCGTGTTAGTAAAGATGAAGGATGGGACCACAAGGTTTTGTGTCGACTACAGGAACTTAAATAATGTAACCATTAAAGATGCATACCCATTCCCCAGAATCGACGACTCCCTTGATCAGTTGTCAGGCAAGAAGTATTTTTCAACCTTAGATCTAAATGCTGGGTATTGGCAGGTTGAAGTGGCTTCCCATGACAGAGAAAAGATAGCGTTTGTGACCAGAAAGGGCCTATACAACTTCAGAGTCATGCCATTTGTGCTTTGCAACGCCCCAGCGACGTTTGAGCGATTTGGAAACGGTCCTGAGAGGTCTGCAATGGCAAATTTGCCTTGTATACCTTGATGATATCATTGTAGTAGGGGAAACTGTAGATGATATGATTAATAATCTTACTCTGGTGTTCAACTGTTCAGTAGCAGCTGATCTTAAGTTGAAAGTCAGAAAGTGCACATTGTTTGCTACAGAGGTAGAATATTTGGTGCACATTGTGTCCCAGAAGGGGATATCAACGAGTCCAGATAAAATAAAGGTTGTGCAGAAATGGGAAGTTCCCTCCAATGTATCAGAGCTCAGATCATTCCTCGGATTCTGTAGCTACTGCAGGCGTTTCGTAGCTAACTTTGCATTAATAGCCAAGCCACTTCATGATTTAACAAAGAAAGGAACACATTTTATTTGGAGTGACAAATGCCAAGAAGCGTTTTATTTACTACGTAAAGAATTGTCAACCTCACCAGTACTTGCCCATCCAAATTTCAGTGCAAAGTTTATTTTGGACACTGATGCCAGCAGTTTTGCTATTGGTGCCGTATTATCTCAGATGCAAAACGGTATAGAGCGGCCTATTGCTTTTGCAAGCAGGAGTCTGACAAAATCTGAAAGGAAATATTGTGTTACTAGGAAGGAACTATTAGCTGTAGTTCATTTTGTGAAATACTTTCGGCATTACTTGTATGGTCGTCAATTTACGTTACGTACAGATCATAGCTCACTCAGGTGGCTAATAAACTTTAAAGATTATGAGGAACAGCTTGCCCGATGGATGGATGTTCTCTCTATATATGACTTTACCATTGAACATCGGCCAGGAAGATTGCATGGCAATGCGGACGACCTTAGTCGCGCACCTTGTAGACAGTGTAAAGTTGACTATTGTGTTACTGATGAGTATCTGCAGTGTTAAAAGTAGATGACCAATTGTTACTGCAAAAGCCATTGAAATGCCTACAAGATGATGACAAAGACATATCTAAAGTAAAAGCTTGGTTAGCACTCAAAAGTAGACCAAACAAAGATGTGTCATCAGAGTCAGTCAATGTGAAATCTCTTTGTGCCCAGTGGACAGGCTTGTCATTAATGATGAAGTCCTCTGCAGGAAATGGACTGATTTAATTACAAGGCAAGACATTTTACAAGCCATTGTGCCCAGTTGTGAAAGGAGAACTGTGCTAAAGCTTTACCATGACTGTAGATCCGCAGGCCACCTTGGTATTCACAAAACGCTTGCCCGAATACGTCAGTCTTATTATTGGCCTGGTCTGCAAAGAGGTGTACATTCATACATTGCTGACTGTGAAGTATGTACTAGACGGAAAGCACCTATCCCAGGTAACAAGTTCCCAATGAAGTTGGTGTATTCTGGCTATCCATTTGAGAGGATTGCCACTGATCTTCTTGGAGAGCTTCTTGTGACCGACAATGGAAATTGATATATCCTGGTGGTTGCAGACTACTTCACGAAATGGACTGAATGTTTTGTCATACCTACTATGGAAGCCTCAACAGTTGCAGAAAAGATTGTTGAGGATGTTATCACAAGATTTGGAGTACCTGCGGTGGTACATTCCGACCAAGGACCACAATATGAAAGTAATCTTTTCAAAGAAATGTGTAAATTCGTAGACATCCAGAAAACGCATACCACCCCGTACCATCCTCAGTCTGACGGGATGGTAGAGCGTTTTAACAGAACGCTCACAACAATGCTCAGTGCGTTTGTAAATGATCATCATAATGACTGGGATGTGCATTTACCTTTCATTATGATGGCCTAGCGCAGTTCAGTACATGAAACGACAGGCATGACACCGAACATGGTGATGTTTGGAAGAAAGGTTGCCAGTCCTTTGGATCTCCAGTATGAGATGCCACCTCAAATAAAAGAGACACCAGTGGGAGTTGCAGGAACGTCTTGAAAAGGCTCACTCATTTGTTAGGAACAAAAGGAACCCGTCAATGGCTAGACAAAAGCATTATCCTGACCGCAAATTGATGTGGAAAAAGTTTGAACCTGGCGAAGAGGTGTATGTTTATTTTCCAAGGAGAAAACCTGGAACATCACCTAAGTTAATCAGTTTTTGGCAGGGTCCCTACAAGGTTAAGAAAAAGATGTCAGATTTGACATACCTTGTAAACTGTGGCCCAAGAGGTTCAGATCAAGTCATACATGTAGATAGAATGCGCAAAAAGCGTATGCAAGTTCTATCAGGCGAAAGTGATGACATACTGACTTGATGGATGATAATGAGGGTCAAGAAAAATCTGATTCAAATCATCAAGCTAGTTATGATGATATCTTCTCTGATACTAGTCCAACCAGCAATAATCGTCCAAGAAAAGCTCGTAGGCCACCTATCTTGTTACATGATTATGAGACCGACATGTAAGATTACTTAAAACGACTACAATACATGACCAATTAATTTTAGTATTCTACTGACCTTTGGTTCTACCTAGCTGTATATAGTTGTATACCTAGTGGTTTAAAAAAAAGAAGAAAGGGATTCTTTGTATATAACTTTGAAATTGTTATCTGTTTATTAAACCTTCATCCAAATTAAGAACCATTTAGTTTTTAAGCTGTACATGCGGGACGTCTGTCATCGGAGGCATGGGTAGTGTAATGATTCCGGAATTTTGAGGCATGACCATGCACAGTTCTTAGTAAGTCACTGTTGACATCACGTGATATTAGTAGGGTATATATATACTGAGACCCCGCAGTCGTCTGGGGTTATTTTTCGGATGCAGCCAAGGAGAAGAAGACGATTGTAAGTGTTTTGAAGTCTGCAGTAACGAAAGTATTCACGATTAATTCCTCGCCTGTTTTTACAGTTTGAGAGTGAATTTGGAAGGCCATTTGAGGTTTGCCAAACCAGTAATAAGGCCTGCCACGAAGAGGTTGTCCTCCAGTAAAGAGGCTAGCCATATAGTTTGTTATATCGTCTGTATTGGCTGACCAGTCTGTCCAGGCTGCTATACTCATTGTCTGTCCTGAATAAGGCATCTTACAGTGAGTGTAGTGGTTGAAGGGCTATCACATATACTGTCCGTCCTGAATAAGGCATCCTACATTATATGCGATAGTCTGAGGGCGACTGGGCTCTTATTTTCAGTGTTAGGTTAGGACTACCAGTTTATTAATTGTTGCTTACCTCTGATTATTATGGTGATTTACTAGTTGATTTAAGGTTAGGACATATCTGTATGTTTTGGCAGTCCACTAATTTCCAATGGTTTAATGTTGAACACCCCAAACCCTTGAATTGACCATGTGCGACCCCCTGTGTTTAACGTAAATACGTTATATATATATATATATATATATATATATATATATATATATATATATATATATATATATATATATATATATATTTATTTATCTAATCCATTGTCAAGCATTGCTATCTGTTGCTAAGTTCCAGCGCTTAATTTGAAAGATTTATTTAAATTATATGAAATTTAAAAAAATAAAATTCCTAACTTTTCTATAATTACATAACAATTTCACAAGTTGTTTATAAATATAGTTTTACAACTTAAGTCTTATTTATTCACTTCAAACAGTCCTACATATATACAACTTAATTCATGAAATTGAATGAAATGACTGATAAAATATTTATATTATTCATTGACACTAATACACAACCCTCAAACCATTCAAACACCTTTTTCACTCACTTTCCCACACATTCAAAATCACAACCATACATGAAGATATAGATAATGTTAAAAACAGACCTGAAATCCATCCTGACTTTTGGAATTGCACCGGAACTACCATACCCAAGACAAACTGTCTTCTCAAAATACAAAGACTGGTATGACCAGTTCTGAACAGAAATACACTTCCCCACCGACAGATCATCAACCAACTAATAAAATTTCACTGAAGGTCACTTCGTAGGTCACTGAGTCACTGACCTCTCAAAGTTCTTTACTATAGGGGAAACTTACACAGTACTTAATAATACTTAAATAATTCTAAATCTTGTGAAGTATAATAGACTTTAAATAATAAATTGATGAAATATGAATAATTTAAATTAAACAAATTAACTGCAAACATATTTTCAAAATTATTTTGTAGTTAATAATACTACACATGTCAAATATATACAAAATCCTAAAATTCTGAAAATATACACTTTTCAAATATTTTAGTAGTTTACCACATGTTATTATTATATTATGGATTAAAAGAATTATTCCAACAAATGCCACATAAAATCGCACAAAGGTCCTTCAGTTATTCAATCTAATTAAAATTAGATCTTTGATCCGCTCCAACTAGATCGCTACACAAACTTTGTGTAGCGATCTAGTTGGAGCGGATCAAAGATCAAATTTTAATTAGATTGTTCAGTTATTGAAACTCTGAAATTGAAATGAACAAAGTAAGACAATAAAGTCAAAACTATGTTGCGTATGCCCTTAAATATCAAATAGATCGTGAACAAGTTTTAAAAGTAAATTATTAATTTTCTTTGGGGGTGCGTTAATTAGCAATTTTGTCTCTGGTGTATAAAGCATGTAATACAAAGATACCCGCTACCATCTCATATTGAATGAAGTATTTATTCATAGGATTTCATGTACATGAAACAACAAGGAAAATGTGCAAAAACTGAAAATTCAATTCTTTCAATTCATTATCAGCATTGTGGCATATAATCAAAGGCAATGTTAATAGACAAATCAAACAATTGAAAGTCTAAATACAGTTCTTTGAATACATGTAATTGAGAAGATTAATTGAAATTTTCCTTAAGGTAAAATACTCTGATATCAGTTCAAAGCATTTCAAGTAGAAAAGAATTCTCCCATGAGACATTTTCAAAAAAAATGAAGAATACATTGAGGTCTATAGGGACAAATATTTTAAAATAAGTATACTACAGAATATCAATAAATGCTGAAGTGGAAAGATTTGTTTTTACAATTACGAATAAAAAAAAACGAATGAAAACTATTTTTAATTTATACCAGTTTTTTTAGAATGTTTTTTTTTTATTTATTAAGAGCAACGGGGATAACTCTTCAAGGACAGGACAAGGTTTTTAAATCAGGGCATATTCCACTTTTACATACTAATACTAATTAATTAAAACATGATATTATGTCTTAATATACTGAATATTCAGGCCATACATATCTGTTATGCATTCAATTTCATTGAAGCTGGGGCTATTAAGGTCGGATACCAGTTTGTCTGTATCTGATTTATTTTTATGATGAGTTTGAACAATTGACGATGTTCATCTACTTATGTGAAGATAGCACAATTTATAGCTGTGTTTGTGAGTGTGTGGGTGTGCATTCATTTGATGGAAAATAACACCCTTTATTATACCTCTGTGTATTTTTTCTAAATATAAAAATATGACTAATAAACCTGCTTTTTTTTAAATAGTCTCTGAAATACTGTGTATTTTTGTGCTATTTGTCCATGACGAAATAATCGTCAAACTGTCCACCGGCAGCATTCGATTTTCCCATGCTTTCCATCTCGGAACTTTTCTGATTTATCCGTAGTGTGTCGTAACTCAAGTAAAGTCTACTTTATTATAATATACCTATTTACTGACTATTTGGACAACAGTATTTTTTTTATTGTTCCCCTCGGTTACGCTTCGTGAAATAGTTGCTGTCTTAGGGGACAATACACTTGCTGTTGTCCACATAGCCAAAAAATAAGTGTATAATAGACAATTTATAAGTGTATATGTGTGAGTGGGTGTGAGTGAGGGTGCGTGTGCGTGTGTGCATCCAATCGATGGGAAAATAGTATCACTTGTTGTTTGTATATTTACTTAAAAGTATATCAAAACCAATGTCGTTCTAACAGGGACATATAAACAAAACATACATACCCATATAGCTCACAAAATGTGTAGATGACCTTAAAGTTTCTATAATTAAGAGAGGCGATTCTACCATTAACTTAGAGCGTTTCCCGTCAGTGCAGTTTCCCGGATAAAAGGTCAACAAAGAGTCAGCGATCACATGGATCCGTCAATAAAACTGGAGAATTAATTGGCAGTAACGTAAGAAATTCTAATACGTAAAATGTGCGTGGTGTGCGTGTCTGGGTCCAGTTCAGAGTGAGTTAAAGATTCTGTATTATGTTCCAAATTGCATTCTATGGACAAAAGTCACGGAAGGTAGGTGGGAAATGATTGTTATTAGCAGGGATATCGTTTTTAATACAACTGTGGTCAAAATGAACAAAGACTAGTTTGTCCCGGTTGTCAAATTTGAAATTGACGTCCCTCACCGCATTTAATGTTGACGACTTCTCACAGCAGGAAGATTTTAACTTAACGATTCATAAATATGCAACAGGAAATGAGTTTGTTTATGTACAATGTAGTAAAATATATATAAACAACTTGAAGCTGATCGCATTTACGGATAGTTAAACTCAAGGCCACATGGTGATACTTATCTGAGGAATATATTAGATCATGGATTAAGAAGCCGTCGATTCTAATTAGTACTGCAGGTAAATTTAAAGCATCTACGTGCATATTATACATTATAATTGAATGCTCTATACAGAGGTGCACAACCGTTACGTTTCTCGAAGCCTTATTCATCGATATATTTATAAATTCAATTGTCAAAATTGTTTATTTTCCGCTTATTTAAGGTGCTGAGATCATGCCTTATAGAACTTTGAAGACCGACTTTATATTCTTTCCGGAATCTTAGAAAGATAATGTTTTTTCGTTGGTTTTTTCAATGGACAAGGAAAGTATTAAATCGGTCTTATGGGCATCATTTCTTGTAAGTATAATTTGTAACTTTGTACTATGGTATTTTTTTTAACGTATAGTATTCATATGAAGGGTGTATCCGCATAAATTGTGTTTATCCATGCTTATTTTAACAGTAGATCATAAAAAATCATATCACATCACTCTTTAATTCATAAAAATCTCTTTAAATCTTAAAAATGTGAATCAGAAATTGTCATTAATTGAAGAGGAGCTTTTTAATTCATTTTATATATCAAGACAACGGAAAAACGAAAAAAAAACCGACGGGTAATTTTTATTTGAAAAAAAAATCCACATCCAGGGTTGGGATGATATATGTTACATACCTAGCTTAATTTATGAAAAAAAATCTTTTTTAATATATTTAAGAGATTTAATCATAAAATGGAATATATAGCCATGCATTTCTTTAACATTTCAGACAAATATATGAAACTTGTGATTTTAAACATTGATCGATGTAGGCTCATCTGGTAGGTTTTTAAAAAAATGATTTCTCTCGGAAATCAAAATGTCAATCTTGTCATATTTTGTGCATGAAAAAAGTGCAAATATTAATGTCTTGTCTTTTTTTTTTTTTTTTTTTGATCATGAGGTATATTTGCCTTTAAAGAACAACAACAACAAACAAAAAACAAAATAGAAAAAAACGAGTATGATAGTAATGATACACACACACACACACACAAAATCGAGTTAAAATTTAAGTATCTTCAAAATGTGTTTAGTTATATAAAATTAAAAAAAAATGTATATGTTTTTTGAACGTAAATGGTTCTAATGACATAATAATTTGCTTTCGCGTTTTTTTTCTCAATATTAATAGAAGGCAATATTGTTTACCTTGGTAAATGGGGGGGGGGGGGGTTACAAAGTTTTATAGTATGTGAGAAAATTATATATTTCTAAACTAGTGCATTTAGGGGATTCTAAAATAAGCTACTGTTTAATGATCAAGTTAACGACAAAAAATCTAAATACATATTTCAAAAGAAAAAATACGACAAGGTTGTTTCCTTTTGACTGCATTCCAAACCTATGCAATAGTCGCTAAACATTTAGCGCAATATGACGTCATTTAACTATTATCAATTCATTATGACGTCATTTTCCAACTTATTTCAGTTACAAATCATCTTATTTATAAAGGTAAATTAAAACCTTGGACATTCCAAATGCTGGGAATAGTTCTTTTTGTGATTCAGATATGGATTTGTTCCGCAGAAGATGGAGAGTTCTTACGAAAGGAATTGGAGCGGAAAGGAATGACAAATATTAAGTACACAAAACTTTGGCATGACGGTAATTTAATTAGGTAATTATCTGACGTCACACCATACATCTGATATTTTCAAATTTATTATCAGGTAGCAAAACTTTTGTCCCAGTTAACGACAGAATGATGTGTCATTTTTTTCAGAAGGAAATTTTCCGGTGTGATGCGCCGACAAGTTTTGTTCCTGTATAGTCAGATTGTATAAACTTTCAAATTTAAGCTATAATCTGTATGACTGAAATGAAATACCAAAAAAAAAAAATAATATAATAATAATAATAATATTGTATTTCTGTCTTTATTATGGCGTATAGGGATATGAAAGATCTCTTTGATGTCTCTATTTTCTTTAATTATGGGTATTACAAACTTGAAAAAAAAAACATTTCTATGAAATGTGAAGATAATAACATTCTCAAAAGTGCATTTAAACAATACAAATTATAAGCAGAGCGAACACGGGCCTCTGAAAACAGAGGTGGGGTCACGTGCCATGCTCTGTAGACCAGACATGCGTGCTCATTGTCATGATCGGGTAAACGGAAAAATCCGTAAACAATTCAATGTGAAAATATAATATATTGACATCAAACATTATTATTTTTTTAATTACTTTTAATAAATAGGTCAAAACGAGTAGCAGGATCTAACCTCTTGACAGATTCAATGAAAGTTATGTTCGAGTATTCCGGGGAGAAATTTAGTCTGGAACTCACTAAACCTGAAAATATTCTCCATCCGTCTGCTGAAATTGTAACACTGACCAACTCATCGACTCTACGGTGGAAAGACGCTCACCCAGACTGCTTTCTTACTGGAACTGTGACGTCACATCATGGCATTGCCTCTTTGTCCATCTGTGATAAAATAGTATGCAGTACCAGTTCAATATATTTTTTTTTCTTCAGAAAATTACCATTTTTTTCCTAAGGCATGCATGAGCAAAAGTATTTCTTTTTTCTTAGTTTGGAATCATCAGCACTCCAGAGTATAAGTTACATATGCAGTCCTTGCCTGTATCAACTAGTAAGCGATACACCCCTATAATTATTGCTCAACACGAAGACAAAGTTTCGTGTTCCAACTCCGCAACTGGTAAGTGATTATTTGTTAAATTTTATTGTAGGTTATGTTCACAAGATGTCAATGATCTGTGATTGTCTATTAAAATTTCGAATTATATGTCCCAGATTTATGGTCATCTGGTTTTTTTTTTAAAAGAAGATAGTAAGTCGATAAAGAGGTGATATTTTCCAAAGTCGTTTCCCACATCAAAAATACAATTGCAGAAAATTTGACTGAACATAATGGTAGAAGCAGACGTTCGGTACCATCACATAACATAACGATAGAGTTGGCGGTTTACACAGACGCTGCCTACACCCAGACCATGCTGGTCACAGACTTTACAGAACGATTACAGCATATATTGATGAAATATCATGCTGTATGTATCATAAAAGAATAAAAGAAAATAAATACTAGTTTCTAAAAAGTAAATTGCTTTAATGCATATTGATTTTTTCAACTATTTTCCTCTTTTGAATAATTGATGGGCGCAGATATTACTTCAGTTAATGCAGCGTAACGGATTACTTTATATCAGGTTCAAATGGAATGGTCTAGATCTGGTATGCTTGGATACAACACCAAACTAGTACTGAAGAAAGTTCATTTTTATGACACAGATCCAGTAAGATAAGATTGACTTTCATTGCATACACATACCATTTTTTCGAATTTAAAGTTTATAAATAAAGACTATTCCTTGAAATTTAGTAATAAAGGAAGTTCTTTCATTTCAAAGCAATTAATGAGCAGATAAACTTAAAATATACACATCTCTATGTATCTTGTACATCTGTTTTGTTTGATAAACAATATCGATATTCCAGGCTTCTTTCGATCCATCAACGACATTGCTGGGGGATGTCTTGTCCAAATTTTGTGCTGCTACAACAAATGATGGTCAGTTTGACATACGATATATGCATGTGGGGTAAGTAATTATCAATACTTTTAGAGTTCTTTTACAACTTATTCTAGCAAATATTATGGTGTCTTTCTACTCCTATGCTGAAGTTAATTGTAACATTGATAATATACAGATAAAACTTCATTTCAAGAAGTTGGTGAGTCTTAGAACTGCTAGATTTGGTTTCATGTGACTGACACATAAAGAGTTTAAAGTGTTTTGTAATCTACTATATCTTGTTTTTTGTATTTTATAAGCATAAAATTTGCATAAAACTGTATCCGAATTAAAGCTTTTGCTATTTTTAAAAGCAGATTTTAGTAGTATGAATAGAATCAGGTGAAATGTTTTAATTGTCTATATTAACCGTAAGAAAAGTTATTATAATTTTTATTGATTCATGATTTTCAAATTCATTCCTTACCTGATCTATCAAATCAAATTAAGGTTTCCTCCATAGATATATAAGTATCACAATTAATTTTCCAGTTTCTATTAGTATTTCCTATTAGTTGTGACCTTCACTTAAACAATTTCCAGTTATCAAGGAGAAACATGCTGAATATATGACTATCGTATTTATTTTATGAAAATAATAAAATAATGTACTGTAATTATTATGACCAGATTTTGTATTTACTAAGATTACAAAATCTGGATGTTTTGGGTCGAGCTTACCAGAATGGCGTCTGTGACCAGCAGTATAACTGTGGAGTGGACACAGCCACAGGAGCAGCCAGCTTTGCGGCCACGGCACACGAGATCGGACATCTGTAAATATTTCATTTCCAGTTTAATTCCCCTTTTGAAATTTAAAGAAAAGATTTTTATTAAGAATATAACCCACTTTTTTCATTCAGTGAGAAATTAATATATATATATATATATTCTGTAAATTGTGCACATTTTATGCTGTGACGGTATGTCACATGTCCTTTTAATTAAGAGACAAACGTGAAGTAGCAATTATGTTTTAACCGTGATTAGAAATAAAATTACAGAAGTAAAATCTAGGTAAATATTTTTCAACGAACGAAAAATAAAGGTGTTTTATTTCTCGAATACGCAGATACTTCTTTAACACCAGTTTTCTCCTGTATACAGTGGATATAGCTCACAGGATATCGTTTTCATATCCACGGTTGTGACAGCACAATGGTTTTACGTGATTTTAATCAAGTCAAATATTGTGGATTTACATATATAGAATAGTGTAAAACATGTGATTAAAAAAGAATCCCCCATTGTTTGTGGTTAGGTGTGAGTTTTCCAACTTGTTGTGTTTTTTTATCCATGAGCCTTATAAAAACACAAAACTCATTGGATAAAAAATCATATCCAACCCAAAATTATGGGAGATCCTATACTTATCGCATATTTCAATTTTTACCGTTGAAATTGAGGTAAGTTTTTGTTGATGGATTAGATTAGATTCAAAACTGGGCGCATTGTCCTGGTCTCGAAGCTTGAATTTACAAGGGGAAAAAGTATGACCCCCCCCCCCCCCAAAGAATACGTATTTGATTGTGCATATCAGTTTTCTCTTGACATGCTATCATTTGCTTTCTATGCATTTATAAACTTACTCTGTGAAGAAATTGAAGAACTGACGTCTGTTTTTTTTAAGTATTAGCGTCGCCATTTTTCTTCCAAGTTCTTCCAATGTAGATCTCGTATGAGTATTTGTAAACCGGTCACAAAAGACTAATAAAAAGTGGATTACATTCTAAAAAAAAAACTTGGTGGTAAATAGGGGATTTGTCATTTTGCTTCCTCTGCATTTGTCCTTATCACCAAATTCAAGTTTGTTATTTTTTTAAAATATCTTTTATGCCCATCCAAACTTAGTACACTTGATATATATATATATATATATATATATATATATATATATATATATATATATATATATATATATATATATATATATATATATATACAGTACAATACATATACAAAAGTAAATATTAAATTGAAAAGGAACATTTCCTTGTTTGAAGAAAAGTTGAATTAAAATCTTTTGTAATAATTGATGATCACCAAAGAAATCTTTTTATACCCCTATAATTGTTCCGTCAGGAAAGGCAAGGTATGTAAAGTAAACGAAAACTGGTGCAGGAACATATTTTATTAGGATCTAGAGCATGCCCGTGGGGGAAATTAGACTAGTGGTTATAATTATTTCCTTACTTGCTTTATACATATCTATATTATCACAATTAGGTTTGCAGAGTCTTAAGGTATTAAGACGATGTTTGAAAACCAGTTAATGCAAACAATATAGACAGTAAACAGTTACATGTATCTTATATATGTGCTAGAAATGTCGACATATTCATGTTTCATTGTCTTCCGTGTATTAGAGTTCCTTTTTTGTGCTCTTGTCAGAGAAACATTCACACAATTTTCTCCTTACTCTAAATGAATATGATTTCTGTATTTTTACCTATTAAACGCTATTTTAGGGGGACACTTTGCTGACTTTTGTGATGTCAACACGATCATTTTGCTACCTGGAAAAAAAAACAGTATTCAACGCGGCCCAAGGGCGAGATGAGTATTGTTCTTGAAGGATAGCTATATAATTGTGTTGATTAAATGATGGTCAAAATGTTTTATTAGATTAATAAACAGATGTTCCAGTTTAATGGTTCTTCTTTTAACCAGTAAAACCACACCATTGTTTACATATGCCTTATTTTTAGCGTCGGATGTACATGTAAGTCTTCTCATGTAATATCTGAATAATCTTTGAAAATATTTTATTTCATATGAAAACCAATATTAAATGATAAACTGAAACCATGAGTAAACTAGCTGTTAAGCAAACTTAGCATTCTTCTGACCATTTTTAAAAGAAAAATAACATGATTAATGTACGAAAACAATAATTAAATAACTTGGAATCTCCACTTAACTAGGTACATGTATTAGTGGGGGGTAAATATTGAAAACCATTTTCACTCTTAGCCGAAATGAAAACAAGAAGGTTTTACATTGGAAGTCAAAACAAAAACAACCAGTCCTACTCATTTTTTTTCTTTTTTCTTCTTCTTTGTTTTGTTTACTAGTATTCGCCCTAAGGACATATTTAAAATTATTAACATTAATAGTATATATGCATGTATTTTAGAAGTATCACGGGTTCTGCCTCTGACAAATATCCGTATTATTTGTTTACTAGCACATTTACCATCCATTCTCGTATTGTTTAGCATCCAGTTATTTTTTTTTTTTTCTGGAAATGTACTTAATATTTCGCCTATAAGCAGAACGGTTAGTATCCTCAAAGCTTAGAAGGAGGCATCATTTAGAATGTATTTAGCATAAATAACAAGGAAAATCTTAAATGATTTGCCAAGAGGAAAATTCATCGAATTTCTCTATGAAATTGGTAGAAAAGTAGATGTCAAAGAATCATTTTTATTAAAACTTTGCAAGAAGTCTTTCAAATAATGTATTTTACAGAAAATATATAGATCTCTTACTTATGTCTGTTTAGTCTACTAAAAGAAGACGAGATATATTTTGGCCAATCACAGTGCGATGGTATTTGAAAAATAAAGTATTTCAAAATCGGTCTTTTCTAACATTCTAGTATATGTTTATTAGTCATAATATGGTAGATATTTCTTAATTAACATTTAAAGATTTAATGTCGTACAGCATGGGTATGTTACATGACTCGGATCGCGGATGTTCCGGAAGTGACATCGGTGTAATGGGTGGGTACGGAACAGGTTGGAGCAGCTGTAGTAAGAAAGACATGGATACACTATTGCAGTAAGTGCTTCTTATAAAACATGTCATAATTATGTAGCAAGTCTCATTCTTATTGGACCTATAAAATATACATCTTATTTAGAACGAATTTAAGACTTTCCTGATACATTGCAATATTTTTGTTTTTTGCGAACCCCTGATAAAGCTGTATATAGAAAGTGAATAGGCATGGTTAATTAAAACACTGTTCTCATATCGGTACTCTATTGAGTTGGAGTAGCGTATATCGCTATTTAACAGATATAGAACTACAAACACTGTTAATTTTTTTTAAGGTCAGGAAGTAAAACCTGTTTGTGGGAAGAAAATATCCCTTCCAAAGACGTCCCAGCGAATATAGCAGACATCACTCTCAATCCCATAATTCCAGGTACTACAACCTGCTCTCTTATGATTGATAATTTCAGTGCTTTAACATTAATTACAAGTTCAGTGATCTACAAGATATTCGTCTTTTTCAGGGCAGATGTATTCACCAGATCAGATCTGTGAGCTAAAATATGGCAGTGGATTTCGTTTTAGAAAATATCCAAAACTTGGCGTATGATCATTATTTGAAGTCAGATGAATACCTTTGTTTTTGTCTTGATGTGTTTAGAACTTAACAGTACTCTCTTCTTGCCGTCTGTATATATAAGTTGACAATTTGATTATGTAGGTTTGTGTTCAATATACTTGTGCCAATCATGATTATCAGCAAAGTAACTATGGTCAGATGTTCAAAGAAACTACATCTATCTATGGCATGTACTGTGATACAAATAAAGTAAGTTTTCATTGGTTAAAAGTTTATCAGGACATTCAAATTGCTTTTCAACAACAGAATTGCAAAGATTGATGCATAGAAATAATTGATATGAACAAAACAAAATCTTTGAAGATCTGCTTTAAAATGGACTGTGTTGATGCCTCAACTGCGAAACTGAGCAGCCTGGTAGAGCGTCAGGGAGGGTGGAGTCAGTGGGGGGCCTGGACAGGGTGCAGCAGAACTTGTGGGCGGGGCGTCAACTACAGAAGACGAAAGTGCGACAACCCAGCGTTAGTATAACAACATTTAGACATTTTGTAATAAGTAGAGGATTTATTCATATATATAAATATATGTAATGGATTGCATGTAGGCCCATCAACTTTGAAGGCTGTCCAGGAGATGAATATGAAGCTGAAGCTTGTAACAAAGAGGTAATATATATATATATATATGTATATATATATATAAAACTAGACTGTAGTGTATTGTCAGGACTTTTATATAAAAAGTTAAAGATATTATAGTAGTGAATGTTCGTTACATCCTCTGTTAATATATGTGACTAATTCTACTGCATTGCATTCTTAGCTAAATCAATATTCTCAAACCTTGCCCTTGCCGGATGTCAAATTCCGCGGTATATAATATAGCCTCATTTTGTGGCATGAGTAGGTTTATGTTATCCCTCTTCCTCTGTGAAATGTTAAAGTATCTGTATCTTTGAAATCAGCCCTGTCCCAATGACAGTACTGACCAGACCACTCTGAGGAACCAGCGCGCTGGAGAGACGTGTAAAAGATTGAGAGACAACAATGTCATCAAACCCGATCAGTACTTGGAGACGGGGTCAAGGTACTCTGATACAGGTACTTTCTGTGTGCATAAATTCCTTTTCCATTACACTATAGTGTAAAAAAAAAAGTAAATGATCGAAAGCTATGACTACATAACATCAAGGACATTAAATGTTTTTCTCCCAATTCCAGCTGATGGTCAATGTGAAGTGACCTGTGACCCCGCCCCTGGTCACACGATTCCCTCGTTTACTAGATTTGGGTTTATGCCAGACGGAGTGGCCTGTGTTGGGGGATCTAGCGCCTGGGATTTAAACAACTGGCCACGACAGTCTGGATCCTACTACATGTGTCTGGATGGTTTGTGTCAGGTGCCAAACATTACTTCATCCGAATATAGATAAATTAAGAACTCAATAATCAACAAACACAAACGTCGTTTACAAAACGCAGCTCACTACTTCTTTATTTTGTATATGAACATTTGAAAATGCTTCAATATCAAATAATTTATATCGAGTAGGCTTACGAAATGAAACCATGAAATGCATCATTTGTCATTTTCACGATATTTTTTTTTTAAATAAATGACTTGGATATTCCAAGAATCCATCTCCACAATGTCAAGGTTTTGTGATATCGTTCCTCTGCACAAACCTTTGACAAAAGTCGATATCTAAAAGTCGGGCTAGAAAGCTACCATTTCATTTGTTTCTGGTCTAGGACAGGAACCAATCGGTAAGCAGCCTTTGGTTTATAATTAATTAAAACATGAAATGAGACCCGTAGCCCAACTTTTAAATAGCTTCTTTTGTCAAGGGTTTGTGAAGAGGGATGGTTTCACAAAACCTTGACATTGTGAAGATGACTAAGAATGGAGCTTAAAGTAATCCACAACTTCCTGTTCTGCTATTTATTAACAAGAAATCATGTGACCCTTAAATCGAAAACAAGCAATTCACTTATTGTATCTGACATAAGTTCAGATGTAGCTGGAGTATTCTGTTGACAAAAAGTTTTGTTCACGACGAAACTTTAATTTTTTTTCTTTTTGTTCAAGAGATTTGGTTGTGATGACCGCTTTAATGGAGAAGTTTTTGATGAATGTGGTAAATGTGGGGGAGATAACTCTAGCTGTGCAGTAGTGTCCAAAATAGACAATCAGCAACAAAACAAAGGTAAGGGATTGTTAGAAGAAACATTTTTGTATTCATATGAAGCAGAATTTATTCAAAACTTCTACATCAAAAGAAAAAGATTTATTGCTGTGGCTTTCAATTCAACATTTAAATATGTCAACGACGTTGAATCAATTAACATTCATTTTCATTCCTAAGTTGATTCGGTATATCTTTGACCTCGAAATAAAAACAACTAAAAGTCTGAAACATCTGTTTCATATTTGGATATTTTACTGAAAAAAGACGTCAATGGTAACCTAATAACAAGCTTAATGATAAATTTTAGGCCTTCAACTTTTATATCGTCAACTTCCCTTACCTGCATATGGAGTTTGTGTTACTCAGTTGATTCGATGCGTGAGAACATGCTCAATGTCCAAACAATTTCTTAAACGAGGAAAGCCATTGACAAATAGTTTGATTGTACTAGGATATCAAATGTCTCGTTAAAAGTCAATATTTCGCAAATTCCATAGTCGATACAATGATTTTGTCAGCAAATACAATCTCTTGATAAATCGAATGACTGACGTTTTTCATATAAATTGTTAGACCATTATTTTCACACTGAATTGTCCATGGATTTTTCTGCTTGCTGGATCTTGACAAGGAGCACACGCCGGGATGCTTACTCCTCAATGACACCTGATTCCACCTCTGATATTTTAAGAGGTCCATGTTTGTTCCGCTCCCAATTCTTATTGTTTCAATGGACTTTAGAGCTTGATTACTTTTGTTCGTATCATATTTCATTGTATAAATAAAAATAAGAAAATGATTAATCTAACTGAGGGTTTTATGATCTGAATTTTGCATTTTTATTTTGACAGGAGAACGTCGTACATTAGCCTTTCTACCCGAGGGCGCTTTCAATATCCAGTTTTGGTTTACTTATGCGGATATGAAAAAGAACTTTTTAGGTTCATTATTTCTGTAAATCTAAGATTTCTAATCACATTTAGAAACAGTTTTTGTAATTCTTTTCCCAATTATCAATCGATGATTGGATGGAATTCACTTTTTAGGTCACCTGAGTCACTCAGGTGACCTATTGCTATCTCTTTTCGTCCGTCGTCGTGCGTCGTCCGTCGTTCGTCGGTCGTAAACTTTTGAACATTTTCAGCTTCTTCTCTGGAACCAGTGAACCAATTTCAACCAATTTTGGCATATAGCATCTATGGGTGAAGGGGAACAAAAATTTTGAAATTCGTGGCCCCTGCCCCCCTGGGGCCTGAGGGGTGGGGCCAAAACCATCAAAATTAATGCAATCTTTAAAAATCTTCTTCTTTACTCCTGGACATCAAGCAGTCAAACTGTTGGCATGATTGTAATAAGCATTGAGCCCTCTACCAAAATTGTGAAATTCATGGCCCCAGGGTCAGGGGTTCTAGTGCTAGGGCAGGGCTATATAGATCATATAGTGAAAGTGCATTATTTCTTTGAAAATCTTCTTCTCTACTCCTGGGTATTATTGAAACAAATTGAATACATAGTTATGATGAGCAAGGGTGACTCTACCAGAATTGTGAAATTCATGGCCCCAGGGTCAGGGGTTCTGGTGTTAGGGCGGGGCTATATAGAACATATAGTGAAAGTGCATTATTTCTTTGAAAATCTTCTTCTCTACTCCTGGGTATTATTGAAACAAATCGAAAACATAGTTATGATAAGCAAGAGTGACTCTACCAAAATTGTGAAATTCATAGCCCCAGGGTCAGGGGTTCTGGTGTTAGGGCGGGGCTATATAGATCATATAATGAAAGTGCATTATTTCTTTGAAAATCTTCTTCTCTACTCCTGGGTATTATTGAAACAAATTGAATACATAGTTATGATGAGCAAGGGTGACTCTTCCAAAATTGTGAAATTCATGGCCCCAGGGTCAGGGGTTCTGGTGTTAGGGAGGGGCTATATAGAACATATAGTGAAAGTGCATTATTTCTTTGAAAATCTTCTTCTCTACTCCTGGGTATTATTGAAACAAATCGAATACATAGTTATGATAAGCAAGAGTGACTCTACCAGAATTGTGAAATTCATGGCCCCAGGGTCAGGGGTTCTGGTGTTAGGGCGGGGCTATATAGATCATATAGTGAAAGTGCATTATTTCTTTGAAAATCTTCTTCTCTACTCCTGGGTATTATTGAAACAAATTGAATACATAGTTATGATAAGCAAGAGTGACTCTACCAAAATTGTGAAATTCATGGCCCCTGGGTCAGGGGTTCTGGTGTTAGGGCGGGACTCTTTTGATTATATAATGAAAATGCATTAATTCTTTGAAAATCTTCTTCTCTACTCCTGGGTATTATTTAAACAAATACATGGTTATGATAAGCAAGGATGCCTTTTCCAAATTTGTGAATTTCATGACCCCTGGATCAGAGGTTCTGATGTTAGGGCGGGACTCTATTTATTATATAGTGAAAATGCATTAATGCTTTAAAAATCTTCTCTGCACCTGGGCATATCAGAGGCAAAAAAGGTAAAAGTTTTAATAAGGAAGGGTATCTTTACCAGATTTTTGAACATCAAGACCATTTGGTCAAGTGTCCTAGTCCAGGCCAGGGCTCTATTAATTTGTATTCTACTGAGAGGAGTTATTCCCCTTTGCCATTTACTTGTGATAATTAATCACTGTAAATAATGTACTTGAAAGGTTAATAGAATAAGAGAATCATGCAAGAATTTTTATTGTATAATACAAAAAGTACTTTCATAGTTTTAATGATCAGGTAGACTTGTCTTATTAAGGTTTTCCATCCCTAATAGGAACTAATTCTCTATCCTTAAATATCAATCACGTATATAATACTCTGATATTAATTCAAAGAACTTTACAGTAGAAAAGGATTTACCAAGTGAAAGTTTCAAAAACGTAATTAACTAAGCAGTATTTAATTAATAGAAATTGCATTGAAGTCTATGGAGACAAGCGATTTTTTAAAAATAAAAATTCAGATAATAAGAATATCAATAACTACTGTGGTGGAAAGATCCATTAAATCATTAGAAATAGAATGACAATTGAAAACAATTTTTTACCGTATATTTTTTTAAAATTGATTTTTATTACTTAAAAAGAGGGAGATAACTCTTCAACAAAGGTCAAGTCATAAATTAGGACACTTCCATTCTTACATGCTAATAGTAATAAATGTAGATTATGTCTAAATATACTGAGTATTCCACCCGTACACATCTGTTATGTATTCAAATTCATTGAATCTGAGGCTATTAGGGATGGAATACCAGTACCTTAAATGTTTATCAAAGACCAAGAGTCTTACTCAGGCCAATGTAAGAGATTTCCACAAGGAATTAAAAGAGTACAGAAGCACTGATAGTTTCTTAATATACTGTATGGTGAGAGTGATAAATGGGGAACAGATTAGAACCTAATTTATGAACTGTTAATGAATACTAGACTAATTATTTTGTTAATCCTGATCACCCTATTTTTCTTGCTTTTGGGCAACAAAGCTTCACCTTTCAGTTCATTTTATACTCTATGGATCCTCTAAATTGTTGTATTATACTCAGGTGACCGTTAAGGCCCTTGGGCCTCTTGTTTCATATTTCATTGGTCTATCTTTAGAGGTATACGACAAAACTGGAAATGTAATTCTTGCCAGTATGATAGCCAGCTCATGGAAATTTGACACTAGAACGGAGCCAATTTTGTTTGCGGGAACTGAGTGGTATTATTTCTTCTTTGATCAGTTTCTCCACGCTAAAGGACCACTTAATGAGTCTTGTGAAATCAAGGTACTTAAAAGCTTTATCTGCATTCTAATTGATATACATGAAAATATCAGCTGAATTTTTTTTAAAAAGTAAGGCAAATAGTAAAATGATTTTCCTTATACTTGTACATTCTAATAGAAAAAGAACGTATTTGCTTAGCTATTTCAGAACGAGGCTAATGGCAATGTTGGTGTTAACTTTATGTATTCGGAATCAAAACCAGGTAATTACAATTTGTAGAAAAAATCTGCTATCCATGTTTCAATAATCATATGTTGGATTAACTCTAACTCTGAATATATGAAATGTTAACAACTAATAGTGATACTAAAATGAAAACTAGCAACGAGCGATTTTACTATTATAAACATTTACCTGAAATGCAGTGTCCTTCGATTGTGACTTTGAAGTGGACACCTGTGGGCTAAGTTTGACTACTTTTATTCGTGATACATACACTACTTCTGCAATATTGGATCCACCACCCAGAAATGACTTCGGAGGCAAGTTTTTCCTTTGTTATTATCGGCCGCAAGAGCGGCCGATCTATTTGTGGTTGTGTTAGAATGTGCACATGGGGAATTGAGTCGTTATTTTCTCTTTGTTAGTTAGAATATTTTCTTACTAATAACTTTTATAAAAATCATAAATAAAAATTTTTAAAAGAACTGGGTACGGTAAGCCCAAATATCGGCCCTGTAAAATCGGCAAAAAATAAACGCAGGTTTACATTTTATCAAATGTATCAAGTTACTGTTGAGGTTTCCCTGTGTGTGAAATGGGTAACATTTTTTCTCAACTCAAGCGCCCTTTCATTTATATAACGTTCAAAACTGGTCTTATATTCCGGAAGTCCATTATTTTGGACTTTTCCTTCTCTTCGAGTCTATATTTAGATATGGCCGCATCCGCGTATGTATGCGAAACTTCACAGAAAGAACAAATATAACCCGATTTCTAATATTAAAAAGAAAATATGACCTTACAAAAATGCGGCCACATCCGTTTTTACAAAAAATTGAAGCTGAAAATGCGGCATTTTTGGATAGACGTCACTTTTCTCCACAATAAATCTATACTTTTAAAGAAATAAATTGTTTAATTCTGTATCTGAAGGTTTTATTATTCTTTTTATTGTCTTTTAAATCCAATTCTGCATTTGAAAAATAATTTAGTACAATTTATGCAAATGAAACCCATATAAACCTTTCTCAGTGAAATTTATTATAGGACATTACTTAAGAAATAAGGTATTATTTTTAAACATCTATCGGGATATAAATACGGGTTGGTCACGAGATCAAATTCCATGGATAAAGCCCGAAGGGCTTTATGGTAAATTTGATCTCGTACCAACCCGTATTTATATCCCGATAGATGTTTAAAAATGATACCTTATTACTTATATTTACATTTGTGACTTATTCATATTATTTGTTAGCCTGATTAAAACCTTTAACGCGTGAAATGTTTTATTTTTTTTCAAACTCAACGGCACAAGTTTGATCTATTGATTGCGCGTCGACCCTTTATGACGTCACTGAGAAATTACGTCGAACGTTTATGACGCGAGGAACCCGTGTTTACACGGATATAGATACACATTGTTTTTAATAGTTTTATATAAAGGAAAACATTTGCAAATGTAAATATTTAAGAAATAAATAACAATGTTAAAAAGTTCTCTGGGAAATGAACTTGGTTGGTCACGTGATCAAATCCTGTGAAGCCCGAAGGGCTTCTCAGAAGATTTGATCACGTACCAACCAAGTTCATTTCCCAGAGAACTTTTTAACATTGTTGTTTATTACTTTTATTTACATTTGAGACGAATATTCTAAAAAGAACTGCATTTATTACACGAACGGCCCGCCGTATTGCTACGTTGTGACGCGCAATGACCTAGAAGCTGTTTGGTCTTGAGAGTTCGCCTCGCTCCAACATTTGAGTATTTACATTGATGTTCAGCAGTCCATTTCAGGAAATATCTGTTCATAATGAAAAATCCATGATCGCTACTGAGAATAATCTTACTATTATTGTATGAGTTCTTAATATATGAAGTCAAAAGCGGTGGTATCGTCTTCAGTTTACATACCTTCAAAGGAATTTCGGGTTAAAAAGGTAAGCGTGATTTTAGGCTAATTAAAAACATTCTTCACATCGAAGAAAGAACTAATGAATATTTGTTGAACGAAGAAAAACATATGTTTCAATAATTTTATCTTTTTCATCGCTTTAACGGCTTAGAAGTTCCGAAACCAGTGTCACCGTGACAGAAATATGTAGACAAGATATCATCTCGCTGTGTGATTCGGTTACGCCATGACCTCTGACCCTCTAATAAGTTCATACAGAATTGAACATATTTTCTCTTCAATACGTTCATATAAGAAAAATATTTGCAAATGTAAATAAATGTAATTAATGACGCAATGCATTGAAAACAAGACGTCACAAAGAGCAATCATGTTGACAATTTGTAGATCTACTTGAAACAAATTCTTCCGTCTTCGCAACTATGATAAATATTCAATCAATATTTACAGCGTAAATTAGTAATAAGGACAAGTTGGGCTGGTTCAGACGATTAATTTACATTTAATTACATACATGTACCTCCAATTAAAACGCGCGTCTCTTTCATAGTGGACATTGACTTTATTTGACTGTTCAAGAAAAGGGTTTTTTTTTTTACCTTTTGATTGAAAATCATCAGCTTTCTTAAGTATGTTTTCTTCGTTTTAAATTTATAATATGTGTGGGAATCATAAATATCAAACGACAATACATGTAGCTAGTGATCGGTGCAGGTAAAGGGGGAGGGGGTAGGGGGGAAGCTTGGCGTGTACTAGTAGAAGTCACCATTTGAACATTTTTTTTTTAAAACCTCTTATCCTTGTCACTGTATTGTTGCAGATTTTTATTTGACAAAATTAATTATGTCAGAAAGGATTCTATTGTTTTATCGCATAATCAAGGAGTGTTTTATATATGACTAAACACTTCTAAATCTGCCACTGCCGACCTCCATTTACTTATTGAAGGTCTGCAACTGGGAATGGAAAAGTTCTTATTTACACTTATTAATTATATATACATTTATCATGGTGATCGGAATATTGACATCAGTGTTTTCAAGTAAAATCGGGTTTAATTTATAATTTACAAGGAATTATAGATAAGGAAAAAAATATGTTGACAAATTAAGTTTATAAGGCTTATAATCCTAGACAGTGGTGTATGTTTTCGGCATTTTCTACCAAAATTTAAGTGAAACATGATACAATCAACCTTTTTTATTGTCTATATATAATGATTATCTGTTCCCAGTTCTGTAAGAAATACAAACACGATCATTCATTACTTGTGGACAAGACATCCCCCCCTTTCCGCTCCAAAATCGATGATTTAACTCGATTATTTTTTTTTCAGAAATAATTTTTACATTTTTAAGGCATTCCAAGTCTTGAAATGAAAAATTAAAAAAAAGTTTACTCTGTAGATATTTACCTGTTTAAAAAACGAATGTACATATCAACTACATGTACACTACTAGTATATATTGATAATCTTGAAGTAAGCGAGTATTTTTAAAAGGATTTTATCCAGATTATCCATGAAATAATACATTAAGTATGTCATAGGAAATATGTTCAGTATTCCAATGGATGTTCATCGGGGCTGGAGAAGGGCGGGGGGGGGGGGGGGGGTCCTGCTCATGTCACCTTTGTGAAAATGGTGCACATTATCTCTGAATTTTAAAGATCAGTTCAACGTCCGTGTATGATGATAATCGGTTCCGAAAAAAAAAATTTAAAGTATTTTATCGTTACTACAAGGACAAATGTAAAGATTTGTGGAGGAAATGCCCCAGAGAGTTAATGTATCCGAAGGAAGTGAAAAAATTATCACTGTCACTGAAATATATCAAATATCTTATCTACGGTTGTGTAACATGTAAACATCAGGAGGAGTTCTAAAGCAAAAATCATTAATAGCGCTGCCATTTGTTGGGATGGAAAAAGGGGGCGATGGCTTTTTCATTGCCAAATGTCCAATTTTGATAATTTTATATGGGACGTTCCAATTTTCTTTTTAATTGATTCATGCATCTTTAAAATTTTAAGTGTATTTTCATAGACAATGCGAAAAATGGTTGAAGAAATCCAGCAAATTTTTACATAATTTTTTTTTTTATAAATTTGATACGCATACATATATACATGATACAAATTTTAAAAGAAGTACGTACCTTGTCTCTCATCTGTATGGATGAATCAAGCTTCATTACTTGTCTGATAAAAATGATATTTTCCTACAAATTATTATACTCCTTCCAGCTATCAAAGATACATGTACGATGAATTGAAATAAAAGTTCAAAATTGTTTTCTGGAACTAAGGCAGATTAAAGTAAATAGTTTCCGGTTCAGAGAATTTACAGATTTCTTTTAACGTAACGTTAAAATAACAAACGCCATGATGACGTTATCACGTCAAAATTTGTAATTTTTAAAGAAAACTCGCCATTTTTCGAGACATCTGACGGAAAAACGGTATGTGATAATTTTAAAAACTAAAATGATCTTGAAAGGACACATCGTAGGCATATTTGTAAACAAACTGAAATCAAATTTGGAGACAGGGCCGCCTTGTTATACGTAACGTACCCAGTTCTTTGCTTAATGATAAATTAAAATGGTAGAAGTTACATTTTGATTATTTTTTCATTTCTCATCAGATATTTTTTAATTTATGATTTTAAAGAAAGCTGTTACATGAACTGCTCCCTAACATGGGAGAGTGTAAGATATAAACACAGAACGTCATGTTTCCGGATATCGATTAGAGTGACAAAATGATTGAAAAATGTTGAAGAAAATTATAAGCAAATGCGCTAAAGCTGCAAATGACATAATGATTTTTTTTGCACTTCGCATTTATTGTGATGCTTGTCTATCACAACGAAAACATCGGCATTATCGCATGACAAAGATCCAGGAAATCAGCACGTGAAAAGTTTGCACGTCTTATTTGTAAGAAATCATTGAGACTTCATTTTGCAATAAATAATTCGATGATGATAAAATCCTATTCTTTATTTCAATATCCATGAATTAATTCATTTTTGTTTAATAGTTAATCTAGTTAGTATACAGTTTTGCAAGTAAAATGTATCGTTTACTTTCTGTACTTTCAAATTTAATTTTCAGGACTCTTTCATATGGAAATACTTTAAAATGCTAAACATGTTTGTGGCTGATCTGATGCTTTGCATCAATTTTACTTGTACTAAATTTGATTTGCTGTCTTTGAAAACATCTAAATGACTTTGTTTGAATATATTACAGACTATTTTATTTATATGGCCAGCCAAGCAGCTGACAAGGAAGGAACAATTTTGACCAGCAATATTGCAGGAACGAGTCATACACAATGTTTGGCGTTCAATTATCATAGCACTGATGTAAACTCGAATATCACGGTTTCTTGGGAAAAGAAAGGTGGTGGTTCTATACGGGAGATTACAAATCCACAGCTTAACATCTTTATGTGCGAAGCATTCACCATATCGACCTTAGAAACAGATCGGGTGAGTATAAAATTTGAAAAAAAAAATGTATATTCTGATTTTTTATTTCAAAAAAATCTGTTGAGTTGTTTTTGGTCTTTGTTTATTTTCAGAGGGCGGGATAGGGGTAGGTTAGAGTTGAGGGTGTAGCTTTTTTTGCAACCAGCTCCCTGAGTTCTATGATCAAAACGGGTGTACAGAAAGCAAATTTTGACGGTGTTTACTTTGAATTCTGCAAAAAATGTGCAAGAATCGAAGTTTGCTTCATACAATGTTAATTTTAGAATAAATGAATAAAATATAGCATGCTTTCATTGACAAACACCTCCAATTGGTTACTTTAGCTGTTTTAAGACTGGTCATGTGTAATCTGTAGATAGAACTCTTCTACTGAAAATGATGAATTAGAACTTTTTATTATTTATCGTAGATTTTAATAAAGGGAATGACCAAAGTGGACAATAAAGGTGCCATTATTATGGATAATTTAAAGCTTTTTCCCAACTCCGGAGCATTTTGCAACTCTCAGGGTATGTTAACTTTGTAATTAAACATATTGGAAAACAGAGTTATGGGACAATATTTATGAATTGAATGTTAATTAAATTTTTGTAGATGCCTGCACAAGAGATGTGTATCTCACAACCTTAAAACCCGAGGATACCACATCCGGTTCAGCTTCCACCACAGAGTCACCAGAGGACACTTCCGGTAAATTTAGAATAGTTTTTATAACATCTGCATGAATCATCCATAGCTGTATGACTTAATAAATTCTGGTAGTTTTACACACACGAGAAAAGACAATTTTTATTGATATACATGTACTTCTTTTTCTCATATTTCGAGATTGTTGGCCTATTTTCTGGTTCTTATGAGAGAAAAGTTGAAATGTATGGCTTATTGACAAATAAGTTGGGAAATAATGTTTTCCCTTCTTTTACCTGAAACTGAATATAGTTTTGTAAACTCATACTGTTGGAATCACATTTTCCAATTAATGAAAGGATAACAGTAACAGATTTTTTTTCTTTTTGAATTAAGATAGATTATAAAACGTTATATATTCATGTCATTTGTGAAATCATGAATATAATGAATGGCTTTGTTGAAAAATTAAGATATTAGGAGAATGTTTTAAATTGATATTAAATATTACTTTCAGTTTTGACGAGTTAATAGCTAAAGGAAAGCAGTGATATATGTAATAATATCCTTCGTACAATTTATATTTAGGCAAACTAAAAACGATCTGGCTGATTGTGGGCATCACTGTTGGGTGTCTATTTGTGGTAATGTTGGTTGTTGTATTTGCATGCTGTTATTTCGGTTTTTGGTACGTAACTTTGCATTTAACCAACCTCTCATGTCTTACTGGTTATTTTAATAATTTTTGTCATGATAATCTTCAGAATTCATTTTGTTTTGTAAAAATGTTATTTCTTTTTCAAATATAAATAACTAAATAAATTAGAGTATATCTACTATTTTTGTTGTTTTCTTATTTATATATTGTTAATCATTTTGTTACATTTATATTACCATAACCTTGTTAATCAACTAGGGTAAATTTTATTATATAGGGCGCTCTACAAATGTTTTTTTATTATTATTATTATTGTTACAATATTCTGATTATTTAATTATGCATGGGAACATTAAATGTAATTATGCATGCAGTTTTCTAATAAATTTAATCAACAATTTTACACCCATTTTAAGATAATTTCCTTTCCATTTTAAGGTAAAATTATATCTGAGTACATGTATTCATTGCATTGTCTCATGACATTAAGATGATATGCATAGTTACGTGTATATTATTTCTTCCAATTTCTTTTCCTTATAATTAGGTTCTTTGATATATATCTAAAACCTTTAATGTCTTTTTCAAAGGTATAAGCAAAAAGGAACATTGGGAACCGATTACAAGGTAACTGGGCATTTTAATGGTTTCCCCAAACAACAGAAGAATAGTCACGTGACTGATGACAAGGACAACATCAGAGTTTATATCGAGGCTCATCCTGATTATGACGTGGAAAATCAACCTGACTATGATTAATATTGATTTAGTTTATAATAAAGGATCTTGCAGTTGTTTTACTCCTGACATTTAATGGAGCATTATACACTTGTTTGTTTGTTTGTTTGTTTGTTTGTTTTTTCATGTTTTTTTAAATATACATTTTCTAGTTGTTATATTTGTTAACACTCGTTTGTATTAGTGTGAAAGTAATCAGCTTTAAATATTTTTACTATTCCTCTATACAAAAGTAGTGGAAATAATGGTATTATCGATGTAAATGCATCTTGTTGGCAACATATCAAATGCTGATATATAATGTACATGTATCATAAGTGTTTTATCTCAACACTTCAGATAACTTAAGTTCAATTAGATGGATGCATTGTAGCTTTATTTTTTTAAAAAAGGTTTAATTGTATAATGTGTATATAAATATGCACTTTTATTTCGAAATAGCTTCAAAATCCCCGTGTTTCTGGATTGAGAGTAGAAGGTGCTATGAACGAACCAGTACATCAACATTTTAAAAAAGATATCAATGTTGTATTAATTGGTCACGCTCACTACCACTGTCACATCTGAATATCTTTCAGCTGATCAGCTAACGAAGGTCGCAGGGTTGCAGACCTTTTAAAATTGCCCCAAAACATAACATAAAAATTAGTTATTTGTATCCCCTTCTATTGTTTAGCATTTTCTGAAAAATGTTTTGAAATTTGTTGGGCATTGTTTATGTGTAATTAAATCCCAACCATGCCATGCATTGTTGTTGTAATATTTTCGACGTTATTCTATTGAATTCTATTAGAAAAAAAAGTTGTTTTTGATTCGTTTTCAGGCAAGATTTTGTTTCAAAAAAATGTCAATAACTTTTAAATGGTGCAGACAAAATGAATGATTACATTGTGATCAAAATACTTTGAATTAAAAATTGTTTTAAGTTTTATTTCATTGTCACAATGCAGTGTTTCTATTTTTATAAACTTGAATAAAATTCAATATTTTTTATAGATTATAAATATTGTATACATTGTATTAACTGAAATTAAACAACAAATATATGCAGAATTTCGATATCAAATGAAATGAAAATAGGGAATCTCAACACCTTTTATTTTCCAGGTGATAGATTTCTTACTTTATAACGGATCAAAGAGGGTAGTGTAGTTCCTACATCATTTTCCCCAAAAGTGTAACAGATAATATGAAAAATTTAAAGGAAAAACAATGCTAAATGTTGTCAAATAAAACCTAATGTAGAATTATAATTGGAAGCTTCATATCGATTTCTATTTTTAGCTCACCTGAGCTGAAAGCTCAAGTGAGCTTTTCTGATCACATTTTGTCCGGCGTCCGTCTGTCTGTCCGTCTGTCTGTCTGTAAACTTTTCACATTTTCGACTTCTTCTCAAGAACCACTAGGCCAATTTCAACCAAACTTGCCACAAAGTATCCTTGGGTAAAGGGGATTCAAGTTTGTTCAAATGAAGGGCCACGCCCTCTTTCAAGGGGAGATAATTAGGAATTACTGAAAAAATAATGGCATCATTTAAAAATCTTCTTCTCAAGAACCATAGGGCCAGGAAAGATGAAACTCATGTGAAAGCATCCTTAGGTAGTGTACATTCAAGTTTGTACAAATCATGACCCCCGGGGGTAGGGCGGGGCTGCAATGGAGGATCAAAGTTTTACATAGAAATATATAGGAAAAATCTTTAAAAATCTTCTTCTCAAGAACAGCAAAGCCATGATGAGTCATATTTATATGGAAGCATCCTGAGGTAGTGTGGATTCAAGTTTGTTCAAACCATGACCCCCGGGGGTAGGGCGGGGCTGCAATGGAGGATCAAAGTTTTACATAGAAATATATAGGAAAAATCTTTAAAAATCTTCTTCTCAAGAACAGCAAAGCCATGATGAGTCATATTTATATGGAAGCATCCTGAGGTAGTGTAGATTCAAATTTGTTCAAATCATGACCCCCGGGGGTAGGGCGGGGCTGCAATGGAGGATCAAAGTTTTAGAAATATATAGAAAAATCTTTAAAAATCTTCTTCTCAAGAACAGCAAAGCCATGATTGGTCATATTTATATGGATGCATCCTGAGGTAGTGTAGATTCAAGTTTGTTCAAATCATGACCCCCGGGGGTAGGGCGGGGCCGCAATGGAGGATCAAAGTTTTACATAGAAATATATAGGAAAAATCTTCTCAAGAACAGCAAAGCCATGATGAGTCATATTTATATGGAAGCATCCTGAGGTAGTGTAGATTCAAGTTTGTTCAAATCATGACCCCCGGGGGTAGGGTGGGGCCACAATGGAGGATCAAAGTTTTACATAGAAATATATAGGAACAATCTTTAAAAATCTTCTTCTAAAGAACAGCAGAGCCATGATGAGTCATATTTATATGGAAGCATCCTGAGGTAGTGTAGATTCAAATTTGTTCAAATCATGACCCCCGGGGGTAGGGCGGGGCTGCAATGGAGGATCAAAGTTTTACATAGAAATATATAGAAAAATCTTTAAAAATCTTCTTCTCAAGAACAGCAAAGCCATGATGAGTCATATTTATATGGAAGCAATCTCAGGTAGTGTAGATTCAAATTTGTTCAAACCATGACCCCCGGGGGTAGGGCGGGGCTGCAATGGAGGATCAAAGTTTTACATAGAAATATATAGGAAAAATCTTTAAAAATCTTCTTCTCAAGAACAGCAAAGCCATGATGAGTCATATTTATATGGAAGCATCCTGAGGTAGTGTAGATTCAAGTTTGTTCAAACCATGACCCCCGGGGGTAGGGCGGGGCCACAATGGAGGATCAAAGTTTTACATAGAAATATAAAGGAAAATTTCTTCTTCTGAAGAACTGCAAACCATGATTAGTCATTTTGATATGGAAGCATCCTCAGGTAGTGTAGATTCAATTTTGTTCAAATGATGACCCCCAGGGGTAGGATGGGGCCCAGTGGGGGAAGGAAAGTTTTACATAAGAACATGTAGAAAAAATATTTCTTCTCAAGAACAGAAAAGCTATGTTTAGTCATATTGATATGGAAGCATCCTCAGGTAGTGTAGATTCAAGTTTGTTCAAACCATGACCCCCGGGGGTAGGGCGGAGCCACAATGGAGGATCAAAGTTTTACATAGAAATATAAAGGAAAATATCTTCTTCTGAAGAACAGAAAAGCTATGTTTAGTTATATTGATATGGAAGCATCCTCAGGTAGTGTAGATTCAATTTTGTTCAAATGATGACCCCCAGGGGTAGGATGGGGCCCAATGGGGGATGGAAAATTTTACATAAGAACATATAGAAAAAATATTTCTTCTCAAGAACAGAAAAGCTATGTTTAGTCATATTGATATGGAAGCATCCTCAGGTAGTGTAGATTCAAGTTTGTTCAAATGATGACCCCTGGGATAGGGAGGAGCCACAATGAGGGATCAAATTTTTACAAAGGAATATATGGGAATTTTTTTTTAAAAAATCTTCTCAAGTGCAACAAAGCCATTTGTTATATTGACATGGAAGCATCATCAGGTAGTTTAAAATTCAAGCGCCCCCCCCCCCCGGTCTTTTCAATACTGAACTGATTGTGCTTTTGCCTAGCCAATGTGCTCAGGTGAGCGATGTGGCCCATGGGCCTCTTGTTTGAATAATTGAAATGCAATTTAGTCACAAAGCAAAAAATGACAGATTTTGTGCGTTTTAACCCTATAAAATTACTTTAGATAACTATTGTTATCTATAGTTAACTATAGTAAATACTTTGATACTTTGATTTACTATGAAACTTTTCTAAAGAACTTTACTAACGGCCCTCCAACAGTTCTTTCTTCTCACAGAATGGACAGTTTTCGGCCTATAACCTTTACTTAATTTACTGATATCATGAGACAGTATGTAGAAGGATTGATATGTGTTACCTGTCACATTTATAGCCAATACTAGAAAACCCAATATATTTATATTTTATTTTCTTACATTTCCAGCTGCAAACATGAATAACATCAAGATGCATCGTTAACATCTATATATGTGCATCTCGGAAATATATATTGAATTTATTTTCGAAAGTATTTTACTTATAGTTTTAAAATCATTTTTAACAGTCAAAATTTGTTCACGTTAAAGGATACACAGAGTTCCATCTAATGTGGAGAGCAATACTATTCCTGTCTGTTTGGTGTCTGATGTAACGCTAAAAAATAAAATGGAGCAATGTTTACATAGCAATTTAAATGTTTACTCACCCATTTCCTACATATTCCCATTGTATGACTGGTTGTATGGAATAGAATTATATTATGCATAGCAGAAATTACTTACACATATTGAAATTTTAATATTTACATCTAGTTTGCGGATTTTAAGAAAATTGAATTGCTTGCGCACCATATATGTAGAAGACTAGGGTTGTTTAAAACGTGATCCCACTTATTTAGTAGGGAATGAACAGGGAGTGATGAAACTTGAAACCTTGAAAAGTTTGCACTTTAAATACCTCTATACAAATTCATACTGGGAAATTAATCGTCGCCGTCAGTCGCATGACTCTCTTATTGGCTTTCAATGGTTTTTAAAAATAGCTGTCAGAATCCTCAGTTCCAGGGGAGGTGCGATTCCTTTTTGATTATTGGAAATGTATGATAAAATTTTGAAATGCTGTGGCGAAGAATTGTGTGCTTGAATATATGGAAATATTTTTACAAGGCATAATTTACCAGCTAATGATGAAATGGTATTCCCTCTTATAACAAGGCATTTACTTCTATTGATTTGGACAGAAAATGTAAGTATAACTAGATATAATTATTATTCACCAGGAAAAGACGTGAATAGCATTTACCTTTATATGAAATCGTTTTAATACGCTATGAAATATGTTACATCTCTTAGATATGTTTACAACACATAATTTGGTGATTATTTACTTTTGATCTAGCTACATTTGTTGAAGAGATTAACAATTAAAGGTCATATCTACATAGTTTCTGAATTTTAAGGAGTGGGGGACATTTATTTCATCATTATGTCGCATAATTGGTATTTTTTATTGCTTTTGAAATCAATTGACCCAGAACATCTTAAAAAGACATAAACATCGTAAACATATTTTGCATTCGATCTATAGAATTTGCTATTGGAGTCTAACCATAAAGGAATACATTCCATTAATCCCTTCTGCCTGGACGATGAATGTAGATCCTGTATCAGGGATCAATACTCTTTAGGATCACCAGAAGTTCTGTGGAATGAGAAAATGGGGAAATATATTAATGTCTTTTCAAATTCGAACAAATGTGACGAAGTATTCAAATGAAAACTGAACAACCATCGCGGGCAATATATTAAACAGACCTTGTATCTGTAGTTTGTACCTTAGGACATCATCATTTGGCTCTTATAATACATGTTATTGCACTGTTTAGTGCTTATTTTATGATGAGGTATGTACATGTAATTTTGCATGCGTTTGTTTTTTCTGAACATGCCATTATAGTCCACCTTACCCCTGTTGATTTCCTTATTAATTGCATGAAATATGGTGTATCGAACAGTAATCAAGCTCGAAGTCCATTGAAACAATACAAATCGGGAGCAGATCAAATTTTTAACATCAGAGGCGGGATTTGGTTGAGGAGTAAGTATCCCCTGTCGACAAGTCACACCCGCCATGTGCTCCTTGTCGTGATCGGGCAAACGGAATAATCCGCAGACAATGCAGTATTTAGAAATGGCCTAACAATTAATGCTGTGATTTAAACGATATATGGATACGAGTAGCTGATGCACCATTCCTAAAAAAAATAACCATAATGTTACGCCCACTTTCAAATTGCTCAGTAATCTTCCAATCGCACATTTTTCTGTACTTGTCATATAGTAAGTAACTGCAGACAAGTAGCAGTCGAGTTGTCTTTTTGTGATCGTTTCTAAACAATAATCAGTTAGTTTTCAGCATTACAGAATGTTCTTTTTTGCATGCTTTTTAAAATATTTTTGATCGGTTGAGATAAAAATCACTGTATAATACTTCGAATAATTCAATAGTTTATTTGTAAAACAGTGAACATTTTTACATTCTTATTAAGATTAATTATGTCTTCGTTTTCAACTTTTATATGTACACCTGAAATCTTAGATTGTAATTTGCCATAAAGATAAAATAAATTTTTAACATTGTTATTATTAAAAGAGAAAGGAAATAGGTTTTACGGTAATTTTTATTATTTTGATTGTGTAATTGTTCTTCTTCACCCTACAACTATAGTCCTGCTGGACACGTTTTTACTGGTGACATAAATATAGTTAATAATGAGGACTTTAAATCACTTATTTTAAAAGGGCCAAATTAAGGGAACCCCTATATTTCAACTGGAATCATAATTTCATAAATATTATGAATTCTGTGGATGATTATTACAGGCGATGGGCCAGACATTAAAAAGAAGACCTTGACACTTTGTCAGAATGGATTAAATGTATCAGATATATGTTAAAATCTAGCATTAAGCGATTGAGGGACAATATGAAAACTATTCTTCTTTGTTCAGTAATTCAGAAGTGAAAAAAGAATTAGACGATCAGTATGTACTGGTCCCTGCTAACAAAGCAGGCAACAACATTGTCTTTGTTTGCAAGACTCATTATTTTAATTGTATTTTAGAGGAACTGGGATTTAATTCTACAAGTGGTAATCATGGATTGGGTCAATTACATAGGGAAGTAATTAATTAAATTACAATTACTTGCCCAAAACCTTCAATTAAATTTCCATTATCATTATAGGAACTTTGAAATTTAATTAATTAAATTACAATTACTTTGCAAATGTAATTAATTAGATTAAAAATTACATTAAGAAATTTCTTTTTTTTTAAAATGAGTCATGACTGTTCCTTTATATTCATATCAAATTCAGTTATTTTTTTTTTCTTTTTCACATTAACATTGTTTAAATGTTAATTTAATTCTTACATATTGTGTCCCCTAATCTACATCTATCGGGTTGAAAGATTTTCCTGCCACAATGAAGATATTTTCCACTGAGGCATTTGTGACAGGAATACATAGATACTGACTAGTAGCGAGTTAACTCATGTTTTACCTTAAATCATGTATTTCATTTTTAAGCTTTCTAATATATTTATGCAAAACAATGGATGCATTTTGCCTTGATGTTTCTTTTTTTCATCATCCTAAACAATATCTCAAAATGTTGGTATTTGGCATATATTGTGTGTCAATTACCATAATTTTAAGTCAACTTATGTATAAAACTACCAATAAGTAAAGTAAAAATGGTGTAAAATATATATTTAGGTTCAGTGTCAATATGTACATGACCTTAGGGCAATAATTAGCATATGTTAATCGCTTCTAACACAAACTGAAGATATGGCAAACAAAGGATTAGAAGCCATTTAACTAGGTATTTTAAGTGTCAATTCAAAAACACTTAATCAAAATTATTAATTTTATTTGTATATTATACAAAGGAAGTTCCATTTAATTCAAAAGTTTAAGTTTTAAAGAAAATGCGTGAGGAAACAGCAATTCACTAAAAATTGGAAATATGTGAATTCCTTTTTAAAAAAATTATTATATAATAAGATGTTTTGTCAAAAAATAAGTTTAAAATCTTTCTTGCATAATGTGTATAAGATTGGGAGGGAGGGGGCATTTTTCATTTATTTATTCATAACAGTGTAATTGAATGTAATTGAAAAGTAATTGTGAATTACATGTCTTTTCTTGAAAGTAATTAATTAAATTTCAATTACATGTAATTGAAAATTTGGCCAATTACACATTACTTTCAATTACATCAAAATTTTTAATTAATTACTGTCAATTACCATTACCCCATCTCTGGTGGTAATCCAACTTATACCTATAGCTCCCTTTCTAAGGAGGAAATTCTTCAATATCATATGTCAGTTTTGAATATTTTTATTATTCCCAACAACCAAAATGAATTTGAATTACCATATTTATATTGGAATCTGAAACTTCATAAATATCCTTACAAACAAATACAAACAAAGACACATAGCGGGTTCAAGTACATTTGTAAATGTTCTACCAAGCCTATTTCTTTACTCCTCACTAAAATATTAAAAACAGTGAAGGAGAAACTTCAGGAGTACTTTGCAACAATACATTCGAGAAGTGGTGTAAACCAGATGTGGATACTTAAAAATTCCAAGGAACTTTTGGAATTTTGAAATCACAAAATTTTACCAAAATCAATAACATCAAAACTTACGACTTATCAACTCTATATACAATCATTCCCCACGATAAATTAAAGTCCAAGATTTTTGACATCATTGGCAGCTGCTTTTTCAATAAAGATGGAACTCGTAAATTTACTTATCTTGTCATTGGTCATTTGCAAAATTATTTTGTTAAAACATTCTGATTTTACACACAAGTACTCCGAAGTTGACATTAAAAAGATGCTTGAGTTTCTGATTGACAAAATCTATGTGGTTTTTGGAGACCAGGTCTTCCAACAATCTGTTGGAATTTAATGGGTATCAAAAAAAAAAAAAAATAATTGCGCCCCCTTATTTGCAGACCTATTTTTGTATTATTCATATGAAGCAAAATTTATTCAAAATCTTATGCATGAGAAAAAGAAAACTCTTGCTGTTGCCCTCAACTCGACATTTAGATATATCGATGACGTATTATCAATTAACAATAGTTATTTCCATTCATATGTCAACACGATATATCCCAGTGAGCTTGAAATAAAACATACCACAGAGTTTGATACATCTGTATGATATTTGGATATTTTAATAGAAAAAGACGTTAATAGTAATCTAGCAACAAAGCTTTATGATAAACGTGATGACTTTAACTTTTCAATCGTCAGCTTCCCTTACTTACGCAGCAATATTTACATTTCCAATGTCTTTGTCCGAGATAAAATTACAAATTGTAAAAATACTTTATTTCTACATAAATCTACTGGTTCATCGATAGGCGCGGTTAATAAAAATCACGTGCGGGGCGGGACAAAGAGAGACAGAAGCGGGGCTGTTAGCACGGGAATTTGCAGAATCAGGAGCATGTAAATATAAGGAATAACTGTCAGATTTTTTTTTGGATTCATGACGATGATCAATCGATTGGCTTGCGTGATAATTTTATGCAGAAACGCCTTCGGCGTTTATGCAAATTATCACGCAAGCCACTCGATTGATCACATCATGAATCCAAAAAATAAGACAGTTATTCCTGAAATATACCTGCATATTGGGTTTATATATCCCTCAGTGGATTCGATACGCAAGAGTATGCTCTACGTATGAACAATTTCTAAAAACGAGGTAAAGTTATTGTCAAACAAGTGGATGAAACAAGAATATCAACAGTCTCGTTTAAAGTCATCATTTCGTAAGTTCTATGGTCGATATAATGACCTTATCAGCAAATACAATCTATCATTAAGTCAAATGCTGACTGACGTTTTTCATACTAATTGTTAGGCCAGTATTTACACACTGAATTGTCGACGGCTTTTCCGGTTATTTCCAGATTATGACGAGGAGTACACGGCGGGTGTGACCGGTTGGCAGGGGATGTTCACTCCTCCAAGTACCTGATCCCACCTCTGATGTTTTAGAGGTCGTGTTTGTTCTTCTCTTTATTTGTATTGTTTGAATGGACTTTTGGGCTTAAATACTGTTTCATTGTGCTAAAAGCGTTGAGTCAATATTTGCCCTAACAACAGATTGTGTTTGCTAACGAGGTCATTTAATTGACGATGAAATTTGCGAAATTGACTTTAAACGAGTTTGTTCATAGTTTTGAAATAGCAGCTTATTTGTCAGTAGCCCAGCTGTTTAGAAATCGATCGTACACAGAACACGCTCTCGAATGAACTGGGAGACATAATTACAAATACAGATGATAATGGCATATTGCTACATAATAATAATAAGTGTAATTGGCGATAGAAGTTACTAGTCTGCCACCAGTGTCTTTATATAGTAAAACATACAAATATGAAACGGAAGGGTCAGATTCTGTGGTGTCTTTTGTCAATGAATCTGTTGTAGGTCTTGACATCCAGTACTCTGGATGACATTTTACTGTCGAAATTGAGGGATCGTGGACTACTCGCTCTGGAATACACAACGCTTCACCATGATTCTGACTTACTTCGGTAACAATATATACTGAAAGTAGGAAAAGACATTAGCTTTAGAAGGCAATATGTTCTAGAAATAGTTATTTATATAAAAATAAGGACCTGAAATAATTGTTAAGTTCTAAATTTTTATTCTTTGGGAAGTTTCTATACATTTGCCTTGAAAACACAGTGCATGTCTCATTTATTGCATCTATTAACATAATAAAATTTTATTAAATAAATATAGTTTAAATACCACAACATACGTAATATTGATGCAAAAACCAATGCAATATATATATATATATATATATATATATATATATATATATATATATATATATATATATATATATATATATATATATATATATATATATATATATATATATATATATATATTTCAATTTAATTAAAAGGAAAAGAGATAAAAGAGAGGCAATATCCACACACTCGCCAAAGCCAGTTCAAATGGCCTTCACATATGCATCGGAGAGGTATAAACTGGATCTTAGCACCCCGCAGCAAATTTTACATCCGTATGCCGAAATTCTGACTTGGAAAAATGGATCGACTCTACAGTGGAAAGACGCTCACCCAGACTGCTTTCTTACCGGAATTGTGACGTCACATCAGGGTATAGCCAGCCTGTCTGTCTGTGAAAATGTGGTAAGATAATTTATATTCTAAAATGGGGTATGAAATGGAGTGTAGTGAATATTGAATATTCCATTTCTGAAAAATATGAATCATTAGTATCCAAAGGCAATTTTAAATTTCGATGACTTCAATGATATATTTTAGGTCGGGATTGTTAAAACTGAAAGGTTTACATTGTATCTAGAATGCGAATCAACTGACAACTTTACCCACGCCATTGTTGGGCGTCAAGCAGATGATACAATCTCTATTTCTTTTGAGTCTCTAACAGGTATGACATGTTATTCATTTAAATTATTTTAGTCAAAATAAAATCTTTTGAGAAAAGCAGACATGATTTTTCATTTTTCATTCAAAAATGAATTGCAGAAAACTTGATTGAACATAATAGTAGAAGCAGACGTTCGGTATTATCACATAACATAACGATAGAGTTGGCGGTTTACACGGACGCTGCTTACACCCAGACCATGCTGGTCACAGAATTCTCTCAAAGACTTCAACACATTTTACTCAAGTATCACGCTGTGTGTATTCTTTTAGAGTATCATCAATGTTATATTCTAACAATTGTTAAAAAGAAGAACTTGGTTAGGTTTGCAATTCATCATTAAAATATAATGTTAAGGTGGAAACATAGTCACGTAAAGAGAAAGAATGAAACATAAAAACTTTGATTATAGGTTCAGATGGAATGGTCAAGAAGCGACATGTTGGGATTTAACGTACAACTGCTGTTGAAAAAAGTTCAGTTCTTTGAAACAAACCCGGTATGACTCTTGAGCTAGTAGACCTTTTCATTCCAATACTTTTGAAACAATCATTTTTTAATTAGCCTCAAATTAATTAAAGAACATGAAGCAGTATTTTTGGGCATTGCATAATTTTCTCCGTTTAAGAGGTAAGGAAATAATGAAAATAATTTTAGGTAGGAATCATTTAAATAGAACTTTATTTCTCTGGACATGTAGATGATTTTTAGAAAATTATTATAAGGTAGAAATCCTTTATATCTTTGGTTTTTTTTAGACATGGTATAATTCGTCTACATCTCGACTTGGTAACGTTCTCTACGATTTCTGCTTAGGCACATTAAACAGTGGATCGTACGACATTCGTTACATGCATGTTGGGTAAGAAAGTCAACTGGTAAGACTTAATAAATAAAGAGAATGATTCATGGGGTAATGCTTTATTTCAAGCATTACAGAAATATAGGAATGCGCTTTGGAGGGAAATCTTGCCTGCCTGTTTTGGCAGATGCTTATTTTTACAGTTTCCTATTTTGACAGTTTGTTGGATTTAGATGTCACTGGTCGAGCATACCAGAACTCTGTATGTGACCATAGATACAGCTGTGGTGTAGACACTTCAACAGGGGCGGCCAGTTTCGCTGCTACTGCACACGAGATCGGGCACCTGTAATTGTTTTATGACGTTTATTGAATGTAATATCAAGCTTAATTAATAAGTCTATTAAAGGCATCTAAATATTGTTTAATTCGAAAATTTCAGTTCTGAATAGTAAACGTCTCTTCAGTTTTTTTAAAATGTATTGTTCAGCCATGCTTTATATTGATATGATATAGAATGGGGATGTACCATGACGCTGATCGCGGATGCAGCGGAAATGACGTAGGCTTAATGGGAGGATATGGCACTGGTTGGAGCAACTGCAGTAAAGATGACATGGCCAGTTTATTAAAGTACGTTAACTGAACAACCATTTATAATATCTTCATTCTTTTTTTTTAGTCAGGTGTATTGTATGGTTTCCTTTCAAATTGTTTTGATATTTTCAAATTTGATTGCATTTAAGAACAAAGTAAGAAGGGTTACATCAGATGAATTATTTAAAGAAATATCTCAAATATAATTATTCATATTCTGTACGTTTCTCAAGTTCAGCAAATAAAGAGTGTTTATGGAAAGAAAACGTTCCACTGGATGAGGTCCCACAGAACATAGTGAATCAAAGTCTGGTTCCAGCCACACCAGGTATCTCCGTCAGTGTGTCGTCCAAAACATATCTGGAATAAAATCGCATCTCTATTCGTTCCAAATTAAATAATTTGAAATAATTTTCTGTCAGTTTGTGTTCTACAAAATTAATATCTGAAGAATAATTGTTGTAAATTCTGGTTTATTTTGCAGGACAGAGGTACTCACCTGATCAAGTCTGTGAACTGAAATACGGTGTTGGTTATCGTTTTCGTAAATATCCAAAACTTGGGGTATGAACATAATTTAGTTTTTTTTTTTAAGTTTTCCTGCATGGAATGATTCTTGCATGGATTTCTTTTACCTTGGTCAACTGTATACTGATTACTGTAGATAATATGGATTGATTTTCTTAATACAGGTCTGTGTTTTGTTCAGCTGTGCCAATCATAACCTTCTCCAAGTCAATTATGGTCAAATGTTCAAAGAACATACCTCTATATTTGGAATGTATTGTGCGAAAAATAAGGTACCATCTACAATTCAAAAAATATTCGTAGAAGGAAGTAATATATTTTATATCAAGATAAATTTCATACATTTTAAGAATATTCTTTGCTATAGATTTGTTTTAAAATGGACTGTGTTGATGCCTCAAGTGCCAAACTGAGCAGCCTGGTAGAGCGCCAGGGAGGGTGGAGTCAGTGGGGGGCCTGGACAGGGTGCAGCAGAACCTGTGCGCGGGGCGTCAACTACAGAAGACGGAAGTGCGACAACCCAGCGTTAGTATCTAAAGATAACGGCTTTTTTAAAAATTAAGATCTGATAACAACATTTTTTTGGATATAATAATGTCTTCACATCTGTATGTACATGCATATTCGCGCCTAGGTAATGTGGACGCTTGTGTTTTCTAATCCAGATTAACGAAGCGTCTGCATTAATGACACATACTTTGTAAATGTAAATATTAATTGTTCTCAAATTGAAAGTGAGTCGTCCGGATGAACAAGGTTCCACTGTACATATTTGGCATGTCGGATTCATACAAAGTATTATATCTTGCAGTCCTATTAACTTTGAGGGTTGTGAGGGAGATGCGTACGAAGCAGTGATTTGTAATACAAAGGTAAAACAAGGAGGAATTCTTATCACATTCTTTTCAAATATGAATCGGATAAAATTGTGTTTGAGTTAATAAACCGTTCTGGGTCGATGGAATTGGCAATTGTCTTTATTAACTACTTTGATGTAAGGGATGTAAGGGAACTTGTCTCTTTATGCTTTTAGCCTTGTCCCAATGACAGTACTGACCAGACCATTCTGAGGAACCAGCGCGCTGGAGAGACGTGTAAAAGACTGAGAGACAACAATGTCATCAAACCCGATCTGTACATGGAGACGGGGTCAAGGTACTCTCATACAGGTAACTTTCTGTGTGCATGAATTAGTTTTACAACGAGACAGGGTCAAGGTACTCTGATACTGGTAAATATCTGTATGAATAAATTCCTTTTTCATTATACTATGGTGTACTAAAGTAAATGACTGAAATCTATAATAACTACATTACAACAAGCACATTAAATGTTTTTTCCCAATTCCAGCTGATGGTCAGTGTGAAGTGACCTGTGACCCCACCCCTGGTCACACGATTCCCTCGTTTACTAGATTTGGGTTTATGCCAGACGGAGTGGCCTGTGTTGGGGGAACAAGCACCTGGGATTTAAACAACTGGCCTCGACAGACTGGATCCTACTACATGTGTTTAGACGGTCTCTGCCAGGTAGAGAAGAATCCATAATAGGTGGTTCATGTAGTTCGGCGCCGCTGAAGGGCCAGATGTAAAATACATGTATTCGTTTCGACGAATTAGAAATTTATTCGAATAAATACGTATATAATTGCTCAAAGGAATTAGATATTAGTTCTGCGTTTGTACAAATAAGACAACAGTTTTTTGTTAAATAACTAATATGTCAGATCGAAAATTTGTCCGTAAAAAGGAACCAATTCATCCGAATGAATGTCTAGTTCGTCCGAAAGAATGATTTTTTTTCATACCTGGCCCTTTAAAGGGCACCCTTCATAAAATAATTGACGCAAGCAATTTTTATTTTAATCGTATACAGAAATTCAGCTTAAGAAAGACATTTACTCATACGGCAAAACAATGCCACTAATTCGAATGAAACACAACCTGTTCATTATAGACCTATGATTGCTTTTTTCACTTTCGAATAGGTCAATGACCTACTTTTTATGCTAGTGGCCTCTGTGTATTTCTCCAATTTTCCTATGTAAACTGTTTCTTTGCAAAACATAACACGTAATAAAACTGAATGGTGAAATATAAGGAAATAAAATATGAAGATAACGAACAGTATTCAATCTCGAAAGTCCAATGAAACGAGACAAATTTGGAGCAGAGAAAACACAGACCCCAAAATTTAGATGTGGGATCAGGTGCCATTGAAGAGTAAGCAATCCCCTGCCGACCGGTCACACCCGCCGTGTGCTCCTTGTCATAGTCGGGAAAAAAACCGGAAAAATCCGTAGACAGTTCAGTGTATAAATAATGGCCTAACAATTAGTATGAAAAACGCCAGTCAGCATTTGATTGAATGATAGGTTGTATGTGCTGACAAGGTCATTGTATCGACCGTAAAACTTGCGAAATGATGACTTCAAACGAGACTGTTGACATCCTTGTTTCATCAACCTGTTTGTCAATAGCTTGCCTCGTTTTAGAAATTATTCATACGTAGGGCATGCTCTTCGTATCGAATCAACTGAGAGACATAAACCCCATATGCAGGTAATAAGGGTATATTGCTACATAAGTTATTGAAGTTGACCATTTAAAAGTTGAAGTCGTCACGTTTACCAGAAAGCTTTGTTGTTAGGTTACCATTAATGTCTTTTTCTAGTAAAATATTTAAATATGAAACAGATGTGTCAGACTGTGATATCTTTTATTTCAAGCTCATAGGGTATATATCGAGTCGACATATGCAAATAAGGTTATAGTGTTGCTAAATATAATATAACAAAAAGAGTTTGAGCAATAAAAAGTTCGAATATTCTCTGTCAATTTACTGAATTCAATCCATATTTAATCTAACATTTATTTTAAAAAAATTGGAAATTCCTAACTTTTCATAGCTTCAGTTATAACTTGTATTGCTCTAATTCTGATGATATGAAAATTATATGAGGTCAGTTATCAAATTATGCTGTCTGGAATGTCTTGCATTCACAATTCAGATTTTCTCCATTACATGCCTTTCAATTATTTGAAATAATACGATAGTTTTTAAAACATAAAACATGTATTTGCGATACAATATTTAAACAAGAGGCCCATGGGCCACAGCGCTCACCTGAGTCAATATGGCCCTGCTGTTCTTCGTCAGCAGATGTCTTCTCCTATATATTCATATGTAAAGCTTTGATCGCCCGTTCTAGGCATACCCTAACCCCAGGTGCCATGTTTTGAATAAAATTGAATCTAAACTTTCTGAGGATGCTTCTATATTCATATAACTAATCATAGTTTTGCTGTTCTTGAAAATGGAATTTTAAAGATGTCTGCCACTCTACCCTGGGGGGGGGGGAGGGGGGGGGGGGTTGGTTCATGATTTCAACAAACTTGAATCTACACTACCTGAGGATGCTTCCATATCAATATGACTAATCAGGGCTTTGCTGTTCTTGAGAAGAAGATTTTTAAAGATTTTTCCTATATAGTATATTCTTTTGTTAAACTTTGATCCCCCATTATGGCCCCACCCTACTACTGGAGGATGCCTTGAACAAACTTGAATCTACAATACTTGGGGGTGCTTCAATATCAATATGACTAATCATGGGTTTCCTGTTCTTGAAAAGATTTTTTCTATATATTCCTATGTAAAACTTTGATCCTCATTGAGGCCCCACCCTACCCCCGGGGGTCATGATTTCAACAAACTTGTTCTGTAGAAGAAGATTTTTAAAGAATTTTCCTAAATATTCCTATGTAAAACTTTGATCCCCCATAGTGGCCCCCCCTTACCCCCGGGAGTCGTGATTTGAACAAACCTGAATCTACACTACCTGAGGATGATTCCTCATCAATATGACTAATTGTGGCTTTGTTATTCTTGGGAGGAATATTTTTAAAGAATTTTCCTATGTATTCCTATGTAAAACTTTAATCCTCATTGAGGCCCCACTATACCCCGGGGGGTCATGATTTCAACAAACTTGAATCTACACTACCTGAGAATGATTCCATATCAATATGACTAATTGTGGCTTTGTTGTTCTTGAGAAGAAGATTTTTAAAGAATTTTCCTATATTTTCCTATGTAAAACTTTGATGACTATATATTCCTATCTATGACCGCCCTACCTCAGGGGTAATGATTTGAACAAACTTGAATCTACACTACCTGAGGATGATTCCATATAAATATGACCAATCAGGACTTTGCTGTTCTTGAGAAGAAGATTTTTAAAGAATTTTCCTAAATATTCCTATGTAAAACTTTGATCCCCCATAGTGGCCCCACCTCACCCCCGGGAGTCGTGATTTGAACAAACCTGAATCCACACTACCTGAGGATGATTCCATATCAATATGACTAATTGTGGCTTTGTTGTTCTTGAGAAGAAGATTTTTAAAGAATTTTCCTGTATATTCCTGTGTAAAACTTTGATCCCCCATTGTGGCCCCACCCTACCCCCGGGGGTCATGATTTGAACAAATTTGAATCTACACTATGTATTGAAGGTTTCACATAAGTTTCAACTTTTCTGGCCCAATGGTTCTTGAGAAGAAGATTTTTAAAAGATGACACCAACTTTTCACCAATTCTTAATTATCTCCCCTTGGAAGAGGGTGTGGCCCTTCATCTGAACAAAGAATCCCCTTCACCCAAGGATGCTTTGTGGCAAGTTTGGTTAAAATTGGCTCAGTGGTTCTGGAGAAGAAGTTGAAAATGTGAAAAGTTTACAGACGGACAGACAGACGGACTACGGACAAAATGTGATCAGAAAAACTCACTTGAGCTTTCAGCTCAGGTGAGCTAAAAACCCATAGAAAACCAATGTTTAGGAAAGCATCCCTAGAAAAAAAAAAAAGGTTACAGACTGAACATTAAAAAATTTAGTTCATTTTTTTTTTTTTTTTTTTTTTTTTTTTTTTTTTGCATTATCATAAATTCACATTTTTTTGCATATTTTCTTTGAATTGTAAAGTATTAAATTTTTATATTGCTTTTCATGTATTACAGTTATTTTATTTACGTTTAGAACAATTTTTGATTTAAGATATTGTACTTTTAGCAATCCTTTCTGTCAATTGAAACACTGAATAAACTTTATCTTTAAGTGTGCAACAATCGACATGATTCTCCAAAAAAAAGTATAATATTCATAAATGTACTAGCATTATATAAAATTGAAATATGAGGAAAAGAACAAATTTTAAACTCCAAAGTTCCGGTATGAAAGTAACAATGTATAATACAGTAAATATTCCCGATATTTATCAGAGGTTTGGATGTGATGATCGGCTGAATGGAAAAGTTCTTGATGAATGTGGCGTATGTGGGGGAGATAACTCTAGCTGTACAGTTATCTCTGGAACTGACATAAAACAACAAAATCAAGGTAAAATACTACATCTATAGTGTCAAATATTTCGGGAATTCTGAAATAATTGTTGGCTCTCTTTCTTGTTTTGTTTCAATCCAATCAGGTGAACGCCGAACTATTGCCATTTTACCTAATGGAACCTTCAATATTCAGTTCTGGTTTTCATATAGAGACATGAAACAAAACTTTTTAGGTAAGAACTCATTCCAATATCAATTTTTATGCCCCCGGATCGAAAGATCCCGGGGGTATATTGTTTTTGTCCTGTCTGTCTGTTTGTCTGTTTATCTGTTTGTTTGTCTGTTTGTCCGTTTGTCCGTTTGTCTGTCTGTCTGTTGTCAACTTTAACCTTGCCCATAACTTTTGATTGGTTGGAGCTATGACTTTCATATTTCACATGTGTATTCCTTGTGACAAGATCTTTCTTTGGGTGCCATCATATATGACCTTTTGACCTTGACCTTGGAATTTGACCTACTTTTGCAAAATTTTATGAGACTTTAACCTTAGCCATAACTTCTGAACAGTTGGTGCTTGGGGTTTCAAACTTCACATGTGTATTCTTTGTGACAAGGCCTTCCTTTGGATACCAACAACTTTGACCTTTTGACCTTGACCTTGGAGTTTGACCTACTTTTGAAAAACTTTAACCTTGGCCATAACTTTTGAACAGTTGGTGCTTAGGGTTTCAAACTTCACATGTGTATTCCTTGTGACAAGACCTTCCTCTGGATATCAACCACTTTGACCCTTTGACCTTGACCTAGGAGTTTGACCTACTTTTGAAAAACTTTAACCTTGGCCATAACTTTTGAATGGTTGGAGCTAGGGCTTTCATACTTCACATATGTAATCCTTGCGACAAGACCTTCCTTTGGATACCAACAACTTTGACCTTTTGACCTTGACCTAGGAGTTTGACCTACTTTTGAAAAACTTTAAACTTGGCCATAACTTTTGAATGGTTGATGCTAGGGCTTTCATACTTCACATATGTAATCCTTGTGACAAGATCTTCCTTTGGATACCAACCACTTTGACCTTGACCTTGACGTTTGACTTTTATTCAAAAAACTTTAACCTTCGCCATAACTTCTGAACAGTTGTATCTAGGTCTTTCAAATTTCATAGGTGTATTCCTCGAGACAAGACCTTTCTTTGGGTATCAACATTTCTTATCTTTTGGCCTGGATTTTGACTTGCATTTGAAGAAACTTTAACCTTCGCCATAAGCTGCCTTACGGGGGCATCAGTGTTTCACAAACACATCTTGTTTTAAAGATAAATGATGGAGAAAGATATAACCTACTACATAAGCATGTGTTCCAGAGTTATATAACAGAAATGGAGATGTCATTCTCGCGAGCAGAATACCAAGCTCCTGGAAGTGGGACACAAGAACCAACCCTGTTGAGTTCGCTAATACAACGTGGTATTACTTTTTCCATGATCAGTTTCTCAATGCCAAAGGACCCCTGTCAGAGTCCTGTGAAATAAAGGTATAGATTACAAATTTGAAAATAAAACTTCCTTTAAATAGTATCAGCATATTTCTTTAAAACGACATGTTCAGTCAAGCTTCGGTTATCCGGTAATCATGATTATTTACCTTCCGGACGAAATGTGTAAGGAACAAAATCATTTACATGTACCTTAATATCTACCCATTATTAAAGTTACGCTTCAGTTAAACGGATGCTCGTTTTAATCCAGACAATTTTCTTGAGAACACAAGTGTCCGGATTAACGATATTTGACTGTATATTCCTTTTTAAAAAATCTGTTGATTACTTTTGTTCTCATAATTTCAGTTGTATCAACATGATGAATTCAACAATACTGGTGTTCATTACGCCTATTCGGAACCCCAAATAGGTGATAATTATATATACATTCACTATACATGTAACAGCACCATGAAAAGATGGCTTTTTAAAAAAAAAAGTATTTTCTTGTTATAAAGTATTTACATTTTCATTAATTTGTAATTAGATCAAAAAAAAAAATCTTCCAAATATGTTATAACTAAATTGTACATGGATTTGCATTTATCCCTTTGGGAACCCCTAAATACTTCTCAAATGACTTCTCTATATATTTCTGTAAAAAGAGTTTTTTCCTCTTGTATTTTCTGTTTCAAAACAAATTATAAAGCAATTTAAAATCTCTGAAAATAAACACGTTCATAAACGATTTTACTGTATCCTCAGGTTTTTCTACCACAACACCACCAACAGAATCGTCAACAGATCTACATGTATCTACACTGGAAACATCTACAAACAGACTTCTGACAACTGATATTACAGGTTTGAGGATTGTTTTTATCGCTTCAGCTGTCCATAAAAGACTTTCTTAAGACCTTTTCTTTGGCTATGAAACAGAACATTCATTTTAAATCATTAAAATTCACTGAATGAAATTTTAAAAAAAAAAATGTACGTTTTTGTTTTTTAGATTTAAGTAGTGAAGACACATCCACGTCCCCGGTGACCTCTGAAACTGTATCACTGGAAACAACTGAGGGTACAACAGGTAACAAACTGTCAACCGAAAGTATTGTGATGAAAAAAGATGTTTAAAATCACAAATTTAATATGTTAATAGTAAAGTTCGTGTACAAATCTTTAATGAAATAAATGTAATGAAAAGGGTGAAGATAACCAACAGTGATCAATCTCAAAAAACCTACAAACAATTCAAATCGGTGAACATGACATAAGACACGGACCCCTGGGAATTCTAGAGGTGAAATCAGGTGCCTAGGAGGAGTAAGCAACCCTAGTCGACCGGTCACACCCGCCGTGAGCCCTATGTATTGATCAGGAAGACAGAATATTCCGTTGTCAAATTCAGTATAAATAATTGAGATAAAATATATCAATTAAAAAGCGACACAATGATAGGTTATATTTACTAACAAAGTAATTGTAACGGCCATAGAATATACGAAATACTGACTTTAAATGAGATTGTTGAAATCATTGTAACATCAACTTATCTGTCAGAAACCTGCCTCGATTTAAAAAAAATGATCGTACTCAGAGCATGCTCTTGAGTAAACCATGTACAGGTGATAGCAGAATATAACTCCATAAATAAGGAAAGGCTAAAGTCATCTCGTTAGTCATACAGTTCAGTTGTTAGTTGGCCCTTATCGTTTATATTTAGTAAAACATCCAAATATGAAAGAGATGTGGCAAACTCTGTGGTGTTTTTTTTTTTATTTTGAGTTCACTTAGATAAATCAAGTTGATATATGAATGGAATTAACTATTTTCAATTGATAAAAACACCACGGATTTTTTTTTATTAATTTGAATAAAATCTGCTTCATAGGAATATAAAAACAGGTCGGCTAAGAAAGAGCACAGATAGTGTCCATCCGAATTCAGTTTGTTGAAAGACCTGGTTTCCAAAGACTACATAGATGTTTCCAACGAGGAACTCCAGCATATATCAACATCAAAGCACTTGTGTTTAAAATCAGAGTTATTTTTAACAAACTTTTTTATTCAGGCTTCAATAGAACATACACATCCAGGACAACATCCACTCCGTCTATAGAGACTTCAACTCAAGAAACTACGTCTTCACCCACAACAGAAAGCGAAAAAGGTGTGCCATGAATCTCTAAAATATGATTCTAGTAATTGGACTTCTTTTCATTTAGAATGAAAGGACTTTTAAAGAGCGCCAAATTTTTAAAAATTTTGATTTTTCTAAGGCTCACACAACTGATTCAGTTAAATTCATTACTTAAAAAGAAGTCTCAATGAAATGTTTTATATACTTGTAATTGAATCTTGTCTTCATAGGACTATTTTGATTCCTTGAAAATCGGACCATTTTAAAATTCCCTCTCGCACAGCATACTGTACATTTTAAATTAAAAGATGAGAGTACAGCAAAAGTTAGAAAATATCAAGTATCCAATGAATTTACCGTCTCTTGGTATATATGAGACTTAATTGAATTTTCCTTGGGGCAATCGTATCTTAAAAAATTATCAATTGCTAATTAATCGACAAAAATTGGTGAGATGTACACTCCTCCAATCCGGTTATGGAGGTTGTATATATCATTTTATGTTTGGGAAATACTTGATTTTGCACTTATTCCCCCTTTTAATTGTTATTTATATATTTAAGTTAAATTTCAATAACTTTTTTTCCATGTTTATTTATTTATGTTTTCCATAGGTTCAAGTATTACAAAACATACTGTCACAACAGATTCGGCAACAAATACAACAGTATCAGTAACGTCGTCCCACACAGAAATAACGACAGACGACACAGGTTACAGCAGTACAATCGTTCAAAATATTCAAAATCATTATTTTTATATTATTTGTTGGGTTTAGTGATACTTTCCATTTTACTGTGAAAACAGGGGCGTTTTTCCTTTGGTTTTCGTAGTTAAATGTGAAGTAAATGAATTATTTCTGTCATATCGGATAGAACAAAAAAACATAATTGATCTTGATAAATACCCGGTACACCAGGACTGAGGGTAATGATTGATGATTTTATTTAGGTTCAAGTAGTTCAGACCTATCTACAAGAACACCCCTACCATCAACAGTAACCTCGGCGGTCACAACAGAGGCTAAATCAGGTTTGTAACAAAATGCCAACCCATTCTAAGGCTTTGTAAACCAAAAGTTATAAATGCCAACCCATTCTAATGGCTTTGTAAACCAAGCGTTTTAAATACCAATCCATTCTAAAGGCTTTGTAAACCAAGCGTTATAAATGCCAACCCATTCTACTTTTTTTTTTATAAACCAAGCGTCATAAATGCCCACCCATCTAAAGGCTTTGTAAACCAAGCGTTATAAATGCCAACACATTATAATGGCTTTGTAAACCAAGCGTTTTAAATAACAATCCATTATAAAGGCTTTGTAAACCAAGCGTTTTAACAAAACCATTTGACTTATACTGAGAAATAAATACGAAATGGCTTCATGTAAACCTTTTTATTCAGATTCAAGTAGTGCGTCTTCAAGTACATCCACCACACCACTAAAGACTTCGACTGTGGGAACTACAACCTTAGACACGACCCCGGGTAAAACAGCTTCTATATCATTAAAGAAACACCTGATAAAACTGAATCAGGGATTAAACTAATTTAGGATTTGAAATTTATCTTTAATTATAAAAATAATTTTGCGTTAACAATGGAAAAATATTAACGTTGAACAATTTAAATACAGAGAGTACTTATAAGCAAGAAACGAAAATTGATTATGAGACCATGTGTCATTGCGTACCACTGTTTGTCACAGGATGCTCAAAAGAAACAACTCTCCGAAATATCAAGGGTACAATGGTACCCTGCATCACTGTTAACAAGACATGTTTCGCTTTGACAGGGGCATTTGATTTTTTGCTCAAGGACCAGTGAATGGGGAAGGTGCCCATCATCAATCGTGTGTTTTTCTGTCTGTAACAATTTTTCTTGAAAGGCTAATTTTCAATATCGATATGATTTTTAGAAAAAATGGTACTCAAGTAGATTACTTTATGACACATAATATTCAGTTCTAAATTTCAATAAAGTTTGAAGAAAATTAATCACACGGCGGGTGTGACCGGTCAGCAGGGGATGCTCACTCCTCCATGGCACCTGATCCCACCTCTGATTTTTGGAGGTCCGTGTTTGCTCTGCTCCTATTTTGTATTGTTTGATGGACTTTTGAGCCTGAATACTGTTTGTTATCTTCATATATTTCATACTAAAAACCAAGTAAACAATACAAGTTGTGAGAGAGCAAACAGAGACCCCTGAAAATAGATCAGGAGTGGGATCAGGTTCCACTGAGGTGTAAGCATCCATGTCGATTGGTCAATCCGACGTGACCCTTTTGTCTTGAGTAAGCGGAGTAATCCGCAGACAATTCAGTTTGAAAAAAATGGCCTGACAAATTAAGAACGCAAGTCAACATTCGGTTTAATGACGGGTTGTATTTGCAAACAAGGTCATTATATCAAACACAGATTTTGCGATATGTTGATTTTAAACCAGATTATTCATACCATTGTAGCATCAACTTCTTTGTCTGTAACCTGCCTCTTTTCAGAAACGGTTTGTACATAGAACATGCTCTTGTAAATTGAGAAACATCAAGGTAATTCTGTAAAATTTAAACCAAAAATAATAATTGAAGTCTATGTGCAACTTTCCCTCTCCATTATTTTAAGTGAAAAACAGTAGAGCTTCAATCTAATTGGAAAAAAAATTGGGTTTGTTTTTTATTTATCCTTCATTTTTTTATCTGATTGTTTTTTAAGTTATGATTTTGTTTACAGATGAATTCAGTGAATTAAGAATTATCGGAATTATCACCGGAGGTGTTTCCATAGTGTGTGTTGCTTTGATTGCTATTGCAATAGGCTGCAATCGCAATGGTTCCTGGTGCGTATATTATACATCAATCAAAACAAAATAAAGTGTTCGATCCGCTCACATATCTCATTTCAATAAGATATTCATCCTTTCACACGACTGTAGTGGTTTGAAAGGTGAGCTGATCAAAGTATCATATCGTCAATTTTGAATTTACTAGGTGGAGATAAATGCAAAATATATAACATGATAACTTGTAAATTTTGCATTTACCTCCACCTAATAAATTCAAAATTTATAATATGATTAGGGAACAAAGATATGCAACTTTTCGTTGTTATGAAAATTCATGAATTATATAGAGACGAAATATTGAAACTCCTTCATCGCATATTTCATTACCGAAATTGAAAAATGTAGACATTTTCATTTTTGCTGCGTTATGTTAAGACATAAAACTTGGCAATTAGCAATGCAAAGAAAGTATCTTAAATGATGAATAAATAAAAAAAAATACAAAAATGAATATGTACCGTAGATGAATGATAGTCATTAAATGAGATATATTTTTTTTCTTTTTATAGGTGTAAACCGAATGGGAAGCACCGGGAAATCTACAGAGTGTCTGGGCATTTTGATGGATCCTCCAAACCCCTGAGTCGGGATTCCTATAGAGATTACAATGATATTTAGTTCTACTTGAAACAATTATTGAACAATAAAAATATAAATAGAATGTTTTTGATAAAATATTTACAAGAATAATGTTACTTTTGTTTTTGTTTTGTATTTGCATTTTTCATACATTTATATTTTTCAAATTATTTTTTGTGATTCTTGTGTACAATTATTTGTACATTAACATGTAGTAAAGTAGATCCTGACCTGTTAAATTAAGATAAACATTTTTTAAATAAAAGAAATAATCAAACTATCTATACTATTTTCCTTACAAGAAGATTTTAATGTCCTCAATTTCTCATTTTCCATCTGTCTTTAAACTATTCACATTTTCGAATTTTTCTATTGAAACTTATGTGAATAATTTATTATATAGTGTAAATTCAATTTTGTTCAAATCATGACCCCCAGGGATAGGGTGGGGCCACAACTGGGATTCAAAGTTTTTCGTAGGAATATATAAGAAATAATATTAAAAATCTTCTCAAGGACAGCAATGCGCAATGCCATGATTAGTCATATTGATATAGAAACCACAGGTACTGTAGATTCAAGTTTGTGCAAATCATGACCCCTAGGGGTAGGGTAGGGCAAAATGGGGGATCAAAGTTTTACATAGGAATATAAAAGAAAAAAATCTTCTTATGAACAGCAATGCCATGATTAGTCATATTAATATGGAAGCATCCTCAGGTAATGTAGATTCAACTTTGTCCAAATCATTACCCCCCCCCCCCCCTTTTGGTGGGGTAGGATGGGGCCACAATGGGGGATCAAGGTTTAATATAGGAATGTATAGAGAAAGATCTTTTAAAATCTTCTCAAGAACAACAATGACATGATAAGTCAAATGGAAGCATCCTCAAGAAGTGCAGATTCAAGTTTTTTCAAATCATGACCCCGGGGGTAGGGTGGGGCCACAGTAGGCTTTCAAAGTTTAATATAGGGATATAAAGGAAAATATCTTTTAAAATCTTCTTAAGAACAGAAATGCCATAATAAGTCGTTTTGATATGGAAGTATCTTCAGGTAGTGAAGGTTTAATTTTGTTCAAATCGTGACCCCCAGAGGTAGGGTGGGATCTTATTTATAAAAGTCTTCCAAAGAACAGCAAAGCCATGATTAGTAATGTGAATATGAAAGCATTCTCAGGTAGTGTAGATTCAAGTTTGTTCAAATAAAGACACCTTGGGTAGGTTTGGGTCATAACTGGAATCAAAGTTTAAAATAGGAATATATAATAGAAAAAATCTGATGATGAAGAACAACAGGGCCATATTGACTCAGGTGAGTGTTGTGGCCAATGGGCCTCTTTTCTATAAGTGTAATCTATGTAGATTTCATTAAAATGACTTTATTGTAAGCCAAATATCTCTACAATGTAAATTCTCGTTTTAGAAAAAATGTAAAAATGAATGAAATTTGCTGATAAAACGTCAACCAATCATCACTCCAAGTTCTTTGGTGTTTTTTTTTTCTTTGTTTTTTTTCTAACATTCATATGTAAAGTTGCTTGACTGTGTTGAAAGTCATTTAAATACACAAACACAGGAGTTGGTATTTAAAGCTTAGCAGTCGTTAGTTGATTATCGGTTCAATGATTTCCAAATAATTCAAAGACATGTGAAGAATGGTTTAAATTCAGAATAGGGTTTTACTTCCTCGTTTAAATGAAACTCCGCTATGACAACTGATTGCAATTTTCAACTGTTGTACATTCTTTCTCTAATTCTATCGACGAAAGGTAAGTTATTGTGAGTTTTGAACTCTTTAAAGTATAAGATATTCGGATTAAGAAAAAAATCTTATATTTGATGTAACCAGAGCAGCGTTAACTTGATTACTCGTCAGCCTTTTTAGGTCACCCGAGTCACTCAGGTGATGTATTGCAATCTATTTTTTGTCCGTCGTGCATTGGTCGTAATCTTTTTAATATTTTCAGCCTTTTCTCTTGAACCGATTTCAACCAATTTTGGCATATAGCATCAATTGTTGAAGAGGTACAAAAATTGTGAATTTCATGATCCCTGTAATAAGCACTGAGCCCTCTACCCAAATTGTGAGATTCATGGACCCATGATAATCGGTTCTGGAGTCAGGGTGGGTCTCTAATGATTATATATGAAAATGCTAATATTCTTGAAAAAAATATTCTTTTCTCCCTCTGTATATTTAGAAGATAAACTAGTTGCAAGGTTATGATGAGCAAGGGTGCTCCTTAAAAATTATGAAAATTATGGCCCAGGATCAGAGGTTCTGGTGTCAGGGTGGGGGACTCTGTTGATTATACAGTGAAAATGCATTCATTTTGAAAATGTTCTCTGCTTTTGTGTATTTAGCAGATAAAATAAGTGCACAGTTATGGTGAGCAAAAGTGCTTCTTCCAAAATCGTGAAATTTGTGGTCCCAGGGTCAGTGGTTCTGGCGTTAGGGGAGAAGGGGGACTATGGATTTTAAAGTGAAAGTGCATTATTTCTTTGGAAACTTCTTCTCTACCCCTGGCTATTAAGCGAACAATTAGTGTATAGTTAACACAGTTAAGCAAGGATGCTTCTTCCAAAATTGTACAGAGATTGTTTATGACCCCAGAGTGTGCCATAAAATTAATGCAAGGTCATTTTTGCAAGTTTAAGGTCACTGATAGAAAGAGATCATGATCATCTATCCATGTAATCATATCCAGGCTATAACTTTGTAATAGAGAATCACTGGAAGCTGATACTTTGTACAAACATTGTTCTTGACCTGAGATGTGTCATGACCAAATGTCATTTTGGCAAGTTCAAGGTCAATGGTAAAAAAAGCATAAAATTCTTGGTAAGGCTATAACTTTGTAAGAGATTCACTGAAGCTCATACTTGGTAAAGAATTTGTTTATGACCCCAGAGTGTGTCTTTACCTTGCTAGAAAGTCATTTTGGCAAGTTCAAGGTCATTGACAGAAGAAAATAACCTTTCCATGTAATCTTATCCAGGCTATAACTTTGTAACAGGGAATCATTGGAAGTTAATGCTTGGTACAATGATTGTTCATGACCTGAGATGTTCTACCCAAGACTAAATGTCATTTCGGCAAGTTCAATGTCAATGGTAGAAAAAGCAAAAAATTCTAGTTTAGGTTATAACTTTGTAATGCAGAATCATTCTATGACCCCAGATTGTCATAACCTTGACGCAAGGTCATTTTGGCAAGTTCAAGGTCACTGGCATAAATAGTGTAAAATTCATGACAGGTCAATAATTTTCTAATGGAGAAGCATTGTATATCCATATTTCACTAAAGGGTCACTTAAGATGATGTGTTATTTGTTTTAACCAAGGTCCTTTTGGCTATTTCAATGTCACATCATTGTCTCAAGCCACGGTCCGGAGTCCGCATATAGCTATCTCCAGAATGGGAGAGGATCGAATATTTTGGCCGTGGTTTGCGACGAAGATGTCACATGTACAAAATTTGAATGGTCACTTTAAAAAAATTGCAGCGAGGGTACTATTTTGTGAGTTCGCTCACACTTCCTCCAGTTTTATACTTCTATTGATCCTTTACAGTGTTGTATTATACTCAGGTGACCATTAAGGCCATTTGGCCTCTTGTTAGGAAATGTGTACACTAGCTGTGATTTTGAGGACGGTTTTTGTGGCTGGACAAACCGGAACTGGAAAAGATATGAACATAAATCACCGCTACAAGGCACGGGACCAGACAAAGCCTATACGGGGAGTATGTGCAAATATTTCCTATAGATTTGTTATTTTTCATGTTTAAAATGAAGTAATCAATACAGGGACTAAAATTAACATCACTTTATTTTTTATGTCATACCAGGATTTTATATTTATTTGCACGGAAGAGAGATTGGATATAATACCATAGCAACTCTGGAAATCGGTAATATTACAGGACCAACAACGTATTGTCTGTTGTTTAATTATCACATGAAGGGCTCACATATAGACAAACTCCAGGTGAAATGGAAAGATTCTCTAGAAGTAATTTGGAAAATAGAAAGCCAACAAGGCGACACGTGGAATTGTGCCGCAGTTAATGTAACCTCAAAAGAAAAAAGCAGCGTAAGATTTTATTGCTTATCAATTCCATTAGTATGTAATCGGAACATATGAACCAGTTTGCTAGTATTTAAATTAAGGATAAAGGGATGGAAGTTTGCATGTTATTCAACCTAACTCATTTCTTTCCATTGTTTTCATGCATTTAAACGTCTCTTTCCTAGAAAAGTATTAAAATGACACTCTTTTGAAGGAAGTGAATGAATAGACATTACCTTTTTAGGCATTGACAACAGAAAGAAAACACGTTTGATTGAGGAAGCAAGTATTTCAGACCCATATATATAGAATAACTGACAATCAGTATGATGATTCTGTTGTAGATTCAGTTTCTTGGTAGAACAGGTAAAACAGACAGTGACATATATGACATCATCGGACTGGATAATATCAAACTCGTCTCTCCAACTGGCCACTTCTGTAATCAGCTAGGTGATGAACATTTTCGTGACTTTTCCTTGCCTGATAATTAAAATTTTATATTGCAAATGCCAACCAAAAAAAGTCCTCATGGGACAGAACATATTTTTACTCTCTTCATGCAATAGTGTTCAATTTAATTTCTCTTAAATGTAAGTCTAAATAGTCAAATTACAACTTTGTTATTAGTATTAAATTATTATATTAGTATTTATAACTACCAATTCCTTTAAGCATTCAATGGTTAATTTTCGGTAATAAGTCTAGACTTTCTTCTGTTTGCTACGTACTATTTTATTCATTTCAATGTAGAACCTCTGCATTCACATGTACAAATAGGTTGTAATTCATCTTTGACTCCAAGGACAACATCTCCCCCTTCATCATCGTCATCTGAATCAACGACTTCATTAAAATTTGAAACGTCGACGGTCACAGCAGCTTCGTGGTTTGAGGGTAATATTAATGAGATTAAATTGTTTAACGTGCAGATTTTGAAGTGGTGCTATCTCCCTTTACAAAATTTTATGAAATTTACTCTTTACCATACATGTGTATATTCCTCTAAATAGCACAAATCTTAGGAACTTGTAGATGCTTAAATTGAAAAATCTTTTTCACAACAGTTTAACCAAAGTGTATAAGTAAAAGATGCATTATATGCCTTGAAAACTGCAAAAAAGAACGAATCCCAGGACCTCATTAAATACATTTGAGACTTTCTTTTCGCTGTGAATGAAAAAAATACAATAACACAGGAGCTTAAATAGATGTTAATCCCCCACCCATCTACCCACCCACACAATCACTCCATGGGATTTAACCCAGAAGTAATTTGGGGTATACATATGTAGGTTTCAATTTATCCCATTACCCGATCCGAATCTGCTCTTAAAGATTTTTTAAGAATGTTCTCCATGATATGCAAATGAGAAAATATATTTATCCTTTATAGTTTACGCTAATTTTCAAAAAATCTGATAACCAACGCACAAGTTTGAAAGTGTCCAATTGCTGATTTTTTTTATGGTATTACCGAGTCTAACATTATCGTTTCAGACAATATTCCGTACTTGGTTGGAATTCCCGCGGCAGTTTTACTAGTATCATTTATTCTAATTGGAGTCTGCGTTTTCCAGGCGCATCAAAAAAGGAGGTAATTTATCGTTTCTTAATAGTTCTCTTTTTTACAAACTTGCAAATATCAAACGTATTTTCTTTAAAAGGAATTATACTGGTATTTTATAGTTTACTGGTAGAGAGAGGGAAAGGCAATATTGAAATACTTTATTCAGTATTCGGTAAATTGGTATTTTGGAGAAAATCATTGGATATAAGTCAAATTGTGACGACCACCAAGATATCTGTCAAATGCTACAATATTGTAACACATTCTAATATTATGCAGTTATTGCTGTTTTTGAGATCAATACGAAGATTTAACCACCTAGGGAGTACAATATTCATCGAGCCCAAAGGGCGAGGTGAATATTGTACTTCGAAGGTGGCTAAATCATTGTATTGACTGAAAAAACAGCAGTGATTGTTTTATTATATGATTCAATGATTAAATGATACCAATTTATTAAGAAGCTCATGTCATCTTACTTGTTTACATTTGCTGAAGTCCTAGCCAAATGCAATGAGAGAAGCAGGGTTAAATAAACATTACCAGTCATATTAATTTGGATTTTTCAAAATCTACTTTAGTTGCTATGAAAAAAAAGAAAGTTTTTTTTTTCATATGATAGATTTTGAAAGGGGAGGAGCATTATCAGGGGAAAATGACAACTGAAAAAATCTTTGATAAGCCCCCAGGAAAAGAGTATTCTTCTAACTTCAAATTTTGTTTTAGGGTTCGGTTAGGGGTGGGGGATTTTGGTCCATTAGTTGGGGACCAGCCTTTCAAAGAATATTTTTCGTCTAAATTAAAAGTAAAAATTCATGTTCAGAATTTTTTTTTGAAAGGGGGGGGGGGGGGGGTCTCTGCACTCCCAACCTCCACCCCAAATTATATATTTCCTAATGTTAACCTGCATGAGTGGAAGTCGGTAGCAAGTAAAACAGCTTTTCCAAACTATTTGTATCAATTTGGAATTTTCCGATCTATTTTTAGACCAATGTAGAGAAAATAAATCCTTACATTCACTTGGAAGAAATTATTTTATCATATAATAAAATATTGTAACACATTCTAATACAATATTGTAGCACTTTCTAATACAATATTTCATAATCATTCTTACTTTCTACATGTATGCAGTTCTAAGTCTACGCCATCGATTCCACACCTCGAAACACAAGTCGGAATCGGACGAATAACTGGTAGAATGACCAACAGATACGATCAAAATCCAACCAATCAGTCTGCAGAAGACGCAGAATACGTCTATCCTGAAGACGTAGACCTTTATCTGGAAATAAGTCCTGACAATGTAGATTCAAATAATGTTGAATCAAACAATATGTACCTAGACATTATAGCAGACGGACAACAGAACACACCTGATGGCCTACATAATGGAGTTCAACCTACCAATCAATCTATTAAATATAAAAATACCGAAAATGACTATGTGGAACCTATATAGTGAAATGATTATTTTTTTGGTTATGAATGAAAAGGAGTATTTACATTTCCAAATATTGTATCGTTGGAATGGCCTTATGAGCTTGAATACTGTTCGTCATTTCCATATTTCGTGTAGAAAAGCATTTTCGTGCATGTACATGAATTGTATTACAAGTACCGGTATATTTCAATAAATCAAGTTAATTCACTCATAAACTTGTTTATTGTCGACTTCAATTGCGATGAAAACTATTTTCAGTGGTTTCAGGTGACGTCACACCTTAGTTCTAAGCGTAATTATTCAAGATAACGATACGATATGTAATCAAACAGCCATGTTAGGAGAGAGCTACCCGCGGACTCCGGACCGTAGCTTGAGACGGTAATGTGTGTCTTTATGTGTATTCACAACATCTGCTATAAGAAGTATTTATGTCTCTGTCATAAGATTTTTCTACACTTTCGTACTAACTCTCTGTATTCATAACTGAACAAAATTCAAAAGACTGCAATAGTACGACCATTTAACTCGATCAGTTTATAGAGTATATTTATTGTTATCTGTTTACGGAAAGGGTTTTGTTTTAATTTTCAGTCTGTATAATAATTCTTTCATTATACACAATTTTAAGCAGTAAGATATATTTATTGCTAGTACAAAAATGCCAGAAAGACAGATGAAAATGCAGCTGTCTTATAAGACAGCACCACCTACCACATTGACCATGAGTGATCTGTATTCTCCTAAATAACATGAAAACAGCTAACTCGTTGGCAAGGTACATGGGTAATGCAATCAGCCAAAGCACTGTTCAGTACATGTACCGTGCATAGCCCTGTAATAACAAATGGGGGAAAAATGCCCATTTCTATTTCAGAAAAAAATTCTTTCGGTACATTTCATTACATTCATCATTTTCATTACATTTCTCTCATTACATTCAGTGCATTGCTTGGTCCAGCAAATGCTCTACCAAGCCCTTATCTTTACTCCTGACAAAAATATTAACTGCTGTAAACTGTAAAGGATTGAATCTTCATTACTGGTACGTTGCTTTTTTGTTTTTTGAGAATTTTTCACTCATATAGAAACCTCATCATATACCGATGAAGGGCTGCAAAAGACCTTTACTCGGCACTTAGGGCCATTAAACAGCGAGGGTCCTTTATCGTGCCAACACCTGTCGTGACACGGGGCCGACCCGAAACTTTCACTTCAAAGTGCCGAGCGCTTGGCGAAGGAACAGTTGCTTCCTATTTTTTATCGACTTAGGTCAGTCGCGGCCGTGATTCGAACACACGACCTTCCGATCACGGAGCGAGCGCTCTACCGACTGAGCTACCGTGACGGTTGCTGCGAAAGAGAAATGTCAGACGTATTTTGCTACAGCTTATTCTAGAAGTGGTGTAAATCAGATGTGGATCTTCAGAAACCATTTAGAAACTTTAAAATCACCATTTCTTTTTTTTTCCAAAAGTCTTTAACATCGAAAAGTATGACTTTTCTACACTTTATACAATTCCTCACGATAAATCAAAATCTAGACTCTTTGATATCATAGACAACTGCTTCTTCAATAAAAAGGAACTCGGAAATTTTCACATCTTGCAGCAAATTACCGGTAACAGGAACTCAACATGTTCGCAGGAACATTGCAAGAAACATACATCTAATATATTGTTGGCAGCAAGTTCGCAAGAAACATTCAACAAACTGAATGTTTGCAGGAAGTTTGCAAGGACAGTTAACAGGTCGATTCATTCAATGAAATGCAGATTGTGCTTGGGTCAACACAGAATTCGCAATTTTGAAATGTATGAATGAAGTTATAGATCTTTGAGTATTTTGTTAGAAATATATACCATTTTGAAGGGTTACAAAAGCCTAATTCTTCCAAGTAAGTACACGTATTTTGGCATACACAACATCTAATTGGTAAGATTTAATTTTTGTTATATTTCAATATGAAACAATTCTTTCTTTTACGCATGTAAAAAAAAACTGATGTGGGTCAAGTCAATTTATGAGTTTTAATCTTTTTAATATTTCATTCCGAATTTCCTCTGTTCTTACACGTTATTCTATTGAGCTCTCTTCGCGGCGCTTGCTATTAAACACATAAATCCATACAACTATGATGTATCAAGAAGACCGGGAGTTCTGTTGCCGTTAATACAATGCTTTAATCTAACATATATGTAATACCTTTCTTTATTGCATAGTACACCCACATGGGTCAAGCAATACAATCCATCATAAAAAAACCCCAGAGAACATGTATAAGTAATTTATCATAAAGTATCATGTTACACCGATGTGGACCTTTATTTCTTAATTCTAATGATTTTTTTTTTATAAAAGGGCAAACAGCCGGTATAATTTCAAGTATTGGACTCAGTATATATTCATGTTTAAAGAAATTGGAAAGTATCATTCATTTCTAACAAAATTCCTGCTTGTCACTGTGTTAATCGTACAGTGTATGTCAGACACAGAACAGTGTAATATTAAAACCTAATGCGCTAGCTCTACAATGACTATCACGTACGACTCTTAAAAAATACTTTGGTTCATTACATTTCTTGACAAGTGACTTTTTTATTTTATTTGGGAAAAGCTGACATATTTATTATAGTCCACTTCTTCAGCACAGTTCTTGTAATACTGTAAAGCGAAGCTGATACACTCTCTGTCCACTTTCTGGACCGTGAGTTCCTTCATCAGCTTCCGTCGGAGAAAACTATCGACCGGAAGTGGCGGTGGAGGAAAATTTGTCATATTACCTGCAAAGCATAACAACTTTTACTTCATTGTTTCAAAAGTAGTGATGCCGTTTTAAGAAATTTATTCTGAGGGGGAAAAATCTTACAGTTCTTTATATCTTCGGATATTATACCGTCCACTTCAGGAGGAACTGTAAAACATGATTTAAATAAGCATACTAATCTTACAACTGTTTTCTATATTCTTCATTCTAGTCTCTGGCTTACCAAGATTAACAGTAAAGCTAAAAAGAATTACCTGTTGTTGGGTTTCCGCAAGAACAATTTCGCATTTTCTCTTCTAGGACCTATAGGGAGTGATATGAAACACTTAAATTTCTTTCATTTTTGTTTCATCTTTATGTATATTATCAAAGTTTAAATGAAATCTTCGATTTTAATACTCACTGCCATGCGATCCAAAAGGTCTTCAAAAGCTTGAACTATATATATAAAAAAAATTCAATGAAGTTATCTATGTATCTTGGTATATGTTCATGCAGAAAATAAAGTATTATTTACCTATTACTAAAATGGTTTTCTGGCATTGTCTTTATTAATAATATCAGTAAAGTTAAATATTGAAGTACTGATAATTGTGTGTGAAGGTTTAATTTTTAGCTTACCTGTCAGTTCAGGTGGAATACTTCCTGGTTCACCCTTAGGTCCCTTTGGTCCCACGGGTCCACTTTGTCCTGTTTTTCCCATCTCTCCCTTCTCTCCAGGAAATCCCTGAATGCCACTTTGGCCTGGCCTTCCTTCTTCCCCCTTGCTTCCTGGCTCCCCACGTGGTCCAGTTTTACCTGGTTCGCCTCGCTCTCCGCGTGGACCAGGCTCTCCCGGTACACCTTTTTGGCCACGTGGTCCCATGTCACCCTTTGAACCAGGCAGACCTTGGTTACCGCTTTGACCTATATCACCTTTTGGTCCCTTTGGGCCAGGTAATCCAGGAACACCCGTTGAAATATGCGTATTAGTGAGGTTCTGGTAGGTAGTACGTAAAGAATGTTCTTTAGTTTCTAAATATACCATTTCCTACTAATTTAACTACTAGTAAACGAAATCTGCCAATAAAAAATTTCGTATCAAATCTACACAACTAACAAATTTATCACCTGAAATAATTGATCATAAAAAAATCTAAACTCGAAACTGGGCCATTCAAACAAAAAAGGTAAAAACGGATCTATCTAAACGAAAGATGTAAAAAAGAAAAAGAAAAAAAAAAGAAACAATTCTTTATTCAGCAAAATAATAATACTATACTGTAGTTTTGATATACACAAGAAATCAATCCTTGTTCCATTACTTTTAAACTACCGGACTACATACATATATTTAGCAAGTCTAAATGATCACTTCTGATTAATAACACCAGGAAAACAATCATCAATATTATTAACAATTGACTGATAGTCTGGTTTGATTGAAAATCACATTTTGGGTTAATAATTAAACTTCTTGGAGTTTCTAAAAATTACTGCTTAATGATACCTTGTCTCAATCTCTTATCTTGTTTCAACCTCTCATCTTGTCTCAAACTTCCACCTTGTCTCAACCTTTTACTTTGTCTCAACCTTTTATCATATCTCAACATCTCACCTTTTTGCTTTTTCTTACCTTGCCGCAACCTCTTACCTTGCCGCAACCTCTCACCTTGTCACAACCTCTCAACCGTTCTCAACCCCTCACTTTGTCTCAATCCTCCCAGAAATGATTCAGAAGTCGAGTTTGTAACCTCTAACCTTCAGTTGATATTTCAAAATATTCCAATATTTTACCTTGTTCCAATTACTATGCTTGTCTAAACCTCCAAGAATGCTTCTGAACGGCGGCTATCTCACATTGTCTATATAAAATCTCACATTGTGTCTGAATCCTTTACATAAAATATACTTACATCTACTTTTTGTTGAAGCATATAGAATGCTGCGGCTAAAAATGAAATAAAGAGACGTGTATTAAAACCAGTTTTGATTAAATTTTAAAATACATGTACATAGTTGTTGTTTTTTCCCCTTTAATTTCATTTTCATTACACTCATTCTTCAAGTTAATGCCAAGATCTAATAATTGATACAGCTGTTTTGCTCAGTGATGCTTTGTTACGTCTCAGTGCAATTTGTTCTTCACAGTGTGAAATTTTTCAGAAAAAATAATTATTTCCTATAAGATGATTGATTATTTGAACTCAATTTACCTATGGTATTATTTCCCTTGTTTAAAAGTGAAGAAAAAGGGTCTAATTTTTTCTTGGATTTCTAATTAATGTATTAAATCTAGATGCTGTGATTCGCTGCCTTAGGTTTAAATGTAGATGTTGAATTGGTAATCTATTTCAATTAAGATTATAAATAATACATTGACAACCTGCAATGAGTAGATCTTGCCACTTTGAGAATCTTATACGAACACTCTTTTCGTGAATACAATTAATTCTTCTGAGATCTGCACCTGATATAGAAGTGGAAACTCCAGGGTTACCCTTGGGACCAGGTAATCCCGGATCTCCTTTTACTCCGTCTCTTCCTGGTGGTCCGAGATCGCCCGGTGGACCTGGAATGCCCGGGGAACCGGGCATTCCTTTTTCTCCAGGATTCCCCTTAGCCCCACGTGACACTAGTGCTGATGGCCCCGTTATACCGGGTCTACCTAAAATTACACATATTTACATTCTAGTTATACCTAATTCATAACTAACCACACTCTGATCTTCGCTGAATTTCTAGTTGACTGGTTACCTTGTGACCCCGGGTCCCCTTTTTCTCCTTTAACTCCTGGAAGACCAGGCAATCCTCTGGATCCTTCGGGTCCGACTCTTCCTGTCTCCCCAGAAGTACCATTCTCTCCCTTAAGTAAGATTGCTATTGACAAATGAAATTAAATAAAACAGATTTAAGATACCAGTTCTAGCCTCTTTGTCTTTGATGCTTTAGTCAATAAGAGAAATATTGCTGAATTGTGTATCATTTTTCCTAAGTTTCAAAAACGCAGATACACTGAAATGTTACCATCTAAATAAGCCGATTCGGGGATAAGTAAAGCTCCCGGATTGACATCGCATGGGTAATTGGTAAGTTGTTAATTGCTGTTTAAAGACAATGCCATGGTCCCATTCTACTAAAGAACTAACGACTAAGACCAAAACTTAATTTTGCAAATGACTTTGTTTTTAAAAATAAATTTGGAAATCTTTTTTATCTTTCTGAAAAGAATTTTGGAAGAGAGCTATATATACATGCATACAAATTTAAAACAGACATTTATTTTGCAATATTTTACAAGAAAGTGAAGATTTTGGTCTTAGTCGTAAATTCTTTTGTACCCGGTGTTATTACCCAGTCTGACTTGTGCTTTTTTAATGATTTTATTTTAATGATCGCTTGAGTACTTTGTGCTGAATATAATGTGTACCTAACCTCTGCTATCCTTTGCTGTTATCTAGTAAATTATATCATATCATAATACAAAATTTAACATTTTTGAGAGAGAGAGAGAGGGAGAGTTTGGCATGTTATCACATATTTACATGAATAAGACTGATTCTTATCTGATAACAGATTTTATAAAAACAATTAATTCCATTGATTCCAGTTGGTGTCAAATACCTCTTTGTCTCCATTTTTGTATGATAAATATTTTTGAGTTTCATAGAAAAAATTCAATATGTGAACTCGCAAGTCTGACATCTAATTTTTTCCTAAACATCTCATTGTATAGATAAAGTATTTTATCCACAAGGTCAACAAGTTATGAATATATTTTTCCCCGAAGAAATCCTCAAATCAAACTTTGCTTTGTGAATGAAAGTTGAAACCCTATCTTTTACATGTATATATGGGTAATAACATGGGGCCTGTTTTACAAAAACAAATATTCATTTATTTTTTATTTTATTTATTTATTGCCTATTAAAATTGAAATAAAAAATATACAGTGTTTTGATCAAATATAAACATAATATTACTACATGTAACATCTGTATATAGTCTTGTTTATTTGAGTAAAGCAGAGTTTACAATGATGGAAAATGTTCAGAATTTTTGATACGATTAACCAACTAATCGGTCGGAACGACTTGCGGCCAACCGAATGCCAATTGTGTATTTATTATATATATATATATATATATATATATATATATATATATATATATATATATATATATATATATATATATATATATATATATATATATGGCCTCAGGCAAAAAGTTTGGTTCTCGGGTCCGACAAAACGCAGGTTTCCCTCGAATCCAGTCAATACATACCCACATTTCAAATGGTAAAAACAAGTTCAATAAAAAGCTTGCTCACTACAACAGGTATGTTTTGATGTTTTACATCAAAGCATCTTCCTTTATGCCGAAGGCAGGTCAAAAGTAAGACATATGTTTTAAAACTTCTGAGATACGTTTTTAGATCAGTTAAGAGTTCTGGAGAGCTCATATTCATTAGAAACTGTGTATAAGTAAACAAGGTAGGCTGACCTGCTATGACGGTACATCGCTGATCGTACATTGGGACGTAGTAGGTCAAATTCTTCGTGATCCAACCACATTTTCCTCTCCGTCTATTTAAAACACAATCTCTTCCATCATCACTTTCTCAGTAGCATTACAAAACCATACAGATTTTGGTAAATTTAAAACTGATGACTAAATTGTTTCAAAAATTTCTATGAGATGGACGCATTGCAGTTTCCTGCTATTTTAGATTTCTTTCAGTGCATTGCTCTTAATAGGTGATTGATACTGCTAGATTCATATTCAGTGAAATCATTTCTAAAAGATGTTCATGACAATCTATTCAGCTTCTTCTTAATATTTGTGCATGGTGACTGGGATGTTTTCAGTTGTTATACATGTATGAGGCGCCGTTTTGGTATTTACTGCCAAAAAGTGATATCACCTATTCGAATAAGTGATATCACCTATTCGAATAGGTGATATCACCTATTCGAATAGGTGATATCACTCATTCAAGTTGAATAGGTGATATCACCTATTCGAATAGGTGATATCACCTATTCGAATAGGTGATATCACTTATTCGAATGGGTGATATCACTTATTCGAATAGGTGATATCACCTATTCGAAATGAATAGGTGATATCACCTATTCGAATAGGTGATATCACCTATTCGTGCTGAATAGGTGATATCACCTATTCGAATAAGTGATATCACCTATTCGAATAAGTGATATCACCTATTCAATTTGAATGAGTGATATCACCTATTCGAATAGGTGATATCACCTATTCGCATTTCTTACAACAACAAATAATGAATGCTCCCTTCCTCAAGATTATCTAGATTTTCATTGGAACCAAGCAAATTCGGGCTGCGTTAGGGTCTGTAAGTCTCGTCACGTGACTCGCGAGATTTTTCGATAATATTAAGTTCCAGGTACCTCACACATGGAGATGTGTATTGGGTTATGCATGTTTATGGTTTACACAAAGCGTATAAGGAAAGTTTAAGCAGTTGTACAAAGCCGAAGGATTCTCCGACTTACGATGGATAAATTGAGGGTCATAAAAGCTTGGGTGCGAGCAAGTAGGAGGAGAATTTCGATCGAAGTACAGGTAAACAAGTCAGAGAATGTCACCTGCTTCTTGGGTATTGTTGGGTGAAATAGAAGTCTTATATTATACATTTGTATCTGATTAGAATAGTTTTGTTATCATCATTCCAACTAATTTATTAACAGATTTTTCTTGAATTCGAGGATAATGATGTTATTACCAGCTGATTAAGGAGGAGTAGTGTAAGTGTCAGATGGGTACGAACGTCATCTTGTGACAGCATCACCTTTGTTTGGGTAAATAATTTGTTCAGAATACGCTTCATTTATCAACAAAAATTTAGCTGTTGCATGTCAGTAGGTCTAGTTTTTTAAGTATTCAATGTTTGAAAGCACTTATCAGGTCCAGTACAATCTTTTCATTTTACTATATATATAGCTTTATTAAGCTGTTCAGAATAGCTTAATTTAGCTATTTTATCACACTTTTTCTTAAATTTATACTTTTCTCAGCATGCACAAAAAGTCGCACCTTGGTGCAGTGATGATACTCAACCTTGAACTCATCTGAAATTGATGCATTTAAAACTCACTCATTAAAATCTCCTTGCATACATCATACATGTGATAATTTTTAGGCCCAAATACTGTACAGCAGTCCTCAAAATACAGGAATTTGGGTGAAAATACTGTACATATTTATGAGGCGCCGTTTTGGTATTTACTGCCAAAAAGTGATATCACCTATTCGAATAAGTGATATCACCTATTCGAATAGGTGATATCACCTATTCGAATAGGTGATATCACTCATTCAAATTGAATAGGTGATATCACCTATTCGAATAGGTGATATCACCTATTCGAATAGGTGATATCACCTATTCGAATAGGTGATATCACTTATTCGAATAGGTGATATCACCTATTCGAAATGAATAGGTGATATCACCTATTCGAATAGGTGATATCACCTATTCGAAATGAATAGGTGATATCACCTATTCGAATAAGTGATATCACCTATTCGAATAAGTGATATCACCTATTCAATTTGAATGAGTGATATCACCTATTCGAATAGGTGATATCACCTATTCGCATTTCTTACAACAACAAATAATGAATGCTCCCTTCCTCAAGATTATCTAGATTTTCATTGGAACCAAGCAAATTCGGGCTGCGTTAGGGTCTGTAAGTCTCGTCACGTGACTCGCGAGATTTTTCGATAATATTAACTTCCAGGTACCTCACACATGAAGATGTGTATTGGGTTATGCATGTTTATGGTTTACACAAAGCGTATAAGGAAAGTTTAAGCAGTTGTACAAAGCTGAAGGGTTCTCCGACTTACGATGGATAAATTGAGTGTCATAAAAGCTTGGGTGCGAGCAAGTAGGAGGAGAATTTCGATCGAAGTACAGGTAAACAAGTCAGAGAATGTCACCTGCTTCTTGGGTACATTCTTGGGTGAAATAGAAGTCTTATATTATACATTTGTATCTGATTAGAATAGTTTTGTTATCATCATTCCAACTAATTTATTAACAGATTTTTCTTGAATTCGAGGATAATGATGTTATTACCAGCTGATTAAGGAGGAGTAGTGTAAGTGTCAGATGGGTACGAACGTCATCTTGTGACAGCATCACCTTTGTATGGGTAAATAATTTGTTCAGAATACGCTTCATTTAACAACAAAAATTTAGCTGTTGCATGTCAGTAGGTCTAGTTTTTTAAGTATTCAATGTTTGAAAGCACTTATCAGGTCCAGTACAATCTTTTGATTTAGCTATATATATAGCTTTATTAAGCTGTTCAGAATAGCTTAATTTAGCTATTTTATCACACTTTTTCTTAAATGTATACTTTTCTCAGCATGCACAAAAAGTCGCACCTTGGTGCAGTGATGATACTCAACCTTGAACTCATCTGAAATTGATGCATTTAAAACTCACTCATTAAAATCTCCTTGCATACATGTGATAATTTTTAGGCCCAAATACTGTACAGCAGTCCTCAAAATACAGGAATTTGGGTGAAAATACTGTACATTGTTCATCAAAAAACTATACAAAAAACTGTAAAAAATATTGACCAAAAATCAATGTAAGAGGTTCATTTTTTAAGCTCTTCTGAGCCAAAGGCCCAAAGAGCTAATGCTGTGGCCATTTGTGCGGTGTGCGTAAACTTTTTAGAATATGGGCCATAACTCAAGAACCCTTTGGCCATTATTGTCAAATTTGTCACAGGGTATCCTTGGGCCAAGGGCTTCTGTTTATACTAAAACTAGGGTTGTGACCCTTAAACAAGGGGAGATAATTAGGAAAATAGAAACAAATGAGACTTTGTACTCAAAGTTCTAAAAGTTTTTGGGCTACATATGCAAATGATACAGTTACTTCTTCAATGAATTTATAAAGGAGGCCAATTGTGGTCAACAAGATAATTGATTAATTCAGTACATTCAATGAGAAGCAATCATACTTATCCATGCCTCAATGCACACAAGGTAGTGGACAGTTACTCAAATAATAGAAATTAATCTTTTGCTTAAAAGTAATCAATAGTTGCAAAGTTGGAGCTATCTTTGATTTTGCTTGTTGTTTCGATAGCCCATAGCCCATATTATTATATGAATAGTCAAATACATGCAACTTTTTGTCTATTTCTTATCAAAATAATTTTTGTGAAAAAACTGCATATAAATAGCTAAATCAAGCTATTTTGAATAGCTTAATAAAGCTAAATAGCTATTTCAAGCTATATAGCTAAATTAAGAGATTGTACTAGACCTGCTTATTTCCCAATCCCAACGATAAAACTTTCTTTATATATTCTGCAAATTCTCTCTGCATTTATCATTGAACAAAATTCATATGACTGCAATTATATGACCATATTCTTCAGTTTAGAGAGCATGTTATAGAGGATATTTTGGTTAAAGTTTTGGTCTGTTTCATGCAGTGTTTGAAATATTCTTTCATCTTACACAATTGTATACATTAAGATTTATTTTATAGCTAAAGTACAAGAGAACTGCAGCATCTAAGACTACATGTACATCGACTTTGAATAATCTACCCGGTATATCCTCAAAAAGGCAACTCAAATACAGGTATGAAATTGATGTCACAAAATAAGTTTTTGGACTTACATTTACTCTTATAATTCATATACATATAAAGCATATAAAAAATAAAAATAGAAAAGAATTAAAGGTTCATCAGGTGACAGCTCAATCATGTATGGAATATTATTAGGCCAAATAAAAAAATATGTGTGGTTCCCATTACCTGACCGTCCCTATTTTAGATCCCTGACCCTAAACTTTTTTTCGGCAATATTCATATTTATTTTCCGGAATTTTCCGCGATTTCCGTCATCCACTTCAGTATTAGTTTTAGTTCCAGCAATGGCGGCCTCCATGCAAAAATCGTTTCAACACGTAGTGCAAGTGTTTGATGGTGTTAAATCTAAAGCAAGCTAGCATGGTGTGGCAGTATACCTTTTTCCAGCGCCATGTTTTTTTGTTTGTTTGTTTTTTGGTTGCCAAAATTAAATAAATATGCCCAAGAGTGGCGAGATTCAGTTAGTTGCTCTGTTTACAGCTGGTTTATAACAAGTGCATGCTGATTAGCCCCTTTATTATTTAATGCACGCAAAGGTGTGAAGTCAGGATAGGAAATCACTTCTCGCTTGAAAGCACACAGACAGCTGACCAGGTAACGTTTTTTGGAGTTAGGGGGAAGATAACATGAGAAAACATTTATTTGATTGCATTGATTACGCAAGAATTAGCCCAATGTGTAAGATAGATTAACTTGTATACTATTAAATAATTTATATCAGGATCATTTCTTTTAAACCGAAAGTAGAAAAAAAAAAACAGTTCATGAGGAAAAGTGAAAAAGAAGACTGCTGATTTTACATGAATAAAGTCAACTTGCAAAACACCAATATACATGTATATGAGAAATGAGCTTGGAAGTATGAAGTCTTCAATGAGGCAAAAAGGTTTCAAGAAAGGATTTAAAATTTTA